AAGATGGGGGATTCAAGATACTATTCGACTTCTCCCATGAAGAGATAGGAGGTTTTGGGGGCTTTGGTAAGAAGGGGGCGTGTACAAGAAAGTTAGGTCCTAGAAGGTATGGTAAATACATTTGCACTGGGGAACGCTCATGTCCTTGGGCAAGGGTGTTTAAACATACCTGGGGAACATACTATGAGAATGGGATGGACACAGTACACCGATGGGGAATTAAACAAACCCATGATAAATGTAAAACGGAACTGGTGATAACGGTAAAGTCAATTATGCAAGATGACATAGCAAGGAACTATTGGGCCTGTGTTGATGATTTCGGGGCAGATATATGTTTGAGGTTCATTTTTCAGGAGAAAAATGAATCTTCCACCTCCGAGACAGATCAGCAGGTAGATCCAATGTTATCACCAGAGGTACCAAAAAACTAGTCTAATACCCCTTGGAAGGCCCTCAGAAGGAATCCTAAATAGCACTAAACCACCAAGGGTAGAATATTTCCTCTTGCAGGAAATGAACCAAGGAGAAGTAGAAGGAATTTCAAATGAGAACTTTTGGGTAAGGTGGATGAACTACACAGCTAGGGTGTTGGGTCAAACTAATTGTTATGCCTGTTCAACAGGTAGGCCAACCCTTGTAACTGCACCTATGCCTCAGACCATGTTCTCTTGTGTGATAGATTTGGGATCAAACCAAACCTCACCTAATTGTTCTGATATTAAAATAACCACTCTTAAAAAGGATAATACTAAGGCACCCCAATTCACCATGAACCCCAGAGATTATCAATGTTATAGACACCAAAGTAATGCGAATCACAGATCAAATTATAGAAGGGTTTGCAACAACGTTTTTCTGATGGGTTACAATTGATGTTGAATGGATTATTTACATCTACAAAGGTTCGTTAATTAGACAGGGGATGCAGTGAAGAGAATCTCAGGCCAACTATCCGCCACCTCACTCATGACCTGCAGAATACTTTGGTTCTCGAAATGCTTTTAGCAGAGAAGGGCGTATTTGCAAGATGGTGGGAGGTCATTGTTGTATGTTTATCCCCAACAATACAGCCCCAGATGGTACAGTAACTAGAGCGCTGGCAGGTCTCACTGCATTAATTAAAGAATGGGCTGAGAACTGGGGGGTGACTACATCAATGACTGGTTGGTTTGATCAAATGTTTGGTAAATGGAAAACTATTGTTGTAACTATTTTAGGTGCGGCAATCGCGTCTATGGGTATGCTTGTTCTTTGTGGATATTGTCTTATTCCCTGTGTCCGAGGGTTGGTGAGCAAGGCGTTGGAGAATGCAGTATCACAGCAGATGGTGAGATACGGCCCAATCCCGGACTCCGGGAATGAAGAATATGATCCATCAGGCTTGGTGGAGGACGACGACGATTCAGTTAGTTTGAGACTGGATGTTTACCTAGAACTATAAATCTCTAGTTTAAAAGTTATTGTAATGATCTTTTGTGTATTAAAGTCTTGTTTTAAGTGTGATGTACTAATTAATCAATATTGCAGGATGTGATGAAGCAAATGTTCTTCACTATAGGCTTGGACTGTTGTTTCCAGATAGTGGGTAAACAGGTTAGGTACCATTGCTAAAGAGTAACGTTACGCTTTTAATCATGGGGTAACCCTGACGAACCTGTATTGAATGAGACAATTTGTATGTTTTTATATGCAAATCAACTTATATGCTTCAATGTGTGTGATTCATTTTCATAACAACATATATTTTGTGAGTATGTGTGTAATATTTAGTCAAGGGGTGGATTGATAGAGTAATTATTAATGACTAATTATTACACCCTGAAACTGTGTGAAATGTGTTAGAATGTGTGAGTGTAGGACCAGTAAAGAATATGACATTGTGTTACTATTTAGCAATGTGAGTAAGAGTTAGGCCAGACAACAAAGGCTACAGGCAACTGAGAAACCAAGATAACTGAGGAATTTAGGGAGTAGAGAAACTGTTAGGCTTGTGTGTGTGTGTGACATGATGGTCAGGAGAGCAGTTTTCCAGTGGAAAACTACAGCCCGCCTAAAGAGGGGAGGGATTATTATTTTCTCTGACGTGTGCATATAAAAAGATTGTACGGCCATTTTGTTTTAGAACGTTCTCAATGAATAAAGCCTGATGATTGTATGCTGGGCTGCTTGGTCTGATTATTAGAGATTTACAACCTCTGGGATACAGACTGAGTAATAAGTTCATTTTTGAAACATTGGGATAGAAATTCACGTAACAGAAAGATATTACTTCCTTATTTTCATTTCTCAATCATTAACATTACTTTACTATGAAACTACCACTCCCACTCCTAAATCATTCACTTTTAATTATTTTGATTTAACCTTTATTTTGACAGGGAAGTCATACTGAGAGGTCTCTTTTACAGATAAGCCCTGCATACATACATCAAACATATACAATAAAAATAAAATACAAAAATACAAAACACATTAAGAAAAACAGACACATTTATCAACATAGAGCTCTCTGATTTCATTTTTTAGCAGACGCTTTTATCCAGAGCGACTTACAGTTAGTGAGTGCATTCATTATTATTATTATTTTTTCATACTGGCCCCCCGTGGGAATCGAACCCACAACCCTGGCGTTGCAAACGCCATGCTCTACCAACTGAGCTACATCCCTGCCGGCCATTCCCTCCCCTACCCTGGGCCAATTCAATTGTGCGCCGCCCCATGGGTCTCCCGGTCACGGCCGGCTACGACAGAGCCTGGATTCGAACCAGGATCTCCAGTGGCACAGCTAGCACTGCGATGCAGTGCCTTAGACCACAGCGCCACTCGGGAGGTCATTACTCTGACCTGAACATTACTCTGAACTGACCCAGGGGGTCCAGAACATCTAATTTCAGAGAGCTCTGTAAATTGTTCCACATAAAAAACCATATAAGCAGCTTTACACAACTCTGTGGAGACCGAAGTGGCCTCCAGTGTTATCCAAGCCTGAGACCGGGTTTGTTAATTTGTAAGTCTAAATTGTATTAATGTTGATAGATGCATAGGACGTTTCTGCATGAGTGCTTTGTAGATAAACACAAGAAACTGCTGCTCTCTCCTTACATACAAAGAGGCCCAACCCACTTGTTGATACAAAACACAATGGTGAGTTATATTACCATCACCAGTAATAAACCTAAAGGCCCAACGGTGAGTTATATTACCATCACTAGTAATAAACCTAAAGGCCCAACGGTGAGTTATATTACCATCACTAGTAATAAACCTAAAGGCCCAACGGTGAGTTATATTACCATCACTAGTAATAAACCTAAAGGCCCAACGGTGAGTTATATTACCATCACTAGTAATAAACCTAAAGGCCCAACGGTGAGTTATATTACCATCACTAGTAATAAACCTAAAGGCCCAACGGTGAGTTATATTACCATCACTAGTAATAAACCTAAAGGCCCAACGGTGAGTTATATTACCATCACTAGTAATAAACCTAAAGGCCCAACGGTGAGTTATATTACCATCACTAGTAATAAACCTAAAGGCCCAACGGTGAGTTATATTACCATCACTAGTAATAAACCTAAAGGCCCAACGGTGAGTTATATTACCATCACTAGTAATAAACCTAAAGGCCCAACGGTGAGTTATATTACCATCACCAGTAATAAACCTAAAGGCCCAACGGTGAGTTATATTACCATCACTAGTAAAAACCTAAAGGCCCAACGGTGAGTTATATTACCATCACTAGTAATAAACCTAAAGGCCCAACGGTGAGTTATATTACCATCACTAGTAATGAAGCTAAGGTACTGCCACTCCTAAATCATTAACATTTCCAAGAGATAATTGTACAGTAAAACTGCAGCATGAAACAGGAAAAGCACTTTTACTAACGCACAAAATACATACATAAGCAACTTTGTGTAACACACTGGCATACATTCTGTATTTCTTCTAAAGAACTATCCAAAAGCACTTTGGTGTTGTTGTCTCTAACATGAAAAGCGCCACTATCAATTTATTATCAATGGAATCTGAGAAAGTCTGAGACTTTAACCATCATTTTGCTGAATGACTTTCAGCTACTGCTTCCAAAAATATTGGGATCTACGGGGCAATGAACCCCAAAAATGATACAATCTCTCTTAATAATATTTTGTGTTTTTCCACAACCTCTGAACTTTGCCTGGTTCTGCCTGTGATTCCATCTGAAACTGATGTAAGATTCCATATAAAAACATTATATGGTTTATATATTTGTTTTTACAGCCTGTGCACCCATGACCCCATCTCTGACAATTATGTTTTTTTATTGACTGGTAGGGAGGTTGGTCGTGTCCCAAACCTATAGGCCCTGGTCAAAAGTAGTGCACTGTATAGGGGATAGGGTGCCATTTGGGATGCATCTGTTATCACCATTGCTGGCGGTTATTTCCCTGAGTGATCGACTTATCATCAGGTTATCCATTAAACAGGAGCTTTCTACAAATAGATTCTAAACAAACACTAAAGAACACTAAATGATTACGCCAAATTCCTCTCACACTCCTCTTCCTGGTGCCTAGCCGGCTTAGCTTCCCCCCCCCCAAACATATAAAAGTGACATCCCTGATACTGGCTCTTACATCTGAGGGAAAACATCAGACACAGATGAGTCAATCCACTGAGGCAAGTCAGGGAGAAGATCATAGCACTGGATGGTGCAGAACAGAACATCATTCAAGGACCTCCATAGCAACCTGCACTGAGACAGAGAAGTGATTCAGATCACCACATTAAAGCAGCATAAACCTGAGAGAGGATTTCAGATCAGACACTGGAGTAAAGATACAAACACCCAACCGGTGAATTCAAGTGGACAACAGAACAACTGTGTTCCCTCTATTGAATAAACACAGGTTCAGAGTGCTAGGACCTGGGCTAAAACACACTGGGCTAAACTGCAAACCAGAGCTTGATCTACTACTGAGCTAAACTACTGCTGAGAGCTGAGGATGCCTGAGGAGGGTATGGAGGAAACCAAGGGGGTAGAGGAGGAAACCAAGGGGGAAGAGGAGAGACCCAAGTGGAACAACAAGGCAGAGTATCTGCTGACCTGCATTGGCTTTGCTGTTGGACTGGGCAACGTGTGGCGTTTCCCCTACCTCTGCCAGATTTACGGAGGGGGTATAGATGCTTTTACACATATTTTCTTTTGTTTTTCACTCCAACTTTGTTCATGTTAAGCAAGTCCTCCGGAGACCTGAGTGGTTGTAGGATTCGGTGAAATTTCAACTCCGTTATCTATGATTTAATTTTTTTTACTAAATTTAACTAAATTCGATTTTTTAACACTATAACATTTTAGCACAATTTAAATTGTAACACCATTATTCAACTCTAAAATCTTTACTCCATTTAACAACTTCCTAATTTAACACTAACATTTTAACTGAAGTTAACAATTTAAGATTTTAACTCCATTAAACATGTTAACTGTATTTAATATTTAACAATTTAATTTACATTTTAGTCATTTAGCAGACGCTCTTATCCTGAGAGACTTACAGTTAGTGAGTGCATACATTTTTCATACTTTTAACTCAATACATTTGTGTATGTTATTTTTGAAATATATATTTTGATTGTCTGTTTTTATTTTAAAGTATCTCTGGTGTGGTTCTGTGAAGTGTAGACTGCAGTAAGTACTACAACAATACTTTGCTCTACAGCAGTGATTCCATCTGTGTCTTTGTCTCAAGTCTGGTGCGCTCAGGCTGTTACATCACGAGCATCACGAACAAAGTCATTTGGATCATTTTATCTCGCCTGTGAGAAACACAACCATTAGTGGTCCTCTGTAGCTCAATTGGTAGAGCATGGCGCTTGTAACGCTAGGGTAGTGCGTTCGATCCCCGGGACCACCCATACGTAAAAATGTATGCACACATGACTGTAAGTCGCTTTGGATAAAAGCGTCTGCTAAATGGCATATTTATTATTATTATTAGCACGGGCAAGTCTGATTAAGACTTAACTGTACCACAGCTTCTGCCATAGACAGCTTCCGCCATAGAAACAAACGGATCATGGCTTTGTGTCCGCGGTTGCACGTTTACAATGCAGAAAACGCTTGTCTCTAGCCCAAACCGTTAAAAAAATAAATACCTATTTTACCGGAGCTAAATACAATTATTTCTAGAATGGATTCGCGGGACGCTCTTAAAGGGGTACACATCAGTTATCATCATGCAAATAAACCCTAGTTCATCTATTCAAAACATTTATCACTAAAAATATATTATTTGCAGTATCCATGGGCGGCGCACAATTGGTCCAGCGTCGGTAGGGGAGGGTTTGGCCGGCAGGGATGTGGGTTCGTTTCCCGCGGGGGGCCAGTATGAAAAAAAAAAAATGAAAAAAAAAACATTTTAAAAAACATGTATGCATTCACTAACTGTAAGTTGCTCTGGATAAGAGCGTCTGCTAAATGACTAAAATGTAAATGTAAATGTATCAGATGAGATGGAGCTCATTACCACTAAATCAATAATAGGGACATTTTAATTTGCAGCATAATTTTTACCCCATCAAGGTGTGCCACAGTCCAAAAAATTATGAGAACCACTGCCCTACAGTACTTCTGCCTGTGACCTATTGAACTGCATGTCTTAAATTGTTTTGGATTTCAGGTCAGGTCTGTAAGTCAGGGCTCCAGGATAACATTTTCCTCTGGTGGCACTTGTGGTCTTAATAAGGTCTGAATGAGTGAACCTCCAATCCCATGAATTCTACTAGAGCTCTATGTAAACTTGTGGCAGTCGGAGACCTTGTTACAGGCCGGAGTTGTCCGTAGCAGGCACAAGGATACTCTCCCTGAATTCCCCGAAATTCCAAAATTAGGGTTACGTTTAGGGTTAGGATAAGGGTTAAGGTTAGGCCCAGGGTTATGGGCTAGTTTGTTGAAACGTTGTAGACAGTTAGTTGAACATTTACCAACCAACCATCTATTTAGGAAAGTGTTACAATGATCTCAGATCAAAGGTTCCTTCCCAAATGGCACCCTATTCCCTATGTAGTGCACTACGTTTGACCAGAGCCCTATGGGCCCCCTATGGGACCTGGTTAAAAGTAGTTTACTATATGGACACAGGGGCAACATCATTCTACTCTGACCGGATTCCACATGAACCCTTGTTTGTCCCGTGTCCCATGTCCCCTCTCTCCTCTCTCCAGGTGCGTTCCAGTTCCCCTACCTGATAACCCTGGTGTTTGACCCGTGTCCCCTCTCTCCTCTCCCCAGGTGCGTTCCTGATCCCATACCTGATAGCCCTGGTGTTTGACCCATGCCCCCTCTCTCCTCTCCCCAGGTGCGTTCCTGATCCCCTACCTGATAGCCCTGGTGTTTGACCCGTGTCCCCTCTCTCCTTTCCCCAGGTGCGTTCCTGATCCCCTACCTGATAGCCCTGGTGTTTGACCCGTGTCCCCTCTCTCCTCTCCCCAGGTGCGTTCCTGATCCCCTACCTGATAGCCCTGGTGTTTCAAGGTCTGCCTCTGCTCTATTTGGAGCTGGCTATAGGACAGAGGCTCCGCATGGGCAGCGTCGGAGTCTGGAACTCCATATCACCCTACCTGGGAGGAGTAGGTAGGTGATAAAACCTTGATGAAGACAGCTTAGCTGTTGAAACGATGGTTGTATAAATTATTGCATCGGAGTCATTAGACTGTGCAGCTTTTTGTCTTTTCTCAGGAGTAGGTGGGCGGCTAAAACTAACAGCCAGACAGGGAATGTCCCCTACTAGCTGTTGTTCAGTGTTTCTGATCTACTATCCTGTGTCCATCAGGTGTAGCCTCTATGGTGGTTTCCTTCTGTGTGAGTCTGTTCTACAACACTATCGTGGCCTGGGTACTCTGGTACCTCTTCAACTCCTTCCAGGAACCCCTGCCCTGGAGCCAATGTCCCCTCAACCACAACAACACAGGTATGAAGCGCTTTGAGTCAATCAGTTGGTAGAAAAATCGCTATATACTGTAAATCCGATCAATTATTATTATTATTATTATTATTAGTTCATTCTAGCTCTTTGTTCATTTGTCAGGGACCATGCACAGTTTGTAGGTTGGACCACAGTTGAAGAATGAACAGCAAGTGTACATTATGTCATTTGACCAAAGTAAATGATCATTTGATCCAGGGTACGTGGAGGAGTGTGTAGAAAGCACGCCGGTCAACTACTTCTGGTACCGCCAGACCCTGAACATCACTCCTAACATGGACACCAGTGGCTCTCTACAGTGGTGGATGGTGGTCAGCTTAGGTACCGCATGGGCTATCGTTTACATCTGTTTCATCAGGGGAATCGAGACCATCGGCAAGGTGAGAGGCAGACAGGGTGCTGCATTTTACCTCTGGGGGGTTAAAGGGTTAAAGTTAGGACTGGGGAGGGGAAGCGCTACTTGGATCTGTGCCAATCTTTTAGAAAAAGAATGAAAATATTATTAAACGGTTAAGAATGGTAATTCATAAAGGCAATAAGGAATTTGTTGTCCTGGGTATTGTGCTACGGCAAACTGGCTTTTAGAATATTCTAATTACATCAGCCAACTTTGGAATGTTGATCTTCGTTGGAGTTTGTTGTTGCAGTGTGGAAGCGGCGCTAAACAATATGCCCTTCCATCACCTGTCTTATTACAGGCTGTGTATGTAACAGCAACGTTCCCCTACCTGGTACTGACCATCTTTCTGGTGAGAGCCCTGACCCTACCTGGAGCTTCTGAAGGACTAATATACCTGTTCACACCTGACGTGAGTCCTGTGTGTGTGTGTGTGTGTGTCTGTGTCAGAGAGCGAGAGAGACAACACTGTATATATACATAATATGACATTTGAAATGTCTTTATTCTTTTGAAACTTCTGAGTGTAATGTTTACTGTTAATATTTATTGTTTATTTCACTTTTGTTTACTATCTACTTCACTTGCTTTGGCAATGTTAACACACGTTTCCCATGCCAATAAAGCCCTTAAATTGAAATTGAATTGAGAGACAGAGAGACAGAGACAGAGAGAGAGAGAGAGAGAGAGAGAGAGAGAGAGAGAGAGAGAGAGAGAGAGAGAGAGAGAGAGACAGACAGAGAAGAGAGAGACTATATGAGATATATTTAGACTATTCTATAGTATGCAGGATTATATATATATCTATTCTTATCTAGCATATCCGAATATTCATATCCAATATCTATAACCTAATATATAGACGATTATCTATCTATCCATAGCTAACTATCTCTATTCTATATATATCTCTCTTCTCTCTCTCCTTCTCTCTCTCTCTCTCCCTCTCTCTCTCCTCTCTCTTCTCTCTCTTCTCTCCTTATATAGAGCTACAGAGACATAGGGAAGTGACGTGTCTTGACAATCCACCTCAATTGTAATAGTATGTGTGTTTCTTCCTGTGTCTCATCAGTGGGAGATCCTGAAGAACCCCCAGGTATGGCTGGATGCTGCCACTCAGATCTTCTTCTCTCTGTCAGTGGCCTTTGGTGGACTCATCTCATTCTCCAGTTACAACAGCCTCAAGTAAGCCCAATGGTCAATCATTATTAGTAACATCAACCATTATTGGTCCAGCAAGTCATTCGTCCCCGCCAAGGCAGGTTATTTACCATATCGTTCACCTCCCTCGACAATCCTCCCTCGCTGTTCCGCCATTGACCAAGAATTTGCATTCCCTTTGTTTTTCTTGTCTGTGTGTTTTGTCAGGAATGACTGTGAGAGGGATGCTGTTGTAGTGGGGGTTATAAACAGTGCCACATCTATCTATGCCTCCATCCCCATCTTTGCCATCCTGGGATTCAAGGCTCACACCAACTATGTCACCTGTCTGAATGGGTAGGTGTGATACAATATTTAGTTTATTTGGCAACATTTGCGCTAGCTAAATCATGAAACTATCCCCATTTAGGCCTAGAGTTTACATTCAAGTTTCTTGAACCTTTATATTCTACCTTCTGTGTTTGATATCCTCTGGAAAAGCAGATGCAAACTCAACCAAAACAAATGACCAATATGTTTCTTTTGTTGTAACTTACAGTAACATCTTAGCACTGACCAATGAGTTTGAGATTAGCGACATGAACATAACGGTTGAAAACTACGACCAGTGGTTTGACTCTTTAAATGGGACACATCCAGCTAGAGTATCCGATCTCAACCTGAAGACATGCGACCTGCAAACCTTCTTGGATCAGGTACTATGCTCAGGAGTTAAACTACCTCAGGGTAAAAAACTACCTCAGGGCAAACATGGGTTGAGTCAAGTTGTTATTGAATTTACACACGCTGCATCAAAGAAGCTAATTGGTTGTCTTGTTTTCCTCAATCCAGAGTGCGTCTGGTACTGGGTTAGCGTTCATCGTGTTCACAGAAGCGGTGATATCGATGCCTGGCTCTCAGGTATGGGCTGACCCTTTGTTTTATTTTTGTATTACTTCTTTAAAAAAAAGTATGGTTCAAATTCAGAGACAACTCTGCGTGAAATCCAGTTAAATACAGCTGGATTTGATTCAATTCCTGTCTGACCAGGTGTGGGCTGTGTTTCCTGTCTGTTTGACCAGGTGTGGGCTGTGCTCTTCTTCGTAATGCTGTTCAGTCTGGGTCTGTCCTCCATGTTTGGTAATCTGGAAGGCGTCCTCACGCCCCTTCATGACCTCAAACTGGTGCCCAAGTGGATGCCCAACGAGCTGTTCACAGGTAAAAGCCAACAAGGAAATGATCAGATTTTTGAACGTTTCGATATTGAATCATGTTGGACAGACTGCAGCACTGGCTTACCCCTTGCCAATGTGTGACGAATAACTGTTATTTTGGGAATGATCTTAACACCATATTGGTTTTCTCCGTCCCTCCGTCCACTCTCCTCCCACTTTCTCTCTCCAGCATTGATCTGCCTGGTGTCGTTCCTGTTGGCTCTGTTATTCTGTCTGGGATCAGGGAACTACTAAGTCTTTGGGAATTATCTTAACGCCATCTTTGGGAATTATCTTAACGCCGTCTTTGGGAATTATCTTAACGCCGTCTTTGGGAATTATCTTAACGCCGTCTTTGTTTTCTCTGTCTCTCCCTCCCTCCCTCACTCCCCACTTTCTTTCTCTCCAGCAATAATCTGCCTGGTGTCATTCCTGTTGGCTCTGATATTCTGTCTGGGATCAGGGAACTACTGGTTGGAGATCTTTAACAGTTACGTGGGCTCTGTACCTCTCCTCATCATCGCCTTCTTTGAGATCATCGCTGTGGCCTACGTCTACGGAATAGGACGGTAAGAGCCTCACAATACTACAGTTGTCCTGGTTTGATCTGTAGTGAGTGTCTTCCCACTGGGCACACGCTGGCTGAATAAACGTTGTTTCAGCGTCATTTCAATGAAATTACTTTGAACCAACGCGGAATAGACGTTGAATTGACGTCTGTGCCCAGTGGGTTGTCTTCAGAATGAGGCAGATTGCTAGGAACCTCTCAGAGGAACATGTCTGTCTCCCCATATGCATATGCCTGTCTATTGTTTTGTCTATTAAACCTTTAAATATAGTGGTTGTTCACCTTATCTTTAGGTTCAGGTTTTTCATTTATCCTGGTTGGAGGACTATGGACATCCTGCTTACTCCCTACTGCAGTTCTTAGGCATGTGCTTGATCCTGGATCATCTGCAATTATTGAACCAGAGTTATCTGCAGTTCTTAGGCAATAGCTTTCATCTGTTCCTCTTCCATCTCTTCTTCTTTCTTCTGTGCTGAACCTGTAATGACGAGCATGTTGTTTTTAAAGCCTCTTCTGACTCTACCCGTTTCTGTCTCCGTAGGTTCAGTGATGACCTGGAGTTCATGACAGGACGTAGACCCAACATCTTCTGGAAGGCTTGCTGGTTGGTCATCAGCCCTCTGATGCTGGTCGTCGTGTTGGTGGCGTATGTTGCCATCCAGGCCCAGAAACACCCCACCTACCCAGCATGGAATCCTGACTATGTAAGAGCAACGACTGGTAGATAGCTACATCTAGGAGTGCAAAAATCCAGTAACTTTCTCACATTCCCCAAGATTTCTAGAAATCCTGGTTGAAGGATTCCGGAATTCCTGCTTATTCCCTCCTGGTTCCAGGAATCTTCCAACAGGGATTTCTGGAAAACATGGGAGTTTTGGGAAAGTTACCAAAATGTTGCAACCCAATCTACATCAATATCAGGAACATGCATATTGTATTAGTGTGAAGCATTTCTCTGCTCAGATCAGCTAGGCTGTAGGTGTCATTTAAGAGGTTCAATAGTAGTGTATGATAATTGTTCCTACTAGTAAAGGGGACTTGGGTTTCAGTTGAGAGACAGCCACAGTCAGACGGACACACAGTACTCACATAATAAGCAGTGCACTAACAGCCTACAGGGAATAGGGTGTCATTTGAGATATGCCCTGTGAGATATGTCATTTTTTGCATGGCAATTAAGTTGTCTGATTCTGTCTGTGCAGGTGAACTTCCCCGACACAGAGGTTCTGCCGTATCCAGACTGGGTGTTTGCCATCTGTGTCCTGCTGTCTTCAGTCCCAGTTCTCTCCATCCCCCTCGTGGCCATCTACAGACTCATCTGCTGCATGTCAGGAAGACACTCTAAAGACAATCTCCACAACGATCCGAATCCCTACGCCAACGAAGGCTACGTCGTAGAGCGCTAGACCCTAAAAAGATACTGTGCTTCCTGCTTGAGCTTTTATTGTAAGCAGGAATCAGGAGGACTGTGGCTGATACTCTGTATTTAATCTATCCTCCTCTGAGCAACACTGTAAAACAACGCTGAGGGATCGCTGACTTCTCAGACCTTGGTGAAGTAACTGCCTCACATCAACTGAAATGGACCTTTACATTCCTAACACTCATGAATCAAAAGGGTGTTTATTTGTTTTAATATTTTTATAATGAAGGACGCATGATCAGTTGCACTCAAATTGGACAGTGAATTTAAATGTCTCCAGGATTAGTTTTTATTTTTATTATTCTTTGGGGTGACACAAAGAGGATTGAAGAGCTGAGAATCAGTGAATGTTGGGTTTACCAACTTTGACCAACAAAAAATTGATTTATTAGTCAAAGTATAGATTTTTTTGTATTTATTTTCTCACACAGAGCATAAAGATTAGAGTGAATGTAAACAGCATAGAGCTTTCAGTGTAAATATATAGTATCTATGCCGTTATATTATCTACTGGAAATGAAATTATATCTGTGATATCTGTACTTCCTTATTTCTTTCATAGGACCTACCACTCCTAAACCATAAACATTAGAGATAATACAGCAATTAGATGGATAATTAACCTAGGCGTTGAAACCCCGGTATGAAAGTATGAAAAGCCTCTTTTAGTTTTACTAAAGCACAAAACATAAATAAACAACTTTGTATTTCATATTGGTGGTGTGCTATATTACTTATATAAATATCTACTTTATTCAGTCACACGTCACTGACACATAGCCTAGTAGACAGATCTGTTTGCACTTTAGCTAGCTAACTCCTCTGTCCTGTCCGTTGTCATGGCACTTTAGCTAGCTAACTCCTCTGTCCTGTCCGTTGTCCTGGCACTTTAGCTAGCTAACTCCTCTGTCCTGTCCGTTGTCATGGCACTTTAGCTAGCTAACTCCTCTGTCCTGTCCGTTGTCCTGGCACTTTAGCTAGCTAACTCCTCTGTCCTGTCCGTTGTCATGGCACTTTAGCTAGCTAACTCCTCTGTCCTGTCCGTTGTCATGGCACTTTAGCTAGCTAACTCCTCTGTCCTGTCCGTTGTCATGGCACTTTAGCTAGCTAACTCCTCTGTCCTGTCCGTTGTCATGGCACTTTAGCTAGCCAACTCCTCTGTCCTGTCCGTTGTCATGGCACTTTAGCTAGCCAACTCCTCTGTCCTGTCCGTTGTCATGGCACTTTAGCTAGCTAACTCCTCTGTCCTGTCCGTTGTCATGGCACTTTAGCTAGCTAACTCCTCTGTCCTGTCCGTTGTCATGGCACTTTAGCTAGCTAACTCCTCTGTCCTTTCCGTTGTCATGGCAAATGCTAGCAAGATAGAAATATGACACACTTTGATGCGACGAATCAACAGACAAAGTCCAGAGAAAGAAATGGGAGGAGGTTTTGTGTTGTTGATCTCACATTCAATCTTTATAGATTTTTTTTTACATGGCATGTTAAAGAGAACTCGTTATGATTCATCCTTATCACTCTACGGTTTTATTATCAATTTAATGATGTTTTGCTCTCTCTCTCTCTCTTTCCTGGTCTTGTGAAAGAGATGTGTTTTAAATCAGGTTGTTTGTGACAAGTCAAGGATCTGCCAAACCTCAGCCCACATCTTCACCGCATCCCTAGTTAGACTGTAACCTGGGATGGTGAAATAAACCAATCAGGACCACTCTACGAATATAAGTTACACCTGGTACTAATCACCACCTGCTTTAAAGTACAGTGGTATCAAAAATTAAAGGTAGAGCCGAAACAGGAATATTAAAACAAATCCCAAATGTCCATATATAAACAGACGCAACAAGGCTCCTTCCTACCTGTTTGGGTCTGTCTAGTCTCAAACCCCACCGCAACCTCTCCAGACTTACCTACAGAGAGCCAGAATGAACTATGGTGCTTGCTTTCTAATAACAAAGTAAAGTTTAACCATTAACCCCAATTCGTGTCCTAAATTAAGAATAAATACTGTAACTTCACTCTCACATCAGTGCTGATATTGCCACTTTTGTAACATGACTATTTATTGCCTACCAAGCGGGCCTCTCACCTGTAAGGACCTTACTACACAGGACTTCTTAAAAATACAGCTACGACCGTAAGTGACTTTTAATAGCCAGTTAGGAGAGCATTTCCGCTAACCCTAACCCTTTTCCTAACCTTAACCTAATTCTCCTAACCTGCTATGTTAATTATCCTAACCTGCTGCATAAGTTCTCCTAACCTGCTAAGACAAGGAGGCTGCTGGAAAACTACAGGGACATGGGAAAACACTGGAGAATCGTTAAGAGTTCCCTCACACATTGACCATTAACCCTAATTAGCTACTGTAACTTTACACTCTCATCAGATCTTATTTTGGCGCTTTTGACTTAGACCCTGTGACCCTATGCAACAGTGTTGCTTCTGTCCATCTCCTTGCCCCAAGCTGGATTCAACCAGGGAACCTCTCTTAAAAACACATCGACATCTGTCACCCACGAAGCATCGTTACCCGTCACTCCACAAAAGCAGAGCAAGGGAAACAACTACTTCTTGGCCTTTAGAGTGGGTGACGTCAAACGATTGAACTGTACTAGTGCACCGCTAACTAGGTAGCCATTTCACGTCTGCTACACCTACTGAACACCACCCTACTGGAAAACTACAGCGGGACACGGAAAAACACTGGAGACTCATAGAGCGCCCTCACACATTAACCATGTGTTTCAGATCAGACACTGGAGTAAAGATACAAACACCCAACCGGTGAATTCAAGTGGACAAAAGAACAACTGTGTTCCCTCTGTAGAATAAACATAGGTTCAGAGTGCTAGGACCTGGGCTAAAACACACTGGACTAAACTGCAAACCAGAGCTTGATCTACTACTGAGCTAAACTACTGCTGAGAGCTGAGGATGCCGGAGGAGGGTATGGAGGAAACCAAAGGGGAAGAGGAGAGACCCAAGTGGAACAACAAGGCAGAGTATCTGCTGACCTGCATTGGCTTTGCTGTTGGAGTGGGCAACGTGTGGCGTTTCCCCTACCTCTGCCAGATCTACGGAGGGGGTATAGATGCTTTTACACATCTTTTCTTTTGTTTTTCACTCCAACTTTGTTCATGTTAAGCAACTCCTCCGGAGACCTGAGTGGTTGTAGGATTTGATGACATAACTCGAATTATTTAACATTTTAACTTAAAAGGAGAAGTTTATTTTACAACCTGAATCTACATTTTAAAAGTAAATTCCATGTTATCGAAGGGTCCAGACACTTATTTTGCGATTTCAATTGGATTTGAGAAGATTACACCACTCGCGATACACTTCCTCATTGCTCGTTCTGCAGTACGGAAAAAAACATGAACAAAGGCTCCAAAAACACCCAAATACTTCCCTTCAGAAATGTCAAAGCTCTCAGTACACACGAAATTGTGTCATTCTGAACTTTACCCGCAACGTTACATTCCATTTTGTTGCGACTCGAGCGATACCTCTCCGTCCAGTTTGGAATGACACAATGAGATGGTGTACAACATCTAAAGACCTGCATCACTATACTATATCTTGTGGTTTCTGTCCATGTTGTATCAATATGTACTGTACAGACCAACTAGATAATGTTTGAGGATACTTGGCAGGCACTTTTGTACAGAGGAACTTACAGTAGTCAAACATTATCTACTCCGTTTATATATCTGAATACATAATGAACAGAAACTGCGTGATTGTGGCTTAGAAGGGTTATCTGAGATATGTCAGCCACTGCCAGTCTTCTATGCTCATAGGCTCTACTACAACACCAGGCTTCTATTCTCATAGGCTCTCCTACAATACCAGGCTTCTATTCTCATAGGCTCTCCTACAATACCAGGCATCTATTCTCATAGGCTCTACTACAACACCAGGCTTCTATTCTCATAGGCTCTCCTACAATACCAGGCTTCTATTCTCATAGGCTCTCCTACAACACCAGGCTTCTATTCTCATAGGCTCTCCTACAACACCAGGCTTCTATTCTCATAGGCTCTCCTACAATACCAGGCTTCTATTCTCATAGGCTCTCCTACAATACCAGGCTTCTATTCTCATAGGCTCTCCTACAATACCTGGCTGATGTTTAGGTCTTAAACACAATCACTATGCTAGGGTTTAACACTGGAAGAGCACTATGCTAGGGTTTAACACTGGAAGTGCAGACGACATCTTTGGAAAGTCATGTGAATTTAAAATTGTAATATCTCTGCCATTTTAAAGTCACGTCCCTCTCAGTCTGACGTTTCCTACAAAAATATATTTAACACACTGACGTTGTTAGAATTTCAATATCACAAACATTATGTTTTATAAGCAGTTTTGGAGGCCATGCCATTTTCCCCCACTGCCCTTCCTTCACCCGACAGTTGGCTGCCCATCCAAACTTCACCTACTATATAAAACAAATTTCACACATAGGCCTATAATAATAGATGCAGCCTAAAGACTAGATTAAATTGACAATAGTCAACAATTATCAATGTTGTTGTGAATGAAGAGACTGACGAACAGCACAGCGTGTAATAGACAGAAAAGATCAAATATACTTTTTGCAAATCAGACTACAGATGTTCATGTAGGTCAGACGTTTATTTTGAGTTTATGGCACATGGTATTCCTGGCGGTCTCCCATCCTGGTACTAACCAGCCCCCCCAGGTCCCTTGGCTCATCTCTGCAACTCCTCCATGGGCTCGGGAGAGGCGAACGTCGAGTCATGCGTCCTCCGAAACATGACCCACCTGGCCGCCTACTTCTTATCACACTGATCGCTTAATCCGGATGTCAGCCGCACCAATGTGTCGGAGGAAACCCAGTTCGACTGATGACCGGGGCTTGCAGGCGTCACAAGGAGTCGTTAGAGCACCATGAGCCAAGGAAAAAGCCCCACCGGCCAAACCCTACCCCGGACAGCACTGGGCCAAACCCTCCCCCGGACAGCACTGGGCCAAACCCTACCCCGGACAGCACTGGGCCAAACCCTCCCCCGGACAGCACTGGGCCAAACCCTCCCCCGGACAGCACTGGGCCAAACCCTCCCCCGGACAGCACTGGGCCAAACCCTACCCCGGACAGCACTGGGCCAAACCCTACCCCGGACAGCACTGGGCCAAACCCTCCCCCGGACAGCACTGGGCCAAACCCCCCCCCGGACAGCACTGGGCCAAACCCTACCCCGGACAGCACTGGGCCAAACCCTACCCCGGACAGCACTGGGCCAATTGTGCACCGTCCTAGGGGGCTCCCGGTCACGGCCGGTTGTGACACAGGCTGGGATCGAACCCCAGGCTGTAGTGGCGCCTCAGCACTGCGGTGCAGTGCTTTTGACCGATGCGGCACCCAGGACCCTGGACGTTTTGATTTCTATAACCTATCAGAAAAAGCATATTCTAAAGTTTTGAAAATACCAACATTTGCCAAACAACTCTCAAAATTGAGCAGATTGGGATCTATTTCAAAATATCACTTTTATAGAATAACTGCAATTCCATGCGTTCCACAGCAGCATATAGTCTATGCTATAAGCACAGAACATAATAAAACAAAAACTATGCTATTCTGTTCTTTTGAAATACATTTTCTTAGTTTCATAACGTTTCTTAAGAACTGCCTAAACAAAATAATATTGGATTATGGTGTATATTAACACTTGCAGTGTTTTTAGTGGTTTTTAGTTTTTACATATAGCCTATAGTAACATTAACTAATTAAAATGCTATTGTGCACTTTGAAATAGTTTGCTTTTTAATTCTAATGTTACGTAAGACCATAAACAGAACCAAAGGATTAGCATATACAACATTTATTTAATAATAATAATAATAATAATAATAATATGCCATTTAGCAGACGCTTTTACCCAACGCGACTTATTAGGCAGTTAGTGTTGACGCCCCAAAGACACAGCATTAGCCTGAACTGGGATGCCTCGAGGCTTGGCTGTTCTACTGTTAACCCTTATCCCAACCAGGGGCTATGGGGGAGGGTATCGTAGACCTGACTGTATATCTGGGTCTACTGGTCAACTCCCGGATCAATGAGGTCACAATGTCAAGTTTAAATTGTGGTCCTCTTGTAGCTCAATTGGTAGAGCACGGCGCTTGTAACGCCAGGGTAGTGGGTTCGATCCCCGGGACCACCCATATGTTAAAATGTATACACACGACTGTAAGTCGCTTTGGATAAAAGCGTCTGCTTCAGACCTGACCCAAATCCATTACAATATAAAATGGAGGCCAATATGTCACATAAGAAAGAACTGTGTACATTTAATGAGAATTTGTATGGTGTTCATGAGTAAAATAAGTAACTGGCCTATAAGGTTTGAGGTTATACGGTTAGGGAACAGCTACTGAACATCTACAAACTGTTACCCCTGATCAAAAGCCTGGGGACAACTTCATTCTACTCTGACCTGGTTTCACATTGGACCCGTCTGTCCAGTCCCCCTCTCCTCTCCCCAGGTGCGTTCCAGTTCCCTTACCTGATAGCCCTGGCAGTTAGCCTCTTAAGGTTCCAGGGTTTAAGTTTAGGGTTAATGGATAGTTAGATGAAATGTTGTTGACAGTTAGTTCAACATCTACTGAACATCTCTTTACCCAGGTGCGTTCCAGTTCCCCTACCTGATAGCCCTGGTGTTTGACCCGTGTCCCCTCTCTCCTCTCCCCAGGTGCGTTCCTGATCCCCTACCTGATAGCCCTGGTGTTTGACCCGTGTCCCCTCTCTCCTCTCCCCAGGTGCGTTCCTGATCCCCTACCTGATAGCCCTGGTATTTGTCCCCCTCTCTCCTCTCCCCAGGTGCGTTCCTGATCCCCTACCTGATAGCCCTGGTGTTTGACCCGTGTCCCCTCTCTCCTCTCCCCAGGTGCGTTCCTGATCCCCTACCTGATAGCCCTGGTATTTGTCCCCTCTCTCCTCTCCCCAGGTGCGTTCCTGATCCCCTACCTGATAGCCCTGGTGTTTGACCCGTGTCCCCTCTCTCCTCTCCCCAGGTGCGTTCCTGATCCCCTACCTGATAGCCCTGGTATTTGTCCCCTCTCTCCTCTCCCCAGGTGCGTTCCTGATCCCCTACCTGATAGCCCTGGTGTTTGACCCGTGTCCCCTCTCTCCTCTCCCCAGGTGCGTTCCTGATCCCCTACCTGATAGCCCTGGTGTTTGACCCGTGTCCCCTCTCTCCTCTCCCCAGGTGCGTTCCTGATCCCCTACCTGATAGCCCTTGTGTTTCAGGGTCTGCCTCTGCTCTATCTGGAGCTGGCTATTGGACAGAGGCTCCGCATGGGCAGCATCGGAGTCTGGAACTCCATATCACCCTACCTGGGAGGACTAGGTAGGTGATGAAACCTTGATGAAGACAGCTTAGCTGTTGAAACGATGGTTGAATAAATTATTGCATCAGAGTCACTGTGCAGCTTTTTGTCTTTCCTCAGGAGTAAGTGGGCGGCTAAAACTAACAGCCAGACAGGGAACGTCCCCTACTAGCTGTTGTTCAGTGTTTCTGATCTACTATCCTGTGTCCATCAGGTGTAGCCTCTATGATGGTGTCCTTCTGTGTGAGTCTGTTCTACAACACTATCGTGGCCTGGGTACTCTGGTACCTCTTCAACTCCTTCCAGGAACCCCTGCCCTGGAGCCAATGTCCCCTCAACCACAACAACACAGGTACAGAGGCTTGCGAAAGTACACTGCTCAAAAAAATAAAGGGAACACTTAAACAACACAATGTAACTCCAAGTCAATCACACTTCTGTGAAATCAAACTGTCCACTTAGGAAGCAAAACTGATTGACAATAAATTTCACATGCTGTTGTGCAAATGGAATAGACAACAGGTGGAAATTATAGGCAATTAGCAAGACACCCCCAATAAAGGACTGGTTTTGCAGGTGGTGACTACAGACCACTTCTCAGTTCCTATGCTTCCTGGCTGATGTTTTGGTCACTTTTGAATGCTGGCGGTGCTTTCACTCTAGTGGTAGCATGAGACGGAGTCTACAACCCACACAAGTGGCTCAGGTAGTGCAGCTCATCCAGGATGGCACATCAATGCGAGCTGTGGCAAGAAGGTTTGCTGTGTCTGTCAGCGTAGTGTCCAGAACATGGAGTCGCTACCAGGAGACAGGCCAGTACATCAGGAGACGTGGAGGAGGCCGTAGGAGGGCAACAACCCAGCAGCAGGACTGCTACCTCCGCCTTTGTGCAAGGAGGAGCACTGCCAGAGCCCTGCAAAATGACATCCAGCAGGCCACAAATGTGCATGTGTCTGCTCAAATGGTCAGAAACAGACTCCATGAGGGTGGTATGAGGGCCCGACGTCCACAGGTGGGGGTTGTGCTTACAGCCCAACACCGTGCAGGACGTTTGGCATTTGCCAGAGAACACTAAGATTGGCAAATTCGCCACTGGCGCCCTGTTCTCTTCACAGATGAAAGCAGGTTCACACTGAGCACACGTGACAGAGTCTGGAGACGCCGTGGAGAACGTTCTGCTGCCTGCAACATCCTCCAGCATGACCGGTTTGGCGGTGGGTCAGTCATGGTGTGGGGTGGCATTTCTTTGGGGGGCCGCACAGCCCTCCATGTGCTCGCCAGAGGTAGCCTGACTGCCATTAGGTACGGAGATGAGATCCTCAGACCCCTTGTGAGACCATATGCTGGTGGGGTTGGCCCTGGGTTCCTCCTAATGCAAGACAATGCTAGACCTCATGTGGCTGGAGTGTGTCAGCAGTTCCTGCAAGAGGAAGGCATTGATGCTATGGACTGGCCCGCCCATTCCCCAGACCTGAATCCAATTGAGCACATCTGGGACATCATGTCTCGCTCCATCCACCAACGCCACGTTGCACCACAGACTGTCCAGGAGTTGGCGGATGCTTTAGTCCAGGTCTGGGAGGAGATCCCTCAGGAGACCATCCGCCACCTCATCAGGAGCATGCCCAGGCGTTGTAGGGAAGTCATACAGGCACGTGGAGGCCACACACACTACTGAGCCTCATTTTAACTTGTTTTAAGGACATTACATCAAAGTTGGATCAGCCTGTAGTGTGGTTTTCCACTTTAATTTTGAGGGTGACTCCAAATCCAGACCTCCATGGGTTGATAAATTTGATTTCCATTGATAATTTTTGTGTGATTTTGTTGTCAGCACATTCAACTATGTAAAGAAAAAAGTATTTAATAAGATTATTTCATTCATTCAGATCTAGGATGTGTTATTTTAGTGTTCCCTTTATTTTTTTGAGCAGTGTATATATAGAGAGAGAGACAGCGAGAGAGACATACAGTGGGGAGAACAAGTATTTGATACACTGCCGATTTTGCAGGTTTTCCTACTTACAAAGCATGTAGAGGTCTGTCATTTTTATCATAGGTACACTTCAACTGTGAGAGACGGAATCTAAAACAAAAATCCAGAAAATCACATTGTATGATTAAGTAATTCATTTGCATTTTATTGCATGACATAAGTATTTGATACATCAGAAAAGCAGAACTTAATATTTGGTACAGAAACCTTTGTTTGCAATTACAGAGAACATACGTTTCCTGTAGGTCTTGACCAGGTTTGCACACACTGCAGCAGGGATTTTGGCCCACTCCTCCATACAGACCTTCTCCAGATCCTTCAGGTTTCGGGGCTGTTGCTGGGCAATACAGACTTTGAGCTCCCTCCAAAGATTTTCTATTGGGTTCAGGTCTGGAGACTGGCTAGGCCACTCCAGGACCTTGAGATGCTTCTTACAGAGCCACTCCTTAGTTGCCCTGGCTGTGTGTTTCGGGTCGTTGTCATGCTGGAAGACCCATCTTCAATGCTCTTACTGAGGGAAGGAGGTTGTTGGCAAAGATCTCGCGATACATGGCCCCATCTATCCTCCCCTCAATACGGTGCAGTCGTCCTGTCCCCTTTGCAGAAAAGCATCCCCAAAGAATGATGTTTCCACCTCCATGCTTCACGGTTGGGATGGTGTTCTTGGGGTTGTACTCATCCTTCTTCTTCCTCCAAACACGGCGAGTGGCGTTTAGACCAAAAAGCTCTATTTTTGTCTCATCAGACCACATGACCTTCTCCCATTCCTCCTCTGGATCATCCAGATGGTCATTGGCAAACTTCAGACGGGCCTGGACATGCGCTGGCTTGAGCAGGGGGACCTGCTATTTTGTTGCCTTACAACCTGTAATTAAAATGGATTTTTTGGGGGTTTGTATCATTTGATTTACACAACATGCCTACCACTTTGAAGATACAAATATTTTTTTTTGCGAAACAAACAAGAAATGAGACAAAATAAACAGTAAACTTGTGCGTGCATAACTATTCACCCCCCCAAAGTCAATACTTTGTAGAGCCACCTTTTGCAGCAATTACAGCTGCAAGTCTCTTGGGGTATGTCTTTATAAGCTTAGCACATCTAGCCACTGGGATTTTTGCCCATTCTTCAAGGCAAAACTGCTCCAGCTCCTTCAAGTTGGATGGGTGCCGCTGGTGTACAGCAATCTTTAAGTCATACCATAGATTCTCAATTGGATTGAGGTCTGGGCTTTGACTAGGCCATTCCAAGACATTTAAATGTTTCCCCTTAAACCACTCAAGTGTTGCTTTAGCAGTATGCTTAGGGTCATTGTCCTGCTGGAAGGTGAACCTCCATCCCAGTCTCAAATCTCTGGAAGACTGAAAAAGGTTTCCCTCAAGAATTGCCCTGTATTTAGCGCCATCCATCATTCCTTAAATTCTGACCAGTTTCCCAGTCCCTGCCGATGGTGTTCTCGGGGTGATGAGAGGTGTTGGGTTTGCGCCAGACATAGTGTTTTCCTTGATGGCCAAAAACTCAATTTTAGTCTCATCTGACCAGAGTACCTTCTTCCATATGTTGGGGGAGTCTCCCACATGCCTTTTGGCCAACACCAAACGTGTTTGCTTATTTTTTTCTTTAAGCAATGGCTTTTTTCTGGCCACTCTTCCGTAAAGCCCAGCTCTGTGGAGTGTACGGCTTAAAGTGGTCCTATGAACAGATACTCCAATCTCTGCTGTGGAGCTTTGCAGCTCCTTCAGGGTTATCTTTGGTCTCTTTGTTGCCTCTGATTAATGCCCTCCTTGCCTGGTCTGAGAGTTCTGGTGGGCGGCCCTCTCTTGGCAGTTTTGTTGTGGTGCCATATTCTTTCCATTTTTTATTAATGGATTTAATGGTGCTCCGTGGGATGTTCAAAGTTTCGGATGATTTTATAACGCAACCCTGATCTGAACGTCTCCACAACTTTGTCCCTTACCTGTTTGGAGAGCTCCTTGGTCTTCATGGTGTTGCTTGCTTGGTGGTGCCCCTTGCTTAGTGGTGTTGCAGACTCTGGGGCATTTCAGAACAGGTGTATATATACACTGAGATCATGTGACAGATCATGTGACACTTAAATAAAGTCCACCTGTGTGCAATCTAAATAATTATGTGACTTCTGAAGGTAATTGGTTACACCAGATCTTATTTAGGGGCTTCATAGCAAAGGGGTGAATACATATGGGGGCGGCAGGTAGCTTAGTGGTTAAGAGCGTTGTGCCAGTAACCGAAAGGTCGCTGGTTCTAATCCCCGAGCCGACTAGGTGAAAAACCTGTCGATGTGCCCTTGAGCAAGGCACTTAACCCTAATTGCTCCTGTAAGTCGCTCTGGATAAGAGCGTCTGCTAAATGACCAATTTATTTATATTTATTTATATATGCACGCACCACTTTTCCGTGATTTAATTTTTTGAAATGTTTGAAAAGACATTTTTTTATTTTTTCACTTCATCAATTTGGACTATTTTGTGTATGTCCATTACATGAAATCCAAATAAAAATCCATTTAAATTACAGGTTGTAATGCAACAAAATAGGAAAAACACCAAGAGGTTGAATACTTTTGCAAGGCACTGTATGAATCGCTATATAAATCCGATCAATTATTATTATTATTATTATTATTAGTTAATTCTAGCTCTTTGTTCATTTGTCAGGGACCATGCACAGTTTGTAGGTTGGACCACAGTTGAAAAATGAACAGCAAGTGTACATTATGTAATTTGACCAAAGTAAATGATCATTTGATCCAGGGTACGTGGAGGAGTGTGTAGAAAGCACGCCGGTCAACTACTTCTGGTACCGCCAGACCCTGAACATCACTCCTAACATGGACACCAGTGGCTCTCTACAGTGGTGGATGGTGGTCAGCTTAGCTACCGCCTGGGCTATCGTTTACATCTTGTTTTTAAAAAGGGAACGAGACCATGGAAAGAGGCAACAGTTCTGAACCCTGTAGCCGGTACAAACACCAAATTTGTCATTGCCAATTTTAAAGTTGCTCTTGGACGTTGTTTGGAGGGTAAAAATTTATATTTTATAAAGGCTTGAGAAAAAATTCCCGTTTAGCCACCGTGTGGGCCCCGACCTCTGGGTTTAACCAATGCCGAACCCGGTAGCTTTTTTTTTTGAGTTGGTGGTTTAGCTTGTGTTTTGTGGGGGGCGATCAACCAAATAGTTTGATATGTTTCATGAATACCTAGTTTTCCCGCAACATTTTTCAAAGTTTTAATCAGCCCTTGTAAAGGAGGAGGTATGGAAGGTGTCAACCCATGCTCTAAAAAAGCCTGTCACTTTTAAACAGAAAAAGTAACCAAATTGCAACCCCCAGAATGTGATCTTCGTTAGTTTTCCCAAGGGCTAAAAAAATTTGCCCCCTTTCCATCCCTGTCTTTACGGCGTTTAAGTAACCCAACGTTCCCCTACCTGTTGACCAGCTTTTCTTTTGGTAAGCCCCGCCCCAACTGGACTTTATTATATTACTTTTACACCACGTAGCCTTTTGTGGTTGTTGAAATCTTTTTTGAGTCTTTGTTTTGGGGTTGGGGTGAGGTAGGCCTTGCTCAAGGACATCGTAGCGGCTCGGGTTAAAACCCCACCTTTGTTCGGCACCCCCTTTCCATAAACCGACTAGTTTAAGGATGCACCTTTATAGCAGCTTCACCGTAAAAGTGCAAGTATTTGATCCTGTCCCAAACCTTGCCATAGTTTTACTCCTTTTTCAATTATTGCAGAGAGAGGCTAACCAGGATAAAATGCACCTTAGCTAAAACAACGAATAATGCAAAATTTGTGAAGTTTAAATTCATGTTTTTCCTAAAACTTTCCATGTCATTGGTACGCCTGTTGTCCGATCCGTTTAAAAGCTGACCAAACGTAGGACAACGCTCACAATTATTTGGGAAATTGACAATTTGCATTTAGTCAAGCGACGCTCATTTTAAGCCCAAACCATTGAGCTTAGGTTCTGTCAAACACTCAGAAGTCCATCCTCTATTACTTGGCACCTGCTTTGTGAACAACGGTGTAACCACGGGAAAACTTTCTTCCCCCTTCAGAAGAAAACTAAACGAATAAAGACAATACACGTTTATCACTGTTACGAGCTTGCTAAACAGAGGTAACTTACTGAATGAATTAGGGCAGGTAAGGTAGCCTATAGTACATAACGAAAATATAAGCAACTCAACAATTTTCAAATATGGTTTCGTTATATAAGATCAGGGCATTTTATTGGTCACAACTGGTTTCACATGCCTGGATACAAATGCATCTGTTTGGCCATACCTTTTAAAAAAAACAGGTGTGATCAGAAACCATCTCCCAAAATACATTGTAGACTTTTTTGACTGGGGTGTTTCCCCACTCTCTTCCCAATGCTTTGGTTTCTTGGGAATTGAGGGAACTAACAGCTTTAACCCCGTCAAACCCGGCATCCCAATTCTAATAATTGTCCCTGCCGAAACAACAGGGGAACCTACATTTAAATGCTTACTTTTCAAAGTTTAAAAATTCCATTTATGTTAACAGGCTTTTTAAATGTAGGAACGTTTGGCTAGAATTGCCCTGAGGTTGCCGTTCGGTACAGGAACACTATGACTGTCTGGAGCTTTGACAATTTTTAGGCTTTTGACAAACCCCATAAGTATGGATCAGGAAGCTTGCCCATAAATCTGTCCTCATCTGGGTCGGACACATTGCCTGCATACACTATGCCTCGATTTGGCAGCGTTACTTTTCAAACCCCCAAAACCACCTGGGGATAGGTGGGGCCCTCTTCACTACATTTTTCCTTGGTGGTTTGAACCTAATTGGTGGGGATTGACAACCAAAGGGAAATGAAACTAACCTGTCCAATCACGTCATGAGAAGCATCCCTCTTTTTATAAAGTTAAACAATTCCCCGTTTGACTAATTTAAATTTTTATTACCAGGCCGGCTTAAAAACCCCTATGTTCCATGTTGCGTGAGTCATATCCATGTTGGTCAGGTAATTAATGATTTAGCTTGGCATCAGTCTTGGTGAACAAACAGAACTACCGCACCCCGGGAACCTTTGAAAAGGGTACAGATTTTGTTTCTACCCTTATCAGGGGGGCTGAAAGTAGATCCCTTAGGGAGTGTTTAACTAGGGTCCTGCTTAATAAGGAAGCTTTAGGGCCCCATTTTGAAAACCTATAAACAATGGGAACAACATTCCTTCACTCAGGTGCTTTTTGGGCTAGGGGAAGGGCAGTGAGTTTCAATGGTGCACCTTTTTGGGGGCTTGCTGGATGGGCAGGCTGGGGAAGGGGTTTGTCCATACCCGCCTCAAGCACTCAGCTCAGACTTGATGTGCAATTGGGTAATACATTTAGCAGGTACCTAAGGTGGGGGAAGCTATTGGGCTCTTAAACATATTGGTATTGCCATCGGGGGTTGTTCATGGGCTTCCTTGGTGGGTGGGGAACGCTGTATATTGTGGGCCTTTGTTGACCTTTTAAAAAACCTTCACACGTAACGCTGTCCACACAGCGTCGAGAAAGTTGCTAGGCGTGGTGATTCTTGAATTTTTGATGGCGGAACTCATTCTGTACATAGATCAGGCATTAGAGCTAGTGCATCCGGCAGACAAGCATTAGGGGCAGTCCTTGTCCCAAAGGATTTCATCCTACAGCCCTTTCCAGGGTCCGTGCACTTAATTGGGGGTTACTATGCCGTAATGGGATAACATTATTCAGGCTTCATGACACCCCTGAGAGTCCCTGGGAAAGGAGAAGTTTTGGCCCTATGTACCACCTGGGGGCGACGCATCGAAAGTCCTGCCTTTGCGGTATGGGCCAAGTGCCAACCATGGATGGGGCCACGGACCGGGTTGAAGTGACGTATCAATGAACAACTCCTCCCGGTGCCCTTCCCTTTCCCAGGGGAAATGCCAATTGGAGTGCAATTCAGATCTGTTCTTGTTGGTTGGGACCCATGATGTTTGGGTATGGCACGGAAATTTGAAGGTAGCCTGCCACTTCAAACCCTGGTCGAAATGAGATGGGGTCGGGCCGTATCATTTCCAGTGATTTGTTCATTGGCAAACAGCTCCTTTGGGTCGACTCAGTTGGGAGAGGTTTTTTATGCGGGATCGCCAGTGGGCTCGACCTGCCTTCCGTCTTGGTGACCATCGTGTCTTGTATGACCGGGAATTTTTTTCATCCAACTTAGACGGTGTTAGTCCGGCTGAAACATGGCTTCAGTGTGTGACCCTGCGTACTGGGTGGTGGGGTTTCCTCCTGGAAGGGCTTTGCCCGTGTCTGGTCTCAAGCGTGGAATGTTTGCATGTTGTGTACCTTTGCTTGACCACCTGGGCTTCAGTCCTAGGAAGACCAGATCCCTTCAGATGGTGTTTTCCCCAACATGGTCCTAATTACGACCTGACTTAGGACTAGGTGTTAATCTTGGGCATTAAGTCACGTGAATAAATTTATTTTGACTAGGTGTCTTTCCACTCCATGTGCCCAATCAATGGGATTTGTTCACCAAGATTGCCCCTCCCAAGTCTGTTGGGAAAACTGATTCGAAAAGCCCTGGTTTTGCTCTAGCCGGAAATTGAATAAGGTGTTATTTAAGATACATTTCCAGCTAAAACCAGTTTGGCCTCCAAGGTGAGTCATATGGTCCCTGAATCATTTTAGATGCGGTCTCTTAATGTTCAAATTGGAAAGTCGAACTTTTGTTGTTTGCAAGAGGGATTAAACATTTTTGGTACAGACTCAAAATAGGATTTAAGGCTTAACTGTTGTGAAGATTTGCAAGTTTGGTTCCGCATGTTGATGACAAAGCCTGGTCAGCATTTGTCGTCCGAGTTTTTTACGCGTGTTCGGTCTTCCGATCGCCACTCAGTTCTTCCCTTTGGACCCCGAGGTTAGGGCCCTTTGGCTGAATGGGCCTGGGGAAGCTTGCCGACTCTTTAAAATAACCCACATCCTCGGTAGACGTTTTTAGTCCAAAGCTTTTTCTGCTTAAAAGCTGCGAATTTTGTGTGAAAAAGTTAAGTCGCGAAAACAGGTTTATGGGGTTGGGGCCAAAGGCCGTTAGATTTACCATAGGGAGGAAGACCAAAGGGGGAAAGAGGGAGGCAGGGAAAAAATGGTTTCTACGACCCATGAATAAATTGGTTTAAAATGGTTTTCCTTGTGTTCAAGTGCATCCAAAACAGGTATTGCTTGTCTGCCATTGATCTTTTTTGTCCTGCCCTTGCCATCTCCAAACCTTCTCAGTTACAGACAGCCTGTAACCCAATGGTCTATTTGTCATCACCAATTTGGCCAATTTCATTGCCCAAAACAGTTTAAACCATGGACACCTCGTTTACGCCGTTGACCAATGATTCCCTCTTTCTTGATCTAGAAGTCAACATGATTTGGAAGGGGGGGGGGGGGGGGGGGGGGGGGGGGGGGGGGGGGGGGGGGGGGGGGGCCCCCCCCCCCCCCCCCCCCCCCCCCCCCCCCCCCCCCCCCCCCCCCCCCCCTGCTTGGGGGTTTGTTTAAAAAGGGCAGGTTTTTTGGGGGGAAAAAAACACCAAGGGGTTTGCCACCCCCCTCCCAGTCTATTGCCTCCATTCCCCGGGAATCCTTTGCTCATCCCCCCCGGTAAAAAAAAAAAAAAAAAAAAAAAAAAAAAAAAAATTTTTTTTTTTTTTTTTTTTTTTTTTTTTTTTTTTTTTTTTTTTTTTTTTTTTAAAAAAAGGCCCTCCCAAAAACCCCCCCCCCCCAACCAACCCCCCCCCCCCCCCCCCCTTTTTCAGTTGGAATTTCACAGGTGTATAAATTGTAGCACAAAGGGAGATTTAAAACTGCCTAGTATCTTGGACCATGAAGTTCTTATCTTTTATCAGTCTGTCTTTTTGTCACGCGGGACCTAACCGCACCAAATGGTAGTGATTTTCTGGTAAAATTTTTTAAAATTACAGAATTTGGAAAGGATCGCTGTATGGTTATGCCATGTCGTTGTTTCCAGATAGAAAAGACGAGGTCCAGAAGTGGGCGAAAGCCATGATTGTCTGGTTCACCCAATTGTGGTAAGGGGTTTTTCTGCCTGGTATTTATCGGGTCCGGATCGCCCGGATCGTGTCTGCACCGTCTCTTCTCTCTGTCAGTGCTTGGTTGGCCATCTATGCTGGGCCAGACATACAGGGCTCAAGTGCCATCGTATCAATAGAATCTTCATCCAATCGGTTGGATCGCTTTCTGACGTCCAAAAGCTTTTTTCTGTCATAGAAAATGCTGACAGAAATATTATGTAGAAAACAAAGTTAAGATCAGCGTAAAAAAAGGGTGATAGGGCTTAAGGGCCAAGTGTTCAGTTTGAGATTTAGCCAGAGTGAGAAAGAGAGAGACCGAGAGAGAGACCGAGAGAGAGAGAGACAGAGAGAGAGGGAAAGTGACGTGTCTTGACAATCCACCTCAATTGTAATAATATGTGTGTTTCTGCCTGTGTGTCTCATCAGTGGGAGATCATGAAGAACCCCCAGGTATGGCTGGATGCTGCCACTCAGATCTTCTTCTCTCTGTCAGTGGCCTTTGGTGGACTCATCTCATTCTCCAGTTACAACAGCCTCAAGTAAGCCCAATGGTCAATCATTATTAGTAACATCAACCATTATTGGTCCAGCAAGTCATTCGTCCCCGCCAAGGCAGGTAATTTACCATATCGTTCACCTCCCTCGACAATCCTCCCTCGCTGTTCCGCCATTGACCAAGAATTTGCATTCCCTTTGTTTTCTTGTCTGTGTGTTTTGTCAGGAATGACTGAGAGGGATGCTGTTGTAGTGGGGGTTATAAACAGTGCCACATCTATCTATGCCTCCATCCCCATCTTTGCCATCCTGGGGTTCAAGGCTCACACCAACTATGTCACCTGTCTGAATGGGTAGGTGTGATACAATATTTAGTTTATTTGGCAACATTTGCACTAGCTAAATCATGAAACTATCCCCATTTAGGCCTACAGTTTACATTCAAGTTTCTTTAACCTTTATGTTCTACCTTCTGGGTTTGATATCCTCTGGAAAAGCAGATGCAAACTCAACCAAAACAAATGACCAATATGTTTCTTTTGTTGTAACTTACAGTAACATCTTAGCACTGACCAATGAGTTTGAGATTAGCGACATGAACATAACGGTTGAAAACTACGACCAGTGGTTTGACTCTTTAAATGGGACACATCCAGCTAGAGTATCCGATCTCAACCTGAAGACATGCGACCTGCAAACCTTCTTGGATCAGGTACTATGCTCAGGAGTTAAACTACCTCAGGGTAAAAAACTACCTCAGGGCAAACATGGGTTGAGTCAAGTTGTTATTGAACTTACACACACTGCATCAAAGAAGCTAATTGGTTGTCTTGTTTTCCTCAATCCAGAGTGCGTCTGGTACTGGGTTAGCGTTCATCGTGTTCACAGAAGCGGTGATATCGATGCCTGGCTCTCAGGTATGGGCTGACCCTTTGTTTTATTTTTGTATTACTTCTTTTAAAAAAACTATGGTTCAAATTCAGAGACAACAGTTAAATACAGCTGGATTTGATTCAATTCCTGTCTGTTTGACCAGGTGTGGGCTGTGTTGTTGATGTGATTCCTGTCTGTTTGACCAGGTGTGGGCTGTGCTCTTCTTCGTAATGCTGTTCAGTCTGGGTCTGTCCTCCATGTTTGGTAATCTGGAAGGCGTCCTCACGCCCCTTCATGACCTCAAACTGGTGCCCAAGTGGATGCCCAACGAGCTCTTCACAGGTAAAAGCCAACAAGGAAATGAACTGATTTTCTAATGTTTCGATATTGAATAATTTTGGGCTTAGTTTACCCCTCGCCAATGTGTGACGAATAACTGTTCTTTTGGGAATTATCTTAACGCCGTCTTGTTTTCTCTCTCCCTCCCTCACTCCCCACTTTCTTTCTCTCCAGCAATAATCTGCCTGGTAATGTTCCTGTTGGCTCTGATATTCTGTCTGGGATCAGGGAACTACTGGTTGGAGATCTTTAACAGTTACGTGGGCTCCATTCCTTTTCTCATCATCGCCTTCTTTGAGATCATCGCTGTGGTCTACGTCTACGGAATAGGACGGTAAGAGCCTCACAATACTACAGTTGTCCTGGTTTGATCTGTAGTGAGTATCTTCCCACTGGGCACACACGCTGGCTGAATAAACGTTGTTTCAGCGTCATTTCAATGAAATTACTTTGAACCAACGTGGAATAGACGTTGAATTGACGTCTGTGCCCAGCGGGTGGTCTTCAGAATGGGGCAGATTGCTAGGAACCTCTCAGAGGAACATGTCTGTCTCCCCATATGCATATGCCGGTCTATTGTTTTGTCTATTAAACCTTTAAATATAGTGGTTGTTCACCTTATCTTTAGGTTCAGCATTTTCCACACCTTAAGCAAATGTACGATTCCTCTGACACAATCCACTTGTGACCGACTGGGTTTTGATCCTGGGTCATCTGCAAGTGCTTGATCCTGGATCATCTGCAATTATTGAACCACGGTTATCTGCAGTTCTTAGGCAATAGCTTGGGGAGTTACTCTTTCATCTGTTCCTCTTCCATCTCTTCTTCTTTCTTCTGTGCTGAACCTGTAATGACGAGCATGTTGTTTTTAAAAGCCTCTTCTGACTCTACCTGTTTCTGTCTCCGTAGGTTCAGTGATGACCTGGAGTTCATGACAGGACGTAGACCCAACATCTTCTGGAAGGTCTGCTGGTTGGTCATCAGCCCTCTGATGCTGGTCGTCGTGTTGGTGGCGTATGTTGCCGTCCAGGCCCAGAAACACCCCACCTACCCAGCATGGAATCCTGACTATGTAAGAGCAACCTTTTCAAACCTCACCTCAGGAACCCCCAGAGTTGCACCCCCCCTTTTGCCCAAAGAACAGCCTGAATTCAGATCAGCTTTAATATTGAAGATAGATTGTGGCTTCAATCAACTGAATTGTCTGCATCATTTCCAATTCCATATTTTGTTACGTTACAGCCTTATTCTAAAATGGATTTCTAAAAACCTATTTTTCCTTTCTCATTATTGATGAGAGAAAAAACTACATTTAGTAACGTAACAAAATGTGAATACTTTCAGAAGGCAAAGTATATTTACTTTACATTTGTTGTTTTGTTTATTTTTTTTGTCAGCTACCGTCAACCCGTCCCATCTATCTCTGAAAACTATCCAGTTTTGTTTTCTAATTGCCATATATTCTTCAACCGTACTGTGATGCTTCACAAAAGTTCTGAACCTTTCTATTCTCAAAGTTTCTACAGATTGTAAATGTCACGGATTCTGCCGAGGCTGCTCCTCCTCCTAGTTCGGGCAGGCTTCGGCGTTCGTCGTCCCCAGAGTACTAGCTGCCACCGTTGAATGTTTCTATGTTTGATTGCTTTTGTCTGTCTATTACACGTGTGTCCGTTTGTGTCTGATTACGTGTTCTATAAGTTGCCTGTTTTGTATTGGTTAGGTTGTGTGTTGTTTTTCGCCTGTCCGTAGTGCTGCGTGTTTTTTTCTCTGTTTTGTTGTTTTACGCATAGTTGCGTAATTGCTCGCCTCTGTTGTTTCGAGGCCGTTCATTGTATCTTTGCCTTGTGGTTCACAAGTAAACTTTGTTGGACTAAGCTTCGGTGTCCTGCGCCTGACTCCCACACCACATACACCTCAGCCTTGACAGAACAACACACCAGTATGGAGTCAGCAGGAGCAGTGGCGGCACCCAAGTCGCTGGAGGATCGGATCAGCGACCAAGACACCATGATCCGGCAACTTGGGGCCGCCATGAACGAGGTGTCCAACACTCTGCGCCGGTTGGTTACGGGAGAGGTGCCCACGCCTTCTCACACCATACCATAACCAACGGCCAGTCCTCCTCTCTCAGCACCGGAACCCAGTGGCATTCGGCTCTCGCTTCCGAGGGCATATGATGGTTCTGCAGCCGGGTGTCAGGGGTTCCTCCTGCAGGTGGAACTCTACCTGGCCATACACCCAGTGCCCTCGGGATACGAGAGCGTCCCCGCCCTCATCTCCTGTCTATCCGGCAAGGCGTTGGAGTGGGCCAACGCCGAATGGAGGGGAATAGACGCCGCTACCATCACCTAAGCGGAGTTCTCCCGCCGCTTCAGGGCTGTCTTCGATCATCCACCTGAGGGGAAGGCGGCGGGGGAGCGTCTGTTCCACCTCCGACAGGGGAAGTGGAGCGCACAGGAGTTCGCCCTGGAGTTCCGGACTCTAGCGGCGGATGCGGGGTGGAATGAGAGGGCCCTCATCGACCATTACCGGTGTAGCCTACGAGAGGACGTTCGTCGTGAGCTGGCCTGCAGGGACACCAACCTATCCTTCGACCAGTTGGTGGACATCTCCATCCGTCTCGACACCCTGCTGGCTACCCGCGGACGTCCCGAGTGGGGGTCGTCCATTCCACCCTCCAGCACCTCCGAGCCGATTCCCATGGAGCTCGGAGGTGCTGGCGCTAGAGAGAGGAGGAGAGAGAACCCGAGGGGGGCCATCCCCTGCACCAACTGTGGCCGTGGAGGACACACCGCGGCCAGGTGCTGGGGAGGGTCTCCTGGGAGAGGGGACAACAGGTCACGCACTGGGGAGTCATTCCAGGTGAGTAGGCGCCCCACTTACCCAGAGCTCTCTGTTGGTCACATGTGTATACCTGTGAGATTTCCACAGGTGGGACCTCATTCCCAGCATAAGGCGCTAGTAGATTCAGGCGCAGCTGGGAATTTTGTTGATCGTGCATTTTGTTATAGGTTAGGAATTCCCCTTCGGCCGGTAGAAGCCCCCTTTCCTGTTCATGCCCTAGACAGCCGGCCGTTGGGGTCGGGGTTGATCAGAGAAGTCACAGCACCACTTAAGATGACGACGCAGGGGGGTCATGAGGAGATCATTCAGTTTTATCTGATTGACTCTCCTGCGTATCCCGTGGTGCTGGGGCTTCCCTGGTTAAGCGCCCATGATCCTACCATTGCGTGGCAACAGAGGGCTCTTATGGAGTGGTCTGCCCAGTGTGTAGGGAGATGTCTAGGTGTTTCCTTAGGGGCGACCTCGGTAGAGAGTCCGAACCAAGTGCCCGCAATGCGCATTCCCCCTGAATATGAGGATTTAGCACTTGTGTTCAGCAAAACGAGGGCAACACGGCTACCACCTCATAGACAAGGGGATTGTGCGATAGATCTCCAAACAGGAGCGGCACTTCCGCGGAGCCGTGTGTATCCCCTGTCTCAAGAGGAGACAGCGGCTATGGAGACTTACATAGCCGAGTCCTTGGCACAGGGATACATCCGGTCCTCCACTTCCCCGGTTTCCTCGAGTTTATTTTTTGTGAAGAAGAAGGACGGGGGTTTGCGCCCGTGTATTGATTACCGTAGTCTCAATCAGATCACGGTTAAGTACAGTTACCCTCTTCCACTGATTGCGACTATGACAGAATCATTACGCGGAGCGCGGTTCTTCACAAAGTTGGATCTCAGGAGCGCGTACAATCTGGTGCGCATTAGGGAGGGGGATGAATGGAAAACAGCATTTAGCACCACCTCGGGTCATTACGAGTATCTCGTCATGCCATACGGGTTAATGAATGCTCCTGCAGTCTTCCAATCCTTTGTTGACAAGATTTTCCGGGACATGCATGGGCAGGGTGTGGTAGTATACATCGACGACATCCTAGTGTACTCTTCTACACGAGCCGAGCATGTAGCCCTGGTGCGCCGAGTGTTGAGGAGACTGTTGGAGCATGACTTGTATGTCAAGGCAGAGAAATGCTTGTTCTTCCAGGAGTCCGTCTCCTTTTTGGGTTATCGGTTGTCCGCGTCTGGTGTGAAGATAGAGGTGGACCGTGTGTCGGCCGTGCGTAATTGGCAAACTCCAACCACTGTAAGAGAGGTGCAGCAGTTTTTGGGTTTTGCTAATTACTACCAGAGGTTTATCCGGGGCTTTGGACAGGTTGCAGCTCCCATTACGTCCCTGCTAAAGGGGGGTCCGGTTCGCTTGCAGTGGTCAGCTGAGGCGGACAGGGCATTTGTCAAACTGAAAAACCTGTTCACCTCGGCTCCGGTGCTGGCGCATCCGGATCCCTCTTTACCATTCCAAGTAGAGGTAGACGCGTCCGAGGCCGGTATTGGGGCAGTCCTGTCGCAACGGTCCGGCACGCCACCTAAGCTCCGCCCCTGTGCGTTCTATTCTAAGAAGCTCAGCTCGGCGGAGCGTAATTATGACGTAGGGGACAGGGAGCTGTTAGCTGTAGTCCAGGCCCTAAAGGTGTGGAGGCATTGGCTTGAGGGGGCTCAACACCCTTTCCTCATTCTGACTGACCACCGTAACCTGGAGTACATCCGGGCAGCTAGGAGATTGAACCCTCGTCAGGCTAGGTGGAACATGTTCCTGACCCGGTTTGTTTTTAAGATCACATACATCCCAGGGTCCCAGAACGGTAAGGCAGACGCCCTGTCCCGGCGGTATAACACAGAGGAGAGGTCCATTGAGCCTACTCCCATACTGCCGGAGTCTTGTCTGGTGGCTCCGGTGGTGTGGGAGGTCGATGCGGAGATCGAGCGGGCACTGCGTACCGACCCTACTCCCCCCGAGTGTCCTGTGGGGCGGACGTACGTTCCGCTCGAGGTTCGTGATCGCCTTATTTATTGGGCTCATACATCACCCTCCTCTGGACATCCAGGTATTGGCCGGACAGTGCACTGCCTTAGCGTGAAATACTGGTGGCCAACGTTAGCTAAGGATGTGAGGGTTTATGTCTCCTCCTGCTCGGTGTGCGCCCAGTGTAAGGCACCTTAGACATTTGCCCAGGGGAAAGTTACATCCCCTACCCGTTCCACAACGACCATGGTCCCACCTCTCGGTGGATTTTGTGACCGACCTACCCCCCTCCCAGGGGAATACCACCATTTTGGTCGTTGTGGATCGGTTTTCCAAGGCCTGTCGTCTCCTCCCAATGCCGGGTCTCCCTACTGCCCTACAGACCGCTGAGGCCCTATTTACCCACGTGTTCCGGCACTATGGGGTCCCCGAGGATATTGTGTGTGACCGAGGTCCCCAGTTCACCTCCAGAGTCTGGGGGGCGTTCAAGGAACGCTTGGGGGTCTCGGTGAGCCTTACCTCGGGGTACCACCCAGAGAGCAATGGGCAGGTTGAACGAGTCAACCAGGATGTGGGTAGGTTTCTGAGGTCCTATTGCCAGGGCCGGCCGGAGGAGTGGTCTAGGTATATCCCCTGGGCAGAGATGGCCCAGAACTCTCTCCGCCACTCCTCCACCAATTTAACACCTTTCCAGTGCGTTTTAGTGTATCAGCCGGTCCTGGCACCTTGGCACGAGAGCCAGATCGAGGCCCCTGCGGTGGATGAGTGGATTCGGCGCTCGGAGGAGACGTGGGACGCTGCCCATGTCCATCTGCAGCGGGCCATCCGTCGACAAAAGGCGAGCGCCGATCGCCACCGCAGTGAGGGACCGGTGTACGCACCGGGAGATCGAGTCTGGCTCTCGACTCGAAACCTGCCCCTCCGCCTGCCCTGCCGGAAGCTGGGTCGGCGGTTTGTGGGGCCCTTTAAAGTCCTGAGAAGATTGAACGAGGTGTGTTACAGGTTACAACTGCCTATTGATTACAATAATATTAACCCCTCGTTCCATGTGTCTCTTCTCAGGCCGGTGGTAGCTGGCCCACTCCAAGAAGATGAGATAGGAGAGACCCCTCCGCCCCCTTTGGACATCGAGGGGGCCCCGGCGTACAGGGTCCGGACCATCTTGGACTCGAGGCGCCGGATGAGTGGTCTCCAGTATCTCGTGGAGTCGGAGGGGTATGGTCCGGAGGAACGGTGCTGGGTGCCTAGGAGGGACATCCTAGATCCATCCCTCCTGACTGAGTTCCACCGTGGGCATCCCACGCGCCCGGGTCCGAGTCCTCCTGGCCGTCCCCGAGGCCGGGGTCGGCGTACTGTCACGGATTCTGCCGAGGCTGCTCCTCCTCCTAGTTCGGGCAGGCTTCGGCGTTCGTCGTCCCCGGAGTACTAGCTGCCACCGTTTAATGTTTCTATGTTTGATTGCTTTTGTCTGTCTATTACACCTGTGTCCGTTTGTGTCTGATTACGTGTTCTATAAGTTGCCTGTTTTGTATTGGTTAGGTTGTGTGTTGTTTTTCGCCTGTCCGTAGTGCTGCGTGTTTTTTCTCTGTTTTGTTGTTTTACGCATAGTTGCGTAATTGCTCGCCTCTGTTGTTTCGAGGCCGTTCATTGTATCTTTGCCTTGTGGTTCACAAGTAAACTTTGTTGGACTAAGCTTCGGTGTCCTGCGCCTGACTCCCACACCACATACACCTCAGCCTTGACAGTGAATTAAGGATAAACATTTTTGCTAAGAGTATTATTATATTATTGATCGATTGACTATGACTTTTCAAATCACCCGGCAGTGCTATTTATAGAGTTAGCTCCAGGTAAATATTGCAATTCTTCAGCCATTCCTGAAGCTGCAACCAAAAACAAGTTACATATCGGCAGTACCAAAACAAATGATCTAATGATCACTCCCCATATATATATATATAAAACCTTCTATTGGTTGCAAGAATTGTTGATTATTATTTAAATAGAAAAACGAAGTTTTGAATCCGGCGTTGTTTTGTGTATCAGTTCATAAACCATGTGCCATCGAATCGGTACATCGAAAACCTAAACTATTTTGCAACCTGTACGGGGCAGCTGTCGTTTTTTTTTTGTCCTTAAATGAAACTGGTATACTTTTTTTTTTTTATCACAATTGTCTTTAACCAATTTCCGTAAAACATTGCCAAATTATTTTTTTTGCAGGCAACATACCACAAATCCTATGTGAATCAGGTATTATTGTAGGCTATGACGGCCATCTAGCATGGAGGAGGAAATAGTCCAAAATAAATAAATAAATAAAAATATCCAGGAGCACAGACTCACCTAATGATAAAGGCAGCGATGCTCTCTGCTATAGTGCCAATAAACTAGGCTATTGAGCCGAGAGCTAGTTGAGAATTTTGATAGGTTAGAATTATTTTTCCAGCGATTGTATTTTGAAACATTGCGATATGCCTAGGCCTATTTGAGATGAATTTCACTGACAGCCGCAAATCAATAAATCAGACATGCTGCGCTCGCTCCCCAAATTGGGCGCTTCCCAACTGGAGGTTATGCTCTGGCCTTGTGATTTAAAACAATCCCCAGCTATTTAAAAAAAAAAGAAGCTAATGATCCTCTTTGGCTTAAATCATACTCTCTGGTGTATTGTTTTGAATGATTTTATATGTGTATAGACAGGAGTAATTATATAATTTTGGCAAGTTCAATTAAAATGTACTTAAGTCTATTGGAAGAGCCGCCTACGGTTGAATTTGAAAGTTCAAATCAGGTGTGACAGTTCTGGAATAGATCAAATACATTGAATGGCTGGCAGTCCTCGAGGTCTGTGGTCCTCTGTAGCTCAGCTGGTAGAGCACGGCGCTTGTAACGCCAAGGTAGTGGGTTCGATCTCCGGGACCACCCATACACAAAAATGTATGCACGCACGACTGTAAGTCGCTTTGGATAAAAGCGTCTGCTAAATGGCATATTATTATTTATATTATTAGGAGAGGTTTTGAAAAAAAGCTGTGTTAGATAGCTACGTCAATATATTTCAGGAACATTCTGTATTAGTGTGAAGCATTTCTCTGCTCAGATCAGCTAGGCTGTAGGTGTCATTTAAGAGGTTCAATAGTAGTGTATGATAATTGTTCCTACTAGTAAAGGGGACTAGGGTTTCAGTTGAGAGACAGCCACAGTCAGACGGACGCATAGTACTCACATAATAAGCAGTGCACTAACAGCCTACAGGGAATAGGGTGTCATTTGAGATATGCCCTGTGAGATATGTCATTTGTTGCATGGCAATGAAGTTGTCTGATTCTGTGTGTGCAGGTGAACTTCCCCGACACAGAGGTTCTGCCGTATCCAGACTGGGTGTTTGCCATCTGTGTCCTGCTGTCTTCAGTCCCAGTTCTCTCCATCCCCCTCGTGGCCATCTACAGACTCATCTGCTGCATGTCAGGAAGACACTCTAAAGACAATCTCCATAACGATCCGAATCCCTACGCCAACGAAGGCTACGTCGTAGAGCGCTAGACCCTAAAAAGATACTGTGCTTCCTGTTTGAGCTTTTATTGTAAGCAGGAATCAGGAGGATATAACTATGGTCAGATTTGCCAAAGGGAGGGAGAGCCTTGTATGCTTGTTCTGTGGTTGGAGTTAAAGGTGATCAAGAGTTTTGTTGTCTCTAGTTGCACAGGAGACATGCTGGTAAAAATGAGGTAAAACGGATTTCAGTTTCCCTTGCATTAAAAGTTTCCCTGCATTAAAATCCCCGGCCATGAGAAGCGCCGCCTCTGGATGAGCATTTTCTTGTTTGCTTATGGCCCTCTACAGCTCGTTGAGTGCGGTGTTAGCGCCAGCATCAGTTTGTGGTGGTAAATAGACGGGACTCTGAGAAACAGTGAGCTCCAAAAGTATTGGGACAGTGACTGTTTTGGCTCTGTACTCCATTTGTACAAAAAGTGCTGTAAAAATATCCTCAAATTAAAGCTTGACAGTCTGCACTTTAACCTCGGTCGTTGTATCATTTCAAACCCCAAAGTGCTGGAGTACAGAGCCAAAACAACAACAAATGTGTCACTGTCCCAATAGTTTTGTAGCTCACTGTAGAATATTACAGTTCTTCAGGTCCCGTTGATAGGATTAGTCTCTAACGGAGTTCATCCAGTGTGTTCTCCAGTGACTGCACGTTCACCAACGGATCAGAGGGCAATGGCCGTCTATTTGTTCGCAGATGTCATCACTTTTTCACAGCCGCTTCCTCTTTCGAGTCGCGGGGGGATTAGGGCCTGTTCCGGAGTAAGCAGAACGTCCAGAGATGCAGACTCGTTGAAGTAGAAAAATTCATCCAAATCGAGGTTAGTGATCGCTGTTCTGATGTCCAGAAGCTGTTTTCATTTGGAGGCGAAATAAACTTACACCTGTTAAGACGAGGTAACGGACTAGAACACATGTTTAGACGAGGTAACGGACTAGAACACCTGTTTAGACGAGGTAACGGACTAGAACACATGTTTGTTTAGACGAGGTAACGGACTAGAACACATGTTTGTTTAGACGAGGTAACGGACTAGAACACGTTTGTTTAGACGAGGTAACGGACTAGAACACCCGTTTAGACGAGGTAACGGACTAGAACACCCGTTTAGACGAGGTAACGGACTAGAACACCTGTTTGTTTAGACGAGGTAACGGACTAGAACACGTTTGTTTAGACGAGGTAACGGACTAGAACACCCGTTTAGACGAGGTAACGGACTAGAACACGTTTGTTTAGACGAGGTAACGGACTAGAACACATGTTTGTTTAGACGAGGTAACGGACTAGAACACATGTTTGTTTAGACGAGGTAACGGACTAGAACACGTTTGTTTAGACGAGGTAACGGACTAGAACACCCGTTTAGACGAGGTAACGGACTAGAACACCCGTTTAGACGAGGTAACGGACTAGAACACCCGTTTAGACGAGGTAACGGACTAGAACACCTGTTTAGACGAGGTAACGGACTAGAACACCTGTTTAGACGAGGTAACGGACTAGAACACATGTTTGTTTAGACGAGGTAACGGACTAGAACACATGTTTGTTTAGACGAGGTAACGGACTAGAACACATGTTTGTTTAGACGAGGTAACGGACTAGAACACATGTTTGTTTAGACGAGGTAACGGACTAGAACACATGTTTGTTTAGACGAGGTAACGGACTAGAACACCTGTTTAGACGAGGTAACGGACTAGAACACCCGTTTAGACGAGGTAACGGACTAGAACACCCGTTTAGACGAGGTAACGGACTAGAACACATGTTTGTTTAGACGAGGTAACGGACTAGAACACATGTTTGTTTAGACGAGGTAACGGACTAGAACACATGTTTGTTTAGACGAGGTAACGGACTAGAACACATGTTTGTTTAGACGAGGTAACGGACTAGAACACGTTTGTTTAGACAAGGTAACGGACTAGAACACGTTTGTTTAGACGAGGTTACGGACTAGAACACATGTTTGTTTAGACGAGGTAACGGACTAGAACACCCGTTTAGACGAGGTAACGGACTAGAACACCCGTTTAGACGAGGTAACGGACTAGAACACCCGTTTAGACGAGGTAACGGACTAGAACACCCGTTTAGACGAGGTAACGGACTAGAACACCCGTTTAGACGAGGTAACGGACTAGAACACCTGTTTAGACGAGGTAACGGACTAGAACACATGTTTAGACGAGGTAACGGACTAGAACACATGTTTAGACGAGGTAACGGACTAGAACACATGTTTAGACGAGGTAACGGACTAGAACACATGTTTAGACGAGGTAACGGACTAGAACACCTGTTTAGACGAGGTAACGGACTAGAACACCTGTTTAGACGAGGTAACGGACTAGAACACCTGTTTAGACGAGGTAACGGACTAGAACACCTGTTTAGACGAGGTGCTGGCTAACGGAGTAGAACATTTGAAAAAGAAAAGGAGAGCCGCACTCTTTGAGCTCAGAATTTAATAACCTAATAACCAACGTTTCGACAGACAAGCTGTCTTCATCATGGTATAAGCTGTTTTCAGTCATAGGAAATGGCGGAGACATTATGTACAAAAAAAGTTAAGATCAGAATAAAAATAGCAGAATTGGTTAGGATCCCGTAAAACAGCCACTATCCACTGCAGCGAAGCTAGTAAGCGTCATTCACCGGAAGTTATGCATGCAGCGCTTGTTGGCTAGCACGCTATGCAGCGCTTGTTGGCTAACCTGGCTAGCACGCTATGCAGCGCTTGTTGGCTAGCACGCTATGCAGCGCTTGTTAGCTAGCCTTGTCTTGAAAGTCTACGTAGGACCGGCTCACCGAGGTGGGACCAGACCCTTCATCGACAAGTCGCGGAAGAGAGACAAGCGGCGCTTGACCAAGGCAGACACAGCCAGCGGGGGGGGGTACCCACTGAAGCCTCCCAACAGAGCGCACAGGAGCCGGGTTGAGCGTGGGTAGCACACACCCAGGTAGTCAAGACATATGCTCTGACCAAAGACCAAATAAAAATCAGCCAAGGCACGGGCACCCGGGCGAGGAAGTCACTGAGACCCCTGAAGAATGATCACACGATTGTCAAGAAAACCTGTGCATGGACTAGTAGGGGAACAGTGCCAGCTGTCCTGTTCTGCACATGAACTGGTTCGAGCGAGGGCATGCCAGAGCAGGCACTGAGCCGAGACGTACAAGCCAACAAACATAAGGGTCTTTATTAAATTTGGGCATGGTCACGATCCCGAACCCGGCTTCGCCTTCGTCGTCAAGGTCGCATTTTTTTGCCATCTTACTCATTGCCACAGCCAGGCCAAGCAATACAAAAAATAACTATTTGTTTGTGATTAGGAAACTATGAGAACCATGCAAACTCCAGCAGACAACATCCAGGGGGTGAGCACGCTCTACCACTAAGGGATAGTTCAGTTGGCACATCGCAAGACGGTCGTGTTCCAATTGTTTGTTTTAGTAGTGTGAATTTTTCCTGTTCACACAAAGCTGAAGTGGAATAATGGAAGGAATTAATCTGAGCCTCACGCTTACCACCGGTGGAAGGCGGTGCTTCCAGCGAGGCACGGATTTCATTGGCCTATGTAAGGCGCGATTTTAGATCCTTCAACCGAAGTCGCGTGAGTACAACTCTCCATAGTATTTTGTACCGAAGTTGACTGACTGAAAGGGAACTGCCTTTTGCTACCGAGCACTCGATGAATCAGCAGACAAAGTCCAGAGAAAGAGATGGGAGGGTCTGGTGTTCACCTTACATACAATCTTTATTGAATTTTTTACATGGCATTTAAAAAATAAAAAGAGAGCCTTTTATGATTCATCCTTATCGCTCATGTTACTACCATCACAGTCCGCTTTAAAGTACAATGGAATCAAACATGAGCTAGTATACAGCCAAACCAGAATATTGACACCGGAAACAAATTCCAATTGTCCACACAGTATTCCGCCTCTACAAGATTCCTACCTGCTGTGCTATGCAGGCCCCTTGATGCACTGACGGGGTTATGGGGACGAGGACCGAGAGGTCAGAGGGCAAGAGGTCAGTGGTGGAAATTCTCCTCTAGGCCCAGATGGCCTTGAAGTCCTCAGGTATTTTGGGTGTGGCAGCTTGTCTGATTCGTGCCAGTCTCAAACCCCCCAGCTTCCTCTCCAGCTTCCTCTTACCTGTAGAGCCAGAGAGGGACACAGTTGAAGCCGACCCATACACAGCCACTGACTACAGCAAGCAAATAAACAGTTACGGGTCCATAAAGTGGTTGAGAGAAAATATGTCCAATCCAGTGGGATGTTTCTATCATTAGAAAATGAACTCAACGTGGCCTGGGGTGGTCTACTATCTTTAGAAATTAACTCAACGTGGCCTGGCGTGGTCTACTATCTTTAGAAATGAACTCAACGTGGCCTGGCATGGTCTACTATCTTTAGAAATTAACTCAACGTGGCCTGGCGTGGTCTACTATCTTTAGAAATGAACTCAACGTGGCCTGGCATGGTCTACTATCTTTAGAAATGAACTCAACGTGGCCTGGCGTGGTCTACTATCTTTAGAAATGAACTCAACGTGGCCTGGGGTGGTCTACCGATCTAAGCCGATGCTTCTGGAGCAGACGTACCGCTGCCGGGATGGTTTCGAATCTGGCCCACTGCCCTTTCAATATCTCCTACCTTTCACTGGCCCACTGCCCTTTCAATATCTCCTACCTTTCACTGGCCCACTGCCCTTTCAATATCTCCTACCTTTCAACTCTCCCCTCCCCCCCCTCCACTAAACATACAAAAGACATACAAATATAAAATACAAAATACAATAAATGAACTCAATGACATAACCTCCACACTTACATACCCTTTACTATAAGGGTAGGCACCTCTGGAGTTACAGCTGGGGTGGAATAAAAGCCTGCACTGCCTGTTTCCCACCCCCCGTCGTATCACCGGTCATATCACTACTGGATCAGTAAACCTGATCGTCTCATCGACTGTCTTCAATGCCCGTAGGCACCATGATAGACCCACACAGTGTTGCAGTTATCTTTGCAGGTCTGACGCCATTACGGTATTCTAGTATGATCACGGAATATATTGGTGAACGGAAAGAGGGTGGTCTAAAAAAACAAACCAACGCGGAGGAGGTGTAACGTCAACGCGGAGTGGGTGTAACGTCAACGCGGAGTAGGTGTAACGTCAACGCGGAGTGGGTGTAACGTCAACGCGGAGTAGGTGTAACGTCAACGCGGAGTGGGTGTAACGTCAACGCGGAGTAGGTGTAACGTCAATGCGGAGTAGGTGTAACGTCAACGCGGAGGAGGTGTAACGTCAACGCGGAGTGGGTGTAACGTCAACGCGGAGTAGGTGTAACGTCAACGCGGAGTAGGTGTAACGTCAACGCGGAGTAGGTGTAACGTCAACGCGGAGTAGGTGTAACGTCAACGCGGAGTGGGTGTAACGTCAACGCGGAGTAGGTGTAACGTCAACGCGGAGGGGGTGTAACGTCAACGCGGAGGGGGTGAACGTCAACGCGGAGTAGGTGTAACGTCAACGCGGAGTAGGTGTAACGTCAACGCGGAGTGGGTGTAACGTCAACGCGGAGGAGGTGTAACGTCAACGCGGAGGAGGTGTAACGTCAACGCGGAGGAGGTGTAACGTCAACGCGGAGGAGGTGTAACGTCAACGCGGAGTGGGTGTAACGTCAACGCGGAGTGGGTGTAACGTCAACGCGGAGGAGGTGTAACGTCAACGCGGAGTAGGTGTAACGTCAACGCGGAGTAGGTGTAACGTCAACGCGGAGTGTGGTGTAACGTCAACGCGGAGTAGGTGTAACGTCAACGCGGAGTAGGTGTTAACGTCAACGCGGAGGGGTGTAACGTCAACGCGGAGTAGGTGTAACGTCAACGCGGAGGAGGTGTAACGTCAACGCGGAGTAGTTGTAACGTCAACGCGGAGGAGGTGTACGTCAACGCGGAGGAGGTGTAACGTCAACGCGGAGAAAAGGTGTAACGTCAACGCGGAGTAGGTGTAACGTCAACGCGGGAGTAGGTGTAACGTCAACGCGGAGGAGGTGTAACGTCAACGCGGAGGAGGTGTAACGTCAACGCGGAGGAGGTGTAACGTCAACGCGGAGGAGGTGTAACGTACGTGTGTGTAGTGGAGGGAGGAGGTCCTTGTAGACGGGACGATGACGGGACAGAACCAACAGGAAGGTCAGAGAGTAGATCAGTTCTACTGCTTCATACTGTAGGATTCCTGTCAGAGCCGTACAACCTAGAGACAGACCTGGGGGGGAGAGAGAGACACCAGAGAGAAAGAGACTAAATATCAGCATGCTAATGAAGGCTACAGTGACGATGAGGGGGGACAGAGATGGAGTGGGGGGTGTGAGAGCGAGATGAAAGCTAGAATGACAGAAGTATGGAGAGTCCTATATTAAAAAGTAGTAAAAATCTCCAGGCTTGCCTTTGTTGCAGAGTCTGACCAGCTGGTTGGTGTACTCTGCCATGTCCCAGATCAGATTGAGGAAGTAAGCTGGGTTTCTGCCCACCTTCTGACCAAAGGGCAAACTCTGGGCACAGGCATGGAACCTAACGCCACAACCACAGAAAGTACCGTGTATATTCATCTGCTGTGTGTGTGTGGGAGCTTAGAAGTAAAAAAAATGGCCAATGGTTAATGAAAGAAAAATGGAATGTGTCCACTCTTGGAATAAAGGTGACCAAAAATAAATGATTGACCCCCATTACGGAAACATTAACCATAGAGAGATGATCACTTATACAAAATAAACACTTTCTGCTACTGCGTATTACTGCAGCTATTAGCTAGTTAACCATCAATCTGCTCCATCCAGAGACATTCCTCTTTATAAAAGAAGATGGGGTGTTTCTATCTGGGTTTCTTCCAGACAGAGGCTGAAGTCCCTCTCCTGTGTTTGGGACAGGCAGTGGCTGGAGGAGGTGTGTGGTAAGGGTGAGGTGAGAGGTCAAGCCACTGAAAGGTCATTTTCAGGTCAGACCATAGGCTACCTTACCTGAATGCGTGCAGCAACACTAGCTTATAGATGTTTTTATAGACAGCCTTCAGGGAGTTGGTCTGAAAACACACAACAGAAGGGATTGGATAACAGTCACACTTCGGGTGGGAGAGAGTGGACAAAGCAGTTGATTGACAGGTGGTCTTAGCCTATAGCAGAGCCCGACTCACTTTCAGGTCCAGGAAGAGGGCATGGCACTTGAGTCTAAGGATAGACATGAGCTTCCTCTTCATTTGCTGCCCTGCACAGTGGGCGGAGCCTAGCGTCAGGCTGTAGCGCAGGGATAGGCCAGCGTAGCTGAGAAGACAGGAATAAGACATCAAGTTCAGTTGTGCTTTTATCATAATGAATACATCCAGTTAGATACATCTTATCCTATTGTTCTTACCAATTCATCATCATTCATATTGACCTATCAGCAATCTGACTCCCCAGTCCCACTAGGATTTACTGTTGCTCAATAGAACTCTATACCAGTAAGTACAGCCAGGGTTCAAGGTAGTTAAGAACCATTTACCAGAAACCATGCAGGCGGTAACAGAGAGAGAGAGAGAGACAGGAACCATATAAACAGTACATTGACAGACAGAGATAGTAAGACTTCGGTAATCCTCCTAGTCACTCTAGTACAAAGGTCAATGAGCCATCTAAAATCTGGACCCAATTTATGTTGCATCTGGGTTGCTCAGTGTGTCACCCCCCAAAAAAACATCGCCTGCATAGCAATTGATTGAAATCAAACCTATATGAAAAGTAAAAAATAAATAAAAAAACAGAATATATATACACTACCCGTTCAAAAGTTTGGGGTCACTTAGAAATGTCCTTGTTTTCGAAAGAAAAGCAGAAGATCTCGTACAATGCTGTGTACTACTCCCTTCACAGAACAGCGCAAACTGGCTCTAACCAGAATAGAAAGAGGAGTGGGAGGCCCCGGTGCACAACTGAGCAAGAGGAGAAATACATTTGAGTGTCTAGTTTGAGAAACAGATGCCTCACAGGTCCTCAACTGGCAGCTTCTTTAAATATGACCTGCAAAACACCAGTCTCAAAGTCAACAGTGAAGAGGCGACTCCGGGATGCTGACCTTCAGAGTTGCAAAGAAAAAGCCATATCTCAGACTGGCCAATAAAAATAAAAGATTAAGATGGGCAAAAGAACACAGACACTGGACTTTTTCTTTGCAACTCTGCCTAGAAGGTCAGCATCACAGAGTCGCCTCTTCACTGTTGACGTTGAGACTGGTGTTTTGTGGGTACTATTTAATGAAGCAGCCATATGTGTTATTTCATAGTTTTGATGTCTTCGCTATTATTCTACAATGTTTTAAAATAGTAAAAATAAAAACTCTTGAATGAGTAGGTGTCCAAACCTTTGACTGGTACTTTTGAATTAGTGGATTGGGCTACTTCAGCCACACCTGTTGCTGACAGGTGTATAAAATCGAGCACACCGCCATGCAATATCCATAAACAAACATTGGCAGTAGAATGGCCTAACTGAAGAGCGCAGTGACTTTCAACGTGGCACAGTCATATGATGCCACCTTTCCCCAACAAGTCAGTTCGTCAAATTTCTGCTCTGCTAGAGCTGCCCCGGTCAACTGGAAGTGCTAAGTGTAAGTGCAGCCGCACACAAGCCTAAGATCACCATGGCAATGCCAAGCGTCGGCTGGAGTGGTGTAAAGCTCGCCGCCATTGGACTCTGGAGTAGTGAAAACACGTTCTCTGGAGTGATGAATCACACTTCACCATCTGGCGGTCCGACTGACTATATGGGTTTGGTGGATGCCAGGAGAACGCTGCCTACCGGACGCATAGTGCCAACTGTAAAGTTTGGTGGAGGAGGAATAATGGTCTGGGGCTGTTTTTCATGGTTCGGAACTAGGCCCCTTAGTTTCCAGTGAAGGTCAATCTTAACGCTACAGCATACAATGACATTCTAGACGATTCTGTGCTTCCAACTTTGTGGCAACAGTTTGGGGAAGGCCATTTCCTGTTTCAGCAAGACAATGCCCCTGTGCACGACACGAGGTCCATAGAGAAATGGTTTGTCAAGATCGGTGTGGAAGAACATGACTGGCCTGCACAGAGCCCTGACCTCAACCTTATCGAACACCTTTGGGATGAATTGAAACGCTGACTGCGAGCCAGGCCTTATCGCCCAACATCAGTGCCCGACCCTATTATTATTATAATGCTCTTGTGGCCGAATGGAAGCAAGTCCCCGCAGCAATGTTCCAACATCTAGTGGAAAGCCTTTCCCAGAAGACTGAAGGCTGTTATAGCAGCAAAGGGGGGACCAACTCCATATTGATGCCCATGATTTTGGAATGAGATGTTCGACGAGCAGGTGTCCACATACTTTGGCCATGTAGTGTATTCTACATATACATATACATAATAGATATATATATATATATATATTATATATAGTATAAAAAATCCTGTTTCACCAACTGACTGCAATGTCCAAATAGTGAGCAGAAAAAAATTGTTTACATGACTCGTCATATCGTTCCGTTCGGAACTCCAACCTAGTTGTCATGTCAACACAGCTTAGTCAGCGCTGCTGCAAAAACCAAAAAAAGGATGTATAAAAAAAGATCAACCCTTTTAGAACTAGGTAGTCATGGTTTAGTACTTAGGGGTCCCGACTAAAATACATCTTTGGGCGACCCAAAGTATCTGTTTTTTCGACCCAAACGAAATTTTAAAACGGATTTCTCCCCCTATAGGCACTTAGTTAGGTACTGACAGACTTTCTTAAGCCTGAGAAATTTTTTTTTTTTTGGGGGGTTTTGTACGGGACGATGACGGGACAGAACACGAAGTCGAGAGTAGATCAGTTCTACTGCTTCTACTGTAGGATCCTGTCAGAGCCGTACAACCTAGAGACAGACCTGGGGGGGAGAGAGAGACACCAGAGAGAAAGAGACTAAATATCAGCATGCTAATGAAGGCTACAGTGACGATGAGGGGGGACAGAGATGGCGTGGGATGGGGGGTGTGAGAGCGAGATGAAAGCTAGAATGACAGAAGTATGGAGAGTCCTATATTAAAATAGTTTAAAAATACTCCAAGGCTTGCCCTTGTTGCAGAGTCTGACCAGCTGGTTGGTTATCTGCCATGTCCCCAGATCAGATGAGGAGAAGTAAGCTGGGGTTTCTGCCCACCTTCTGACCAAAGGGCAAACTCTGGGCACAGGAATGGAACCTAACGCCCACAACCACAGAAAGTACCGTGTATATTCATCTGCTGTGTGTTGTGTGGGAGCTTAGAAGTAAAAAAATGGCCAATGTTAATGAAAGAAAAATGGAATGTGTCCACTCTTGGAATATAAGGTGCCCAAAAATAAATGATTGACCCCCATTACGGAAACATTAACCATAGAGAGTGATCACTTATACAAAATAAACACTTTCTGCTACTGCGTATTACTGCAGCTATAAATTATGTCAGTGGTTAGCTAGTTAACCATCAATCTGCTCCATCCAGAGACATTCCTCTTTATAAAAGAAGATGGGGTGTTTCTATCTGGGTTTTCTTCCAGACAGAGGCTGAAGTCCCTCTCCTGTGTTTGGGACAGGCAGTGGCTGGAGGAGGTGTGTGGTAAGGGTGAGGTGAGAGGTCAAGCCACTGAAAGGTCATTTTCAGGTCAGACCATAGGCTACCTTACCTGAATGCGTTGCAGCAACACTAGCTTATAGATGTTTTTATAGACAGCCTTCAGGGAGTTGGTCTGAAAAACACACAACAGAAGGGATTGGATAACAGTCACACTTCGGGTGGGAGAGAGTGGACAAAGCAGTTGATTGACAGGTGGTCTTAGCCTATAGCAGAGCCCGACTCACTTTCAGGTCCAGGAAGAGGGCATGGCACTTGAGTCTAAGGATAGACATGAGCTTCCTCTTCATTTGCTGCCCTGCACAGTGGGCGGAGCCTAGCGTCAGGCTGTAGCGCAGGGATAGGCCAGCGTAGCTGAGAAGACAGGAATAGACATCAAGTTCAGTTGTGCTTTTTATCATAATGAATACATCCAGTTAGATACATCTTATCCTATGTTTCTTACCAATTCATCATCATTCATATTGACCCATCAGCAATCTGACTCCGAGTCCCACTAGGATTTACTGTTGCTCAATAGAACTCTATACCAGTAAGTACGGCCAGGGTTCAAGGTAGTTAAGAACCATTTACCAGAAACCATGCAGGCGGTAACAGAGAGAGAGAGAGAGACAGGAACCATATAAACAGTACATTGACAGACCGAGATAGTAAGACTTCGGTAATCCTCCTAGTCACTCTAGTACAAAGGTCAATGAGCCATCTAAAATCTGGACCCCAATTTATGTTGCATCTGGGTTGCTCAGTGTGTCACCCCCCAAAAAAAACATCGCCTGCATAGCAATTGATTGAAATCAAACCTATATGAAAAGTAAAAAATAAATAAAAAAACAGAATATATATACACTACCCGTTCAAAAGTTTGGGGTCACTTAGAAATGTCCTTGTTTTCGAAAGAAAAGCAGAAGATCTCGTACAATGCTGTGTACTACTCCCTTCACAGAACAGCGCAAACTGGCTCTAACCAGAATAGAAAGAGGAGTGGGAGGCCCCGGTGCACAAACTGAGCAAGAGGAGAAATACATTTGAGTGTCTAGTTTGAGAAACAGATGCCTCACAGGTCCTCAACTGGCAGCTTCTTTAAATATGACCTGCAAAACACCAGTCTCAAAGTCAACAGTGAAGAGGCGACTCCGGGATGCTGACCTTCAGAGTTGCAAAGAAAAAGCCATATCTCAGACTGGCCAATAAAAATAAAAGATTAAGATGGGCAAAAGAACACAGACACTGGACTTTTTCTTTGCAACTCTGCCTAGAAGGTCAGCATCACAGAGTCGCCTCTTCACTGTTGACGTTGAGACTGGTGTTTTGTGGGTACTATTTAATGAAGCAGCCATATGTGTTATTTCATAGTTTTGATGTCTTCGCTATTATTCTACAATGTTTTAAAATAGTAAAAATAAAAACTCTGAATGAGTAGGTGTCCAAACCTTTGACTGGTACTTTTGAATTAGTGGATTGGGCTACTTCAGCCACACCTGTTGCTGACAGGTGTATAAAATCGAGCACACCGCCATGCAATATCCATAAACAAACATTGGCAGTAGAATGGCCTAACTGAAGAGCGCAGTGACTTTCAACGTGGCACAGTCATATGATGCCACCTTTCCCCAACAAGTCAGTTCGTCAAATTTCTGCTCTGCTAGAGCTGCCCCGGTCAACTGGAAGTGCTAAGTGTAAGTGCAGCCGCACACAAGCCTAAGATCACCATGGCAATGCCAAGCGTCGGCTGGAGTGGTGTAAAGCTCGCCGCCATTGGACTCTGGAGTAGTGAAAACACGTTCTCTGGAGTGATGAATCACACTTCACCATCTGGCGGTCCGACTGACTAATATGGGTTTGGTGGATGCCAGGAGAACGCTGCCTACCGGACGCATAGTGCCAACTGTAAAGTTTGGTGGAGGAGGAATAATGGTCTGGGGCTGTTTTTCATGGTTCGAACTAGGCCCCTTAGTTCCAGTGAAGGTCAATCTTAACGCTACAGCATACAATGACATTCTAGACGATTCTGTGCTTCCAACTTTGTGGCAACAGTTTGGGGAAGGCCATTTCCTGTTTCAGCAAGACAATGCCCCTGTGCACGACACGAGGTCCATAGAGAAATGGTTTGTCAAGATCGGTGTGGAAGAACATGACTGGCCTGCACAGAGCCCTGACCTCAACCTTATCGAACACCTTTGGGATGAATTGAAACGCCGACTGCGAGCCAGGCCTTATCGCCCAACATCAGTGCCCGACCTCACTATTTATTATTATAATGCTCTTGTGGCCGAATGGAAGCAAGTCCCCGCAGCAATGTTCCAACATCTAGTGGAAAGCCTTTCCAGAAGACTGAAGGCTGTTATAGCAGCAAAGGGGGGACCAACTCCATATTAATGCCCAGGATTTTGGAATGAGATGTTCGACAAGCAGGTGTCCACATACTTTTGGTCATGTAGTGTATGTATACATATAAACATAAATAAATCCTATATCCTATCACACACAAAGAACATGGGTAATAGAAACAAAATCAGTGGATCTGAATGTTCACAACACCAAAGCAATACCCCAGTGTGTGTGTGTGTGTGTGTGTGTACCTATGCCTGTGTCTGCATGTCTGTGCGTGCATGCTTCCATCCTTGTGCCTGTTACCTGGTGTAGTCATTGTAGGAGGTCCAGAGTGTTACCTGGTGTAGTCATTGTAGAGGCCCAGAGTGTTACCTGGTGTAGTCATTGTAGATGTCCATAGTGTTACCTGGTGTAGTCATTGTAGAGGCCCAGAGTGTTACCTGGTGTAGTCATTGTAGAGGTCCAGAGTGTTACCTGGTGTAGTCATTGTAGAGGCCCAGAGTGTTACCTGGTCTAGTCATTGTAGAGGCCCAGAGTGTTACCTGGTCTAGTCATTGTAGGAGGTCCAGAGTGTTACCTGGTGTAGTCATTGTAGAGGCCCAGAGTGTTACCTGGTGTAGTCATTGTAGAGGCCCAGAGTGTTACCTGGTGTAGTCATTGTAGAGGCCCAGAGTGTTACCTGGTGTAGTCATTGTAGAGGTCCAGAGTGTTACCTGGTGTAGTCATTGTAGACGTCCAGAGTGTTACCTGGTGTAGTCATTGTAGAGGCCCAGAGTGTTACCTGGTCTAGTCATTGTAGAGGCCCAGAGTGTTACCTGGTGTAGTCATTGTAGGAGGTCCAGAGTGTTACCTGGTGTAGTCATTGTAGGAGGCCCAGAGTGTTACCTGGTGTAGTCATTGTAGATGTCCATAGTGTTACCTGGTGTAGTCATTGTAGAGGCCCAGAGTGTTACCTGGTGTAGTCATTGTAGAGGCCCAGAGTGTTACCTGGTGTAGTCATTGTAGATGTCCAGAGTGTTACCTGGTGTAGTCATTGTAGAGGTCCAGAGTGTTACCTGGTGTAGTCATTGTAGAGGTCCAGAGTGTTACCTGGTGTAGTCATTGTAGAGGTCCAGAGTGTTACCTGGTGTAGTCATTGTAGACGTCCAGAGTGTTACCTGGTGTAGTCATTGTAGAGGCCCAGAGTGTTACCTGGTCTAGTCATTGTAGAGGCCCAGAGTGTTACCTGGTGTAGTCATTGTAGAGGCCCAGAGTGTTACCTGGTGTAGTCATTGTAGACGTCCAGAGTGTTACCTGGTGTAGTCATTGTAGACGTCCAGAGTGTTACCTGGTCTAGTCATTGTAGAGGTCCAGAGTGTTACCTGGTGTAGTCATTGTAGACGTCCAGAGTGTGTGTGTCCAACAGTAAACCACACCAGGGGAACAGGCAGTGAAAGGGCAGCAGGCGTACCCCAGCAGGGCAGGACCCCCCCTCACCCACAGGGAAGTTAACAGCCACCTTCTGGGGGTTCACCACACACCCGTACTGGGGAACCCCCGCCATCAGGGTCCTAAGAAAATTAGAGGAAATGACATCATCAACAGGAATAGGTAAATGCATCAAACATGTGGGGGATGGGAATATGCTACGGTCAAGCAACTGGTCATTCACTAGCAAAGCATTTAGCAAGACCCACCGGAGACACCCAAAATATAGAAACCAACGGTTGATTTTACAGACTTACGTTAAGATTTCTGCCTCCAAGAATGACATGACCTCAACAAATGTCAGATTTACTTTCATATTGTATAGTTGGCCCTAGCCACTGATACACTAAGCTATTTCTCATCCACATATGGTAATGGTTAGTACTGGTCAGGAAGATTACATATGGTAATGGTTAGTACTGGTCAGGAAGATTGGGGATGCTTTGCTGCCTCAGGACCTGGACGACTTGCCTTAATAGAAGGAACCATGAATTCTGCTCTGTATCAGAGAATTCTACAGGAGAACGTCAGACCATCCGTCTGTGAGCTGAAGCTGAAGCGCAGCTGGGTCATGCAGCAAGACAATGATCCAAAACACACAATCAAGTCTACATGAAAATTGCTAAAAAGCAACAAATTAGAAGTTTTGGAATGGCCTAGTCAAAGTCCAGACCTAATCCCAGTTGAGATGTTGTGGCAGGACTTGAAACGAGCAGTTCATGCTTGAAAGCCCACACGTCACTGAGTTAAAGCAGTTCTGCATGGAAGAGTGGGCCAAAATTCCTCCACAGCGACGTGAGAGACTGATCAACAACTACAGGAAGCATTTGGTTGGAGTCATTGCAGCTAAAGGTGGCACAACCAGTTATTGAGTGTAAGGGAGCAATTACTTTTTCACACAGGGGAATTGGGTGTTGCATAACTTTGTTTATGAAATAAATGAAATAAATATGTAATTGTTGTGTTATATGTCCACTTATGTTCCCTTTGTCTAATATTAGGTTTTGGTTGAAGATCTGATAACATTCAGTATCACAAATATGCAAAAGTAGAGAAAATTAGAAAGGGGGCAAATACTTTTTCATAGCACTGTATGATAATGGTTAGTACAGGTCAGGAAGGCTACATAGGAGAGAAATGGGACCTACTTGAGGAAGTTCTGTGCCTGGTTCAGGTCAGGAGTGATGAGGAGGAAATCATCCACCAGTCTCATCAGACACCTAACAGAGAGATGCAGAGATTACAGTTTACACACTGATACTTTCTGTGTAACTCCCAACATCAAAGGGTGCCCTCTGGTGGTGAGAGTTAGGAGTTACGCAAAAAAGTTTGACTGACAGACAAGAGGCATGTGATCCAAGGAGAATCAATGTTTGAGGGGTTAGGTTTAGGATGAATCATCTGCACAGCAGTCGAATACGGAAGTTCTTTAATATATCTTAATAGAAGAGAACAGCCACTCCTCCAGTCGGTCAGTCAGTCAAATGTTATCTATACAGCCCTGTTGAACTTCCAACACCCTCCTCACCCTCCTCTCTGAGCGACGTTAGGGAACAGCAGGTTCTCCATGTGACCGTAACAGAGGCAACACAACAGAGACGACACCACAGAACCCTGAGGGATCCCCTGACACTGCCGGAACGTTCTACAACACAGTACAAAGGGGGAATACGGGGTCAATAGACAGACTGAAGTACGTACAGAGAAACTAAAGTCATTCAAGAATAGGGGGTCATTTGAGACAATGACAAAGTATGTCAATGGTTTTATGTAATGTAGAAAAAAATAGTCAATCTAAAAAATTGATTCACTTCTTCCCAAACTGGACAACACTGCTGGAGAGCATCTGGGTGAAGAACTCTAAGACGACTTTGCCATGAACATCTGTGGAGAAATGCTGACAGAAGATAAACACTCGCATTAGAAGAGTCGTGATTTACTGTTTGAAATTTACTATTAACATGGGTGCCATGTTGGGGCAATTCTGGTAGGGATGAAAAGTTATTGGTATGTAGGATACCGCTGCAGCCATTCTTCAAAAACGGCTGCCGTCAATCCTCTCACCTGCTCCACCAGTATGGCATCGTGAACTTTGCCCTCTCTCTGCAGTGACATCACAAAGCCTTTCATGTTGGTGGACGCCAGAGTGTCTTCCATGAAGTCTGCCTACACACACACACACACACAACACATTATGGACACAAGAACACAGACACCAATGTAAACAACAAAACAAAGTTGTGCGGGGGCAAGTCTGGAGAGACAAAGGACAGGTAAGTGTGTGTGTGTGTGTGTGTGTGTGTGTGTCAGTGTTGACGTGAACAGACTGTCAAATACTCTATGTCACTGTCTATGACAACAACGACGTAGCCAGGTCCTTCCATCAGTTTTAGCTAGTGTGTGTGTGTGTGTGTGTGTGTGTGTGTGTGTGTTGTACCTGTCTGACAAAGGTCTTCTTGAGGCCCTCGTGGTTGTCGGCCCACACCTTGGCGTAGCGGCGCACTGAGAAGAGCTCTTCCTGGACATGTGACAGGACCTGACCAATCACCTCCAAGAGCTGAGTGTGGGGTAGACTGTCATAGGCCCCACTCACATCCACCTGAGAGAAGGGTGAGAGAGAGCGGGGTGAAGAGAGAGAGGGGTGAGTAGAGACTTGGTGAGAGAGATAGGGGTGAGAGAGAGCGGGGGTGAGGAGAGAGGGTTTGAGGAGCGGGGTGAGAGAGAGCGGGTGAGAGAGAGAGGGGGTGAGAGAGAGCGGGTGAGAGAGAGAGGGGTGAGAGGCGGGGTGATAGAGAGCGGGGTGAGAGAGAGGGGTGAGAGAGAGCGGGGTGAGAGAGAGCGGGGTGAGAGAGCGGGGTGAGAGAAGCTAGGGGTTATAGAGAGCGGGGTGAGATATAGAGGGTTGAGAGAGAGAGGGGTGAGAGAGAGCGGGGATGATCAGGAGCAGAGGGGTGATAGAGAGAGGGTGAGAGAGCGGGTGAGAGAGAGAGGGTGAGAGAGAGAGGGTGAGAGAGCGGGTGAAGAGCGCGGGGTGAGAGAAGCCGTGGGTGATAGAGAGCGGGGTGATAAGACGGGGTAGAGAGAGAGGAGCGGGGTGTGAGAGAGGAGGAGAGCGGGGTGAGAGGAGAGCGGGGTGAGAGAGAGGGGTGAGAGAGCGGGGGAGAGAGAGGGGGTGCAGAGGGGTTGAGAGAGAGAGGAGGGTGTGAGGAGAGAGAGGGTGAGAGAGCGGGGGGCAGAGAAGAGAGAGCGGGGTGCAGAGAGGAGAGAGGGCGTGAGAGAGAGAGGGGTGAGAGAGAGCGGGGTGAGAGAGAGAGGGGTGGGCTGAAGAGAGGAGAGGGTGAGAGAGAGAGGGAGGGGGTGAGAGGAGAGAGGGGTGAGAGAGAGAGGGGTGAGAGAGAGCGGGGTGAGAGAGAGCGGGGTTGAGAGAGAGCGGGGTTGAGAGAGAGCGGGGGTCGAGAGGAGAGCGTGGGGACGAGGAGAGGAGGGGTAGAGAGAGATGAAGGGGTGAGAGAAGAGAGGGGTGTGAGAGAGAGCGGGGTGAGAGGAGAGCGGGTGGTGAAAGAGGCGGGGGTTGGAGGAGAGGGGGGAGAGAGAGAGGGAATACAAAAAAAAAAAAAAAAAATGGAACTGTTGCTCTAGACGGCTGCCTAATCCTGCCTGATGGGTCCTGATCATACAATTACATTTACAATCCCTATTAATTCAATAGCATCTCTGTGGGACTAGTCATAAAGATGTCATTTAACTTTTAAAATATATTACCTTTTACTGTGGCATAAACACAACCAGTATTGATGTTTTTATCTGATTTACCAAACAAATCACTTCAAAAAGATCTCCTTTGCACAGCAACCCGCGCACATTCACCCAACATATTTCCAGCCTCCAAAAAAAATGGTGAATGGAAAGAGACATCTGTTACACAAAACACCAAAAAGTGCAATGACATTTGGCGATTGCCAATATAGGTCAGAATTATTGCCTCCACTGCTGTCCGCGCATGTCTCGGTTTCGGCCAACTCATCTCTGCCTTGGCAAAATGTTAAGTGTTCTCGTTGAACCACATGACATTTTGGAGCAACGGCCTACCACCCGTTTTCAAGCCCATCCGCCGAGGTTTCATCCCTCTGACATACGCTAATGTTAAATAATGGTGTAATAGCCTACAGTTTCCTCGACATTTTGTTTTCATTACTGTGAGAGGCATTTTTTTATGTTTTACCCCACTATTTATGTTGCTGGAACGGCGGACCGGACCGCCTTACATTCACCCCTGGGTGAGACAGAGAAGGGATGAATGAAGGGGAATAGGAGGAGGGAGAGAACGTTGAGGGAAGGGTATAAAAACTCTCTGGAATGAAACGACACACCTACCTTGACAAAGTAGAGCGGCCGTGGTTTGTCTTTCTGAGCAGGGGTGATGGAGGAGAGGACTCTGTGGATGTCGGTCGTCCCCCACACCGTGGAGCCCAGTAGAGAGGGAGAGGAGCGAACACACACACGCAGCACGTCCAACAGGTCCCTCACACGGGCCTGGAACAGCTGGAGGAAGAGATCACACACACTGACAGCAAGACAGATACACACCAGAGAGAAACACACACACACACTTATGGAAACACTTATTTTAAAAAAGGGCCAAAGTCGTACCCTTGTTTTGGCGTCAGCCCCTATGACCCGTGTGATGGGTCTCATGCCGTCGGTCTTCGGGATGAAGCGGAGGCGAGAGGTGACGGTGGTTTTGGGGAGCGACATCACCTGGGCCAGGGTCAACTCTGACATCTGTCCTTTAGAGAGGTGACCCCTGGGAACAAGGTCATAATAGTTAGTAGACGTTGACCACAGAGTTAGAGGAGACAGAGAGAGAGACAGAGGAGACCGAGACAGAGAGAGAAAATGGTGTTGGGGAAAAACATACGACATTATAAAATCCATGTAAACAAACAACAAGTGTGCTGTTTATTTCCACAGGGCCGTGGGGTGAGACATGGATGCAGCTTGAGCCCCACCCTCTTCAACATATTTACCAACGAATTGGCGAGGGCACTAGAACAGTCTGCAGCACCCGGCCTCACCCTACTAGAATCTGAAGTCAAATGTCTTCTGTTTGCTGATGATCTGGTGCTTCTGTCCCCAACCAAGGAGGGCCTACAGCAGCACCTAGATCTTCTGCACAGATTCTGTCAGACCTGGGCCCTGACAGTAAATCTCAGTAAGACAAAAATAATGGTGTTCCAAAAAAGGTCCAGTTGCCAAGACCACAAATACAAATTCCATCTAGACACCGTTGCCCTAGAGCACACAAAAAACTATACATACCTCGGCCTAAACATCAGCGCCACAGGTAACTTCCACAAAGCTGTGAACGATCTGAGAGACAAGGCAAGAAGGGCCTTCTATGCCATCAAAAGGAATATAAAATTTGACATACCAATTAGGATCTGGCTAAAAATACTTGAATCAGTTATAGAACCCATTGCCCTTTATGGTTCTGAGGTCTGGGGTCCGCTCACCAACCAAGAATTCACAAAATGGGACAAACACCACAGAATTCTGCAAAAATATCCTCAGTGTACAACGTAAAACACCAAATAATGCATGCAGAGCAGAATTAGGCCGATACCCGCTAATTATCAAAATCCGGAAAAGAGCCGTTAAATTCTACAACCACCTAAAAGGAAGAGATTCCCAAACCTTTCATAACAAAGTCATCACCTACAGAGAGATGAACCTGGAGAAGAGTCCCCTAAGTAAGCTGGTCCTGGGGCTCTGTTCACAAACACAAACAGACCCCACAGAGCCCCAGGACAGCAACACAATTAAACCCAACCAAATCATGAGAAAACAAAAAGAGAATTACTTGACACATTGGAAATAACTAACAAAAAAACAGAGCAAACTAGAATGCTATTTGGCCCTAAACAGAGAGTACACAGTGGCAGAATACTTGACCACTGTGACTGAACCAAACTTAAGGAAAGCTTTGACTATGTACAGACTCAGTGAGCATAGCCTTGCTATTGAGAAAGGCCGCCGTAGGCAGACCTGGCTCTCAAGAGAAGACAGGCTATGTGCACACTGCCCACAAAATGAGGTGGAAACTGAGCTGCACTTCCTATCCTCTAAATGTATGACCATATTAGAGACACAGATTTCCCTCAGATTACAGAAATCCACAAAGAATTCGAAAACAAACCTAATTTTGATAAACTCCCATATCTATTGGGCGAAATACCACAGTGTGCCAACACAGCAGCCATACTTGTGACCTGTTGCCACAAGAAAAGGGCAACCAGTGAAGAACCAACACCATTGTAAATACAACCCATATTTATGTTTATTTATTTTCCCATTTGTACATTTGTTTATTATCTACTTCACTTGCTTTGGCAATGTTAACATATGTTTCCCATGCCAATAAAGCCCTTAAATTGAAATTGAGAGAGACACACACACAGAGAGAGAGAGAGAGAGAGACAGACACACAGAGAGAGAGAGAGAGAGAGAGAGAGAGAGGAGAGAGAGAGAGAGAGAGAGACAGACACACAGAGAGAGAGAGCGAGAGCGAGAGAGAGAGAGAGAGAGAGCGCGAGCGTGAGTGGGGGGGGGGTTTGTGTAAGTCTGAGTGACTCTAGCACTGAGTGCTGTGTGTATGACAGTATGATCATGCTCGTACGTGTGTAACTGTGTATAATACCTGAAAGCCAACTCCTGCAGCTTGGCCCAGACCTGGTATCTGTAGAAGCGCAGTGCGTTCTTCTGTCCCATGCTTTCTGTGACGTAGAACATGGCTCTCACCAGGCCTAGCACGTAGCCATCCAGCAGCCAAGCCAGGAGCTGGCCAAGCAGCCGCGTCCGATACGACAGCTCACTGGGCGGGCAGCGGCCTGGGGACAAGGGGTTAGAATGAGTGGAAATAATAACGTAACAGATGTAATGGAAGCTGGATGGAGAAGGAGAGAGATTGGGTAAAGTTGGGTGAAGAAGAGGGAGTGGGTAAGAGAGGTGAGTGAGTACTGGAAGGTGAGTAGGAGATGGGGTAAAGTTAAGAGTCTGGGAAAGTGGAACTCACCGGTCTTGCTGATCTTCAGCCAATCACAGTCGTTCACCTTCATCTTCCACATCAGCTCAGCCAATGAGATCCTCTCAAACTTGCCCATGGACAGGAAGTTCCTGACTCGGGACAGGAAGTTTAATCGGTTGTGGTCCGACCCCCAGAGCTCCAGGGGGACCACCACGGAGAGGCACTCTCTGACAAAGAGGTACACCCGGTGAAGTGCAGTGTGCTGGGACAGGAGCGCGGCGCTATCCCCCTCTCCATCTCCCACCCGTGGACAAACCCTCTGCAGTATCTTAGAATAGGGACAACTCCTGTGTCGACGTAACAGCTGACTAAACCAGGGCACCATGTTGAAAAACCTTCTGGGAAGTCTCTTAGTCTTCCTCTCTGTTCCGTTCAGATAGGCCACGCCTTCAAAGAACACCAGTCTCACTAAGTCCCGCCCCTGCAGACGCCTGGGCCCCTCATCCCCACCTTTCCTCTTCCTGTTTAGCAGGAAGCTGCGCATGCCCCGCCCCCCGTAGAGCATGCCCAGGGTGCGGATGAAGCACTGGGAGGGGGGGAGTGGTGGGAACAACCCTGATCTCCAACTAGGACCCCCCTCTATATGGACGGTGGCTGATACGGGTGCCTCGACGGGTATTTTGGCTCCAGACTTTTCTTCTACTGGTCTTTGGACTACAGCCGGTGTTTCCGCTGGCCTTCTACATCCTGTTTTCATTGATATCTGCTCACCATGACCAGCGGGGACCTGCATAGAGCTCTCTGTGGGTTCTATGATGAGCATCACAGCCTCCACTGGTCTTTCACCTCCAGCCATTTGCTCCAATGGCTTCCTGAGTTGTTCCATTTCTACTGACACCTGTAGGCTCTGTGTGGGTCCCTTCGTGAGAGAAATAACCTCCACTGGTCGCTTGACCCCATTTGTTTCCAGTGTTCTGAGCTTACCATCGCTAGTCCCACTGGAGACTGTCGAAGCTTCCCTTTGAGTGCATTTCCTTTTTCCAGGCAAACACCCCTCTCCTTCCTCCTTCTCCTTCCTCCTCCTCCTCATCTCTCTTCCTCTTCCCACCCAAACTCACCTCTTCTCCCTTCTTCCTTTTCCCAGTGGCTCCACCTCCATCCCTTCTCCTCCTTTTTCTCATATCAGAACCCTGAAATTCCCATCCCCTATTTCCCCCCTCCTTGCTACTCCTGGCGTTCCCAGTAGTAGCATTCCGATTGTATCCCAGGTGGAACCTTGATATGCCCGTTGACGTGGAAACGCGGTCGTACACAGGCACGCCGCACACCTGGAACGCGGACGACGGTGGCACCGTGACGAACACAGAACAGCTCTCCAGGAGGTACTTGGTGACGTCCGTGCCGAGGCGCTGGCAGATCCTCTTCCATAGGTCGCTACCGTGGACGTACGCGGCACTCTGAGTGACCTCGCCGTGGAACTTAAACTGGTCGGCGTCGCGGTCCTGGAACGCGGAGGGGTAACCGTAACCGTGAGCCAAGACATTCCTTTTCTTCTTCCTCTTGATGTTGTTCAACACGAACGCCAACAGCTCAGGCACGGTGCTGATCTAAGGATGACACGTAGTCAATACATCAACATTACAGGCACGGTGCTGATCTATGGATGACACGTAGTCAATACGTCAACATTACAGGCACGGTGCTGATCTAAGGATGACATGTAGTCAATACATCAACATTACAGGCACGGTGCTGATCTAAGGATGACACGTAGTCAATACATCAACATTACAGGCACGGTGCTGATCTAAGGATGACACGTAGTCAATACATCAACATTACAGGCACGGTGCTGATCTAAGGATGACACGTAGTCAATACATCAACATTACAGGCACGGTGCTGATCTAAGGATGACACGTAGTCAATACGTCAACATTACAGGCACGGTGCTGATCTAAGGATGACACGTAGTCAATACATCAACATTACAGGCACGGTGCTGATCTAAGGATGACATGTAGTCAATACGTCAACATTACAGGCACGGTGCTGATCTAAGGATGACACGTAGTCAATACATCAACATTACAGGCACGGTGCTGATCTAAGGATGACACGTAGTCAATACATCAACATTACAGGCACGGTGCTGATCTAAGGATGACACGTAGTCAATACATCAACATTACAGGCACGGTGCTGATCTATGGATGACACGTAGTCAATACATCAACATTACAGGCACAGTGCTGATCTAAGGATGACACGTAGTCAATACATCAACATTACAGGCACGGTGCTGATCTATGGATGACACGTAGTCAATACATCAACATTACAGGCACGGTGCTGATCTATGGATGACACGTAGTCAATACATCAACATTACAGGCACGGTGCTGATCTATGGATGACACGTAGTCAATACATCAACATTACAGGCACAGTGCTGATCTAAGGATGACATGTAGTCAATACATCAACATTACAGGCACGGTGCTGATCTAAGGATGACATGTAGTCAATACATCAACATTACAGGCACGGTGCTGATCTAAGGATGACATGTAGTCAATACATCAACATTACAGGCACGGTGCTGATCTAAGGATGACACGTAGTCAATACGTCAACATTACAGGCACGGTGCTGATCTAAGGATGACATGTAGTCAATACGTCAACATTACAGGCACGGTGCTGATCTAAGGATGACACGTAGTCAATACATCAACATTACCCCCCCCCCATCAATCTACACACAATACCCCATAACGACAAAGCAAAAACAGGTTTTTTAGAATTTTTTGCAAATGTATTAAACATTTTAAACTGAAATATCAAATTTACATAATTATTCAGACCCTTTACTCAGTACTTTGTTGAAGCACCTTTGGCAGCGATTAAAGCCTAGAGTTTTCTTGGGTATGACGCTACAAGCTTGGCATAGCTGTATTTGGGGAGTTTCTCCCATTCTTCTCTGCAGATCGTCTCAAGCTCTGTCAGGTTGGATGCACAGCTATTTTCAGTTCTCTCCAGAGATGTTCGATCGGGTTCAAGTCCGGGCTCTGGCTGGGCCACTCAAGGACATTCAGAGACTTGTCCAGAAGCCACTCCTGCGTTGCCTTGGCTGTGTGCTTAGAGTCGTTGTCCTGTTGGAAGGTGAACCGTTGCCCCAGTCTGAGGTCCTGAGCAGGTTTTCATCAAGGATCTCTCTGTACTTTGCTCAGTTATCTTTCCCTCGATCCTGACTAGTCTCCCAGTCCCTGCCGCTGAAAAACATCCCCACAGCATGATGCTGCCACCACCATGCTTCACCGTAGGGATGGTCTTGGTGGTTCCAAACTTCTTTCATTTAAAAATGATGGAGGCCACGCTGTTCTTGGCGACCTTCAATGCTGCAGAAATTATTTAGTACCCTTCCCCAGATCTGTGCCTCGACACAATCCTGTCTCGGTGCTCTACTGACAATTCCTTCGACCTCATGGCTTGGGTTTTGCTCTGACATGCACTGTCAACTGTAGGACCTTATATAGACAGGTGTGTGCCTTTCCAAATCATGTCCAATCAATTGAATTTACCACAGGTGAGCTTAAGTTCGAGTCTAGCAAAGGGTCTGAATACTTATGTAACTAAGGTATTTCTGTTTATTTTTAATACATTTGCTAAAATTTCTAAAAACCTGTTTTTGCTTTGTCATTATGGGGTATTGCGTGTAGATTGGTGAGGATTTTTTTTTTTGTTATCCATTTTAGAATAAGACTAATGTAACAAAATGTGGAAAAAGTCAATGGGTCTGAATACTTTCCGAATGTCCATCCTGGTGATTTAAGAATGACGTAGTCAATACATCAACATAATAGGCACAATGTAGTCCCCTGTAGCTCAGTTGGTAGAGCATGGCGCTTGCAACGCCAGGGTTGTGGGTTCGTTTCCCACGGGGGGCCAGTATGAAAAATGTATGCATTCACTAACTGTAAGTCGCTCTGGATAAGAGCGTCTGCTAAATGACTAAAATGTAAATGTGAAATGTGTGTGTGTCTTGCTGGCTGTCTCTGCACTGTTTGTGCATTTTAATCCATGGCTTCTGGGGTCAAACGTAGCAGTGCAAAACAATACAAAGCATCTTTCTTCATCTCAAATGTCAATTCAAAACGTTGCATTTTATCGCAAATATTTAGCTAAGTAAAAAGTCGGCTACTCCGTGACGTTAGCTAGCTAGGCTATGCTTTAGTTATGTAGCTAGCTAACTACACGTTTACCTGATTGCAGCTGGGAACGGTCTGTAGGGTTTTATCCGTACAGACAAACACTCCTCGGACAAACGATATGAAGCGGTTTGTATCTGTCGGTTCGATGAGCACCGCTCTCTGTCCCTCTCTGAAGACAGTCCCGTCCCCGAACTCCTCCAGAGTCTGGACATGCGGATACAGAGAGTAGAGCATGCCGAGCACACGTGTCATATCGCCACCGGGCATTTTCAACGGACATACTAGTTATTTACTACCTCGTAGTGAATCTGGATTGTTGTGCCCATTTAATGTGCTCTGTTTCTGTCCGTCACTGTGTAGCTATCTTGTTTTTCTATTGTGTCTGAATCCTACAACCGGCGAGACACCGTTAATGTGTGTTTGTGGGTCCCACTTTCAGGCGCTCAACGAATCAGAAGCTAGCTAACGTCCAAATCAAGGTTTATTGGTCGCGTAGACCGTTTAGCAGATGTTATAGCGGGTGTAGAGAAATGCTTATGTTACCAACTCCTAACAATGCAGTAAAATGTTAAACAAGTACACAAAAATAATTAACTACAAATCAAGAAATGTCGGAACGAATCCAATTAACAACCCAAATTGCATTCTCCTTAAACCCCGGAAGCAGCCATTCAACTTGCCGTTCACCAACTTAATAATGACAAAATACGTTCGGTACTTACCAAATAATGGAGTTTCGCTGAGCAACTATCTTCATTACTGCCGTAACTGGTACTTAATTCCAAAAAAGGTCTGAATAAAAGTTACATGCAACCGAAAAAAAATATTGTCTGGAAATAATCAAAGTATTGTTTTTGACCAAGTGCCCATGCGCCAAATCCACCACATCTGGACCAATAAAATCACTCTGGAAATATGCAATCACTGTAAAAACGTTCCCTATATGGTCTACTCAATATACTTTCATTAAATATGATGGGATTCCGTGTAGCGCAGTGAAACAACAGATAGATATGATGTCCATACACTGTTGTAGGTGATACAATTCTTCCTGCTGTTGGATCAGCCGACCTGAGCAGTAATTAGTTATTTTTTATTAGAGATGCAGAAGATGTGGATTTTGCACATGCGCACTTGGTCAAAAACAATACGTTATTTGCAGACAAGGCATTTTTTTTCGGTTGCATGTAACTTTTTATTTACACCTTTGTTGGAAGTACATACTGGACATAGCCACAGGTAGTAGGGATGCAGCACCCCCTGAATTTAAAATAATTAAGGTTTCCCCAGCAACCCAACCCCCGGTAAATAAAATAAAATAAAAAAATATTGCAGCACCCCCCACCCCTAAACTACTTCCCACGGCTATGATACTGGCCATTACAAAAAAGTTGGTGAATGGCAAACCATGATAGTTGTTGCAGCTTTAGATCTTCCCCCTATTCTACATTTCAAAAGGGATATTTCCATCTCTGTCCATGAAACCTCTCATATGTGGTGTGAGCATTTTTTTTAGAATCGCATTCTGGAACATGTGCGAGTAGAACAACTGCCGTGTGCACGTCGCTGCACATATAAAATGTGAAGAATTAATAGTTTATCAACATTAAGCTAAACATTGTGATCTGTTCAGCCTTATTAATTCTTCACTACTTGGATACGCATCATGGAGATTAAGTATACCCCAATGCCCACTGTAAAATAAGAAGGGATAAAGCGAATACCTGCATATACCCTCCCGAGTACCGCAGCGTTGTAAGGCGCTACATCTCAGTGCTAGAGGCGTCACTACAGACCCTGGTTCGATTCCAGGCTCTATGACAATCCTGCCGTGATTGGGAGTCCCAGCATCATCCGAGTTTGGCCGTCATTGTAAATAAGATTTTGTTCTTTATTCTTAACTGGTTAAATAAATAAAAATACACCACTGAGCAAGTTGAATGGCTACTTCCTGGGTTTAAATGATATTCAACATGTCCTGAAAGCCCCAACTCTGGCTGCTATCTATCTGATGAGTTTACACAATATATACTAAGAATGATATGTACAGCAGTAGAAACAATTAGACTGAACTATGTCAAGAATCCAGTATATATGAACAGTGTGACTAAAATACAATGTACAGTAGTAGAAATATTAGAATGAGCTATGTCGACAATACAGTATTTAAATACACATAACAAAACGCCATGGCAAAATGGATAGTGATATACAGTGCCTTGCAAAAGTATTCACCCCCTTTGGCGTTTTTCCTATTTTGTTGCAATTACAACCTGTAATTTAAATGGATTTTTATTTGGATTTTATGAAATTAAGTGGAATAAAAAAAAATTATAACGGAAAAGTGATGCGTGCATATGTATTCACCCCCTTTGCTATGAAGCCCCTAAATAAGATATGGTGCAACCAATTACCTTCAGAAGTCACATAATTAGTTAAATAAAAGTCCACCTGTGTGCAATCTAAGTGTCACATGATCTGTCACATGATCTCAGTATAATTTATATACACCTGTTCTGAAAGACCCCAGAGTCTGCAACACCACTAAGCAAGCGGCACTATGAAGACCAAGAAGCTCTCCAAACAGGTCAGGGACAAAGTTGTGGAGAAGTACAAATCAGGGTTGGGTTATAAAAAAATATCAGAAACTTTGAACATCCCACGGAGCACCATTAAATCCGTTATAATTTTTTTTTTAAAGAATATGGCACCACAACAAACCTGCCAAGAGAGGGCCGCCCACCAAAACTCACGGACCAGGCAAGGAGGGCATTAATCAGAGAGGCAACAAAGAGACCAAAGATAACCCTGAAGGAGCTGCAAAGCTCCACAGCGGAGATTGGAGTATCTGTCCATAGGACCACTTTAAGCCGTACACTCCACAGATCTGGGGATTACGGAAGAGTGGCCAGAAAAAAGCCATTGCTTAAAGAAAAAAATAAGCCAACACGTTTGGTGTTCACCAAAAGGCATGTGGCAGACTCCCCAAACATATGGAAGAAGGTACTCTGGTCAGATGAGACTAAAATTGAGCTTCTTTTGTATTTTTTACCCCCTTTTTCTCCCCAATTTCGTGGTATCCAATTGGTAGTTACCGTCTTGTCTCATCGCTGCAACTCCCGTACGGACACGGGAGAGGCGAAGGTCGAGAGTCGTGCGTCCTCCGAAACACAACCCAACCTAGCCGGAAGCCTGCCGCACCAATGGGCCCCAAGAGACTTGCATCTGTAATTGCTGCAAAAAGTGGCTCTACAAAGTATTGACTTTGGGTGGCTGAATAGTTATGCACGCTCAAGTTGTTTTTTTGTCTTATTTCTTGTTTGTTAAACAAACAAAAAACATTTTGCATCTTCAAAGTGGTAGGCATGTTGTGTAAATCAAATGATACAACCCCCCCCAAAAAAATCCATTTTAATTCCAGGTTGTAAGGCAACAAAACGCCCATAACTTGGTTTAAAATGCTATGCGTAGCAAAAATACCACCAACCATAATTAAAACCCACTTATTTTTATTTTAAAATAGCAAAACAGTAGCCCATTTGAGTTCCTGGTGCAGTAGTCCCACTATGATCACGTGTCTTACATTCTCCTCCTCCATTTTAAAAGGAAACATTTCAACCACATGGCCAAGGAACTATTACCAGGAACACCATCTTGGTTCAAACGTGATGTGGCATCATTCAGAATCCATTTGATCGATTTTTATCAGTAGAAACTAGTCAGATCAGCGATTACACATCAAGGATGGGGGAAGATTCTGTAAATAAGTGTTGTTGTTTTTTTTACTCATCAAAAAGGGTTCAGAGACATTCAGTCCAGGTCTTTCCCATCAGGTCAGTTAAAGGAAAGGAGACAACCCATTTTGCAGATGTCCACGGTGGGCTCAGACCACCAGCATATCAACAGGGGGAGGTCTGAGTGGTATCTGCCCCAGGGTGAACCTCTTCCCTCCAAACTCCTTCAGCTCCTCTTCACTCAGCTGGCTCTTGGCGGTGAAGAGACTGTCTGTTGGGGCCATACCCCCAAACCCTCCACTCGCCTGTCCAAAACCACTTGCAGCCACTGGCACCGCACTCCCGAAACCACTCCCTCCAAATCCTCCTCCTCCTCCTCCACCGGTGGTCGTCGAGGCGAAGCTAAACCCGGACGGAGTGGCAGGAGCTCCGAAACCGGCAGAGGTCGGCTCCTTGGTGGTGGCAAAGGAGAAACCTGCTGCCGAGGGAGCAGTGGTGGCTGTAGAGCCGATCCCAGTGGGAGGTTGTGCGACGGCTGCCACAGCACTGCCCAAACCAGAAGCTGCACCCAGCGCAGCAAAGCTGAAATTGATGGCACCCGTGGTGTCCTGGACTGGGGCCTGGGCCGGCACTCCGAAACCTAGGGAGAGTCCAGCGTTAGATTGAGAGAAGCACCAGAGATATATCATCCTACTAGCCTACTGTCCTTGTTTCAGGCACAAACAGTGGCGCTCTCTCATGGAAACCTTATGTTCAACATGGGAAAGAGGAGGATTAGGAACGCAAGTAAATATTTAAAAGACCAACTGCATGTCCCACTAACTATCTTAGCCATTCAACATAGGAGATACAGAGGGTCTTATCCAGTCAACATAGGAGTTACAGAGGGTCTTATCCAGTCAACATAGGAGTTACAGAGGGTCTTATCCAGTCAACATAGGAGTTACAGAGGGTCTTATCCAGTCAACATAGGAGTTACAGAGGGTCTTATCCAGTCAACATAGGAGTTACAGAGGGTCTTATCCAGTCAACATAGGAGTTACAGAGGGTCTTATCCAGTCAACATAGGAGTTACAGAGGGTCTTATCCAGTCAACATAGGAGTTACAGAGGGTCTTATCCAGTCAACATAGGAGTTACAGAGGGTCTTATCCAGTCAACATAGGAGTTAGAGGGTCTTATCCAGTCAACACAGGAGTTACAGAGGGTCTTATCCAGTCAACATAGGAGTTACAGAGGGTCTTATCCAGTCAACATAGGAGTTACAGAGGGTCTTATCCAGTCAACACAGGAGTTACAGAGGGTCTTATCCAGTCATAGGAGTTACAGAGGGTCTTATCCAGTCAACATAGGAGATACATAGGGTCTTATCCAGTCAACATAGGAGATACATAGGGTCTTATCCAGTCAACATAGGAGATACAGAGGGTCTTATCCAGTCAACATAGGAGATACATAGGGTCTTATCCAGTCAACACAGGAGTTACAGAGGGTCTTATCCAGTCAACACAGGAGTTACAGAGGGTCTTATCCAGTCAACATATCAGATCTTTACCTGCTCCAAAGCCTGATGGTGCTGAGGACCCAAAGCCGGTAACTGGTGTCGACCCAAAACCTCCAGACGCTGCCTGTGGTGCTGGGTTGTCCAGCTCTGCAAGCTGGGAGAGAGGAGATCGGATTACTCAGCAAAAAAAAGAAATGTCCCCTCACTGTCAACTGCGTTTATTTTCAGCAAACTTAACATGTGTAAATATTTGTATGAACATAACAAGATTCAACAACTGAGACAAACTGAACTAGTTCCACAGACATGTGACGAACAGAAATTGAATAATGTGTCCCTGAATAAAGGGGTGGTCAAAATCAAAAGTAACAGTCAGTATCTGGTGTGGCCACCAGCTGCATTAAGTACTGCAGTGCATCTCCTCCTCATGGACTGCACCCTATTTGCCAGTTCTTGCTGTGAGATGTTACCCCACTCTTCCACCAAGGCACCTGCAACTTCCCTGACATTTCTGGGGGGAATGGCCCTAGCCCTCACCCTCGATCCAACAGGTCCCAGACGTGCTCAATGGGATTGAGATCCGGGCTCTTCGCTGGCCATGGCAGAACACTGACATTCCTGTCTTGCAGGAAATCACGCACAGAACGAGCAGTATAGCTGGTGGCATTGTCATGCTGGAGGGTCATGTCAGGATGAGCCTGCAGGAAGGGTACCACATGAGGGAGGAGGATGTCTTCCCTGTAACACACAGCGTTGAGATTGCCTGCAATGACAACAAGCTCAGTCCGATGATGCTGTGACACACCGCCCCAGACCATGACGGACCCTCCACCTCCAAATCGATCCCGCTCCAGAGTACAGGCCTCGGTGTAACGCTCATTCCTTCGACAAACGCGAATCCGACCATCACCCCCGGTGAGACAAAACCGCAACTCGTCAGTGTAGAGCACTTTTTGCCAGTCCTGTCTGGTCCAGTGACGGAGGGTTTGTGTCCATAGGCGACGTTGTTGCCATTGATGTCTGGTGAGGACCTGCCTTACAACAGGCCTACAAGCCCTCAGTCCAGCCTCTCTCAGCCTATTGCGGACAGTCTGAGCACTGATGGAGGGATTGTACGTTCCTGGTGTAACTCGGGCAGTTGTTCTTGCCATCCTGTACCTGTCCCACAGGTGTGATGTTCGGATGTACCGATCCTGTGCAGGTGTTGTTACACATGGTCTGCCACTGCGAGGACGATCAGCTGTCCGTCCTGTCTCCCTGTAGCGCCGTCTTAGGCGTCTCACAGTATGGACATTGCAATTTATTGCCCTGGCCAGATGAGCAGGGACCCTGGGCATCTTTCTTTTGGTGTTTTTCAGTCAGTAGAAAGGCATCTTTAGTGTCCTAAGTTTTCATAACTGTGACCTTAATTGCCTACCGTCTGTAAGCTGTTAGTGTCTTAACGACCATTCCACAGGTGCATGTTCATTAATTGTTTATGGTTCATTGAACAAGCATGGGAAACAGTGTTTAAACCCTTTACAATTAAGATCTGTGAAGTTATTTGGATTTTTACAAATTATCTTTGAAAGACAGGGTCCTGAAAAAGGGACGTTTCTTTTTTTGCTGAATTTATATGGCTTTCTATTTTTCTTGTCGTATTACTACAGAAAGAAGTGTGTGTGTGTGTGTGTGTGTGTGTGTGTGTCACCATAGCGACTCTGGTGTTGCCGCTCATAGCCCTCAGCTCCTGGACTCTGCTTCTCCATTGGTTGACCAGCTGATTGATGACGTTAGCCTACAGACACAAGGAAGGCTGCTGTTAGTACTGATTGAAATTCATTTCTCAGCAAATAAAAAAGACATACAGACAACATGGATGTAATGGCAATATTCTCTGGAATCACTGTCCTTAAGTTAGAAGCAATTAATTTAACCCCCTAAACTTCGCACTGCGGCTGCTCCAGCCTCTCCTACATCACGTGTGTGTATATCCGAGGGGTTGGGTAAAAGCAGAAGAGAAAATGTCTGTCTCATATGGATCAATAAAGTATTCTTCTTCATTACATTGAATCCCAGTGCAGATGGCTTCATGTTATACTTTGTTAATGCAGATAAAGGGATATGCATGTGATTCTACTCACATATCCCTGCAGGTCTCCAGACGGCTTGGCGTTGTAATACTCCAGTCTCAGCTCCTCTGGAGAGAGCTCTGTAAACCCTGCACAGAGGAGAAGATAGGGTTCAATGCCATCCAGTTAAAAATCACAGCCAATCTAATATAGCCTACTACTACATCGAGATCTATCCAAGATGTTCCTTCCATCCCAACTGAGGTAATGGTTAACCAAACAACTGTGAGTGTGTGGCAGTGAGAAACTAACCGGACCATTCTATAGAGCAGGGTTCTTCAATTCCGGTCCTGAAAGGGCCGAGGCACCTCTGTTTTTCATCCTCTCCTTCTAATCAGGGGCTAATTCAGACCTGGGACACCAGGTGATTGCAATTAACTACCAGGTAGAAATAAAAAACAGAAGTGTTTCGGCCCTCCAGGACCGGAATTGAAGAACCCTGCTATAGAGGGACAGACCAAAGCTAAGAAGTTCTCTTACCTGAGATGGTTGCTTTGAGGACAGAGTAACAGGAGAAAAGCCACTGGCCTGAAGTCTCCCAGATCTCCATATCCTTCTGGATGGTCTCCCTGGTGAGGAGAGAAGACATTCTAATAACTGGCTATTACATTGACAGACTACTTTGTCCGGGACTAATTGTGTGTGTGTGTGTGTCAATTCTGAATAGCATTGAGGAAACTGTTTCCACCCGAGCAGTCACTGGACTTACAGGTGTTTCTCATTGTCATCTTCTTCCCTCCCAGCCTTGTCGAAGCTGCTTTGAGTGTTTAAGGCAGAAAATCTGTTTTGGTTTGGAGAGGAGGCTGCGAAACTGAAGTTGGAGCTCTTGACTTGGGTGTCCCTTCCTCCTCCTCCTCCTCCTCCTGGACCCCAGTTGTTGCCCCCACCTCCCCCTCCTCTTCCTCCCCCTCCCCCCCAGTCATCCCCACCCTGCTGGGAGGAGAAGGACGACGGCTGGACGTAGTTTCCTCCTCCAGACCTCTGAGCTGGGTTCACCCACACTCTGTTCCCAAACCCTGAAAACAGGACATTCAAGGATTAGACTACCTAAATATTGGATGGGAGAAATGTGTTGCTAGGCTGCATGACGTGATGACCCACTTTCAATTAATTGGCTTGAATAGCCCATTTGTTGTTGTTTTACTACATAACCTTTGCTTAAGGTTTACTGCAAGAGTAATCTCAACAGCCCAGAGCCAAACCTTACCAGAAGATTTACAGCCCAGAGCCAATCCTTGCCTGAAGGTTTACAGCCCAGAGCCAAACCATACCAGAAGGTTTACAGCCCAGAGCCAAACCTTACCAGAAGATTTACAGCCCAGAGCCAATCCTGCCTGAAGGTTTACAGCCCAGAGCCAAACCTTACCAGAAGGTTTACAGCCCAGAGCCAAACCTTACCAGAAGGTTTGCAGCCCAGAGCCAAACTGCCTGAAGGTTTACAGCCCAGAGCCAAACCTTACCAGAAGGTTTACAGCCCAGAGCCAAACCTTACCAGAAGGTTTGCAGCCCAGAGCCAAACCTGCCTGAAGGTTTACAGCCCAGAGCCAAACCTGCCTGAAGGTTTACAGCCCAGAGCCAAACCTTACCAGAAGGTTTACAGCCCAGAGTCAAACCTGCCTGAAGGTTTACAGCCCAGAGTCAAACCTGCCTGAAGGTTTACAGCCCAGAGCCAAACCTGCCTGAAGGCTCTGACCAGCTACTGGATGTGGTTCTGGGGGAGAGTCAACACCCCTCCTCTGCAATCTGACCGCCCAAAATACCCCCCCCCCCCCCTTCCGAAATTCAAAAGACGGTGCAACCCCGCGATATCGTGATTGGTCCAAATAAATCAGTGAAGCAAATAGGTACACATTTTCCACATAACCATTCTCTAATCTCACGGCCGTAACATTTTGTAACGGAGGTATCAAGCAGAGACTACTAGAAAGAGAAGTAGCTAGCTAGGCTAAGAAGGAAACAAACAAACAAACGTGTTGTAGCCGAGGTTGTAGCTATTAGCTACAACGATGACTTGGCTATCGCTAGTGATGTGAAAACCGAGGCTTTCTTAACCCTTTGGGGCTTTTACCAAATTGTGCCGGAAAAAAAAAAACGATTCAATACGCTGAGATTTTAACACAGTGCACATTAGAGACATCTGCTGGTCAGCAATAAATATCAGCACGCTTGATGTTTATATAGACTTGGATGGGTATGAGTGTTGGTTAGACTGTTAGAATCCTCCTTACCTTTTTGCCTCCAGGTTCACAATTCAAAAACGGTGAATCCGTGGTATTATTTAGGATGCTGAAGACAAAAGATTATCATAGGCTACACTAAATAAAATAAATTATTTGAACAACAATGCCAATGGGAAAATAGTGTGGTTTCACAGAAAATAATTTTTCAACCATAGACAGGATTTGATATTGTGCCTATGCTGGTGCCTGAGCCTAAATCCCTGTCCCTGTCGGTTGAGCTACCGTTCAGGTGCTACACACTGGAAACATCTACATTTGAGGTTGGTGTGTGAAAGCAACTTTGCATCAAAGAAAGCACTGGCACCAAGGCGAAATCAGTGGGATCTCGCATTTTGCAACACACGGTTTGAAAAAGCACTTGATCAAAATGAAGCTTTGGGGGTCATTGATGACGTGGTAATGCTACTTTGAAACCATCTATGCTTTGAAACGAGCAACCTAGATTTTTTTTAACAAACAAAACATTTATAAAAGACAGTGGCTCCATTGCATGATTAAGGATGTTAAATAAATAAAAATATACAGCCTACGCTTATCGAAACTCAATTTCACAGGTTAGAAATACAATGTAGCCAGTGTTTTAAAGAAAACGTAACAAAAAGGTGGCTTAGAAGGTGAAATATCTAGATAAAACCAAAAAGCTTCCAGCAGATGTCGGCGCTTGTCAGTTAAGGGATTTTGGATTGTAATGGTGACAGAACTACGTGAGTTTGTATTTTGAATTTTGTGGTCGCACACTGAGATGTTGTTGTTGTTGCAAGTACGATTCGCAAATGTGTAATTTTAATTTTGCAAGCTTGTATAATGATGTGTGAAAGATTTAACAACGGTCGCAAACTTGTAACTTGACATTTGAATATATTAAACAAGATTTGCAAGCATAATTTATTTTCAGAATTATTACAAATCCATTTACGAGTATGAATATTCTGCTGTGAATCAAAAATAAACTTGCAAATTTTGACTCTGCACACACTGAGTTCAGTCACTGTTGTCACGTTACCAAGAGATTCGTAAGCTTGTAGAAAGTTTTGTACATTTGTAGAAAGAGATTCACAAGTAAAAATGAGATTCAAAATTGCCATAGATAAAATGCAATTGTGTTCGATGTCCGTGGCTTATGCCTGCCTGCCCATACCATAACCCCACCGCCACCATGGGGCACTGTGTTCACAACTCTGACATCAGCAAACCGCTCGCCCACACGACACCGTACACGCGGACTGCGGTTGTGATACCGGTTGGACATACTGCAAAAATCTCTAAAACAAACATTGAGGCGGCTTTAAAAAATGAACGTTAAATTCTCTGGTAACAGCTCTGGTGGACATTTCTGCTGTCAGCATCCCGATTACACACTCCCTCAAAACTTGAGACAAATGTGGAATTGTGTTGTGTGACGAAACAGCAATTTTTAAAAGTGGCCTTTAATTGTCACCAGCACAAGGTGCACCTGTGTAATGATCATGCTGTTTAAATCAGCTTCTTGATATGCCACACTTGTCAGGTGGATGGATTATCTTGGCAAAGGAGAATTGCTCACTAACAAATTTGTTAGAACACAAAAGCTGCCAGACCACCACAGGACCCTAGAGGTATTACAGTCAATGATCACTGGAAAGCAGTAAGCTGACAGAACACCACAGGACCCTAGAGGCATTACAGTCAATGATCACTGGAAAGCAGTAAGCTGACAGAACACCACAGGACCCTAGAGGTATTACAGTCAATGATCACTGGAAAGCAGTAAACTGCCAGAACACCACAGGACCCTAGAGGTATTACAGTCAATGATCACTGGAAAGCAGTAAACTGCCAGAACACCACAGGACCCTAGAGGCATTACAGTCAATGATCACTGGAAAGCAGTAAACTGCCAGAACACCACAGGACCCTAGAGGTATTACAGTCAATGATCACTGGAAAGCAGTAAACTGCCAGAACACCACAGGACCCTAGAGGTATTACAGTCAATGATCACTGGAAAGCAGTAAACTGCCAGAACACCACAGGACCCTAGAGGCATTACAGTCAATGATCACTGGAAAGCAGTAAACTGCCAGAACACCACAGGACCCTAGAGGTATTACAGTCAATGATCACTGGAAAGCAGTAAACTGCCAGAACACCACAGGACCCTAGAGGCATTACAGTCAATGATCACTGGAAAGCAGTAAACTGACAGAACACCACAGGACCCTAGAGGCATTATGCATATTGTATGTGAATTGCCCATTTATATCAATGACACTAATAAAATGGTTGGATTGTTCAGCAACATGTGCAGTACATGCTAACACGGCTTTGGTGATGAAAGGAACATGTCATTTATTGTCATCTCCCCATCAGGCCACTGTATGCTGTGACAAGGACCTGGATGGTGACATCATCTGCTTCAAGCTGCCTGCCTGAATACTGGGGGCCTTCAGTGGTACCTTCGCTTTGATTACAGCTAGTCTCCTCTCTGTCTCATAGCCATTTAACAGGTACTGTATGTAACCAGTCATTCATACAAACTGCTACGAACACAACAACTGACTTGTATTCACTTGTCCCTGGCTGTGTGTAGACTGGCAGCCCAATTCTGATCTATTTTCCACTAATGCCATCTTTTGACCAATCTCATCAGATCATGATTCAGAGCTGATCTCATTGGTCAAAAGACCAATTAGTGAAAAGATCAAACTTAGACTACGTGTCTAAACGCAGCTGTTCTTCAGTCTTGTCTGGGATATATACAGTATTTTAGTCAGCACACCTGTGCGATGTCCTTTTAATACTGGTCTAAGGCACTGCATCGCAGCTGTTCTTCAGTCTTGTCTGGGATATATACAGTATCTTAGTCAGCACACCTGTGCGATGTCCTTTTAATACTGGTCTAAGGCACTGCATCGCAGCTGTTCTTCAGTCTTGTCTGGGATATATACAGTATTTTAGTCAGCACACCTGTGCGATGTCCTTTTAATACTGGTCTAAGGCACTGCATCGCAGCTGTTCTTCAGTCTTGTCTGGGATATATACAGTATCTTAGTCAGCACACCTGTGCGATGTCCTTTTAATACTGGTCTAAGGCACTGAATCGCAGCTGTGCCACTAGAGATCCTGGTTCGAATCCAGGCTCTGTCGTAGCCGGCCGCGACCGGGAGACCAATGGGGCGGCGCACAATTGGCCCAGCGTCGTCCAGGGTAGGGGAGGGAATGGCCGGCAGGGATGTAGCTCAGTTGGTAGAGCATGGTGTTTGCAACGCCAGGGTTGTGGGTTCGATTCCCACGGGGGGCCAGTATGAAAAAAAATATTTTAAAAAAATAATAATAAATGTGTGCACTAACTGTAAGTCGCTCTGGATAAGAGCATCTGCTAAATGACTAAAATGTAAATGTAAATACATTAATAAAAATGTATTCACCCTGGATATGAGACTTAACATTGATTTTAGACCTTTTTGAAATCACAAGCTCGAAGTGTTGTCTTGATGGAGAAAGTCTGCATGTTGTCAGATGTTTAAGTAGTTAGTAAAAATCAAAAAGAACATGCTAAGAAAGTTATTGTTTTGTAACCTATAAAAAAAAAAAAAAAGAGTAGTTTATAAAAAAACTTTATTGCATTTGGTGGTCATCCCCTAAATGTTACAATTCAAAGCCTTGATAGTTGCATCCTTCCTCAGGGAACTGTCTGCTGTCAGCTGACAACATGGTGGCAGGTTTTTTGATGTGCTGCTCTAGAGGTCCACGGCCCAGCAGACTCACCTGGGAATAGGGGGACGGACACGTTAGTTTTGACAAAAGTCTGGGAGACTTTTAGAGAGAGGAGCCTAAAAGTCTCCCAATGTATGAGTTTGAGTGAGTACAGTAAATCAGTGGCCCTTCATAATATGCTATGTGTCATCACACAGACAGACTGCCATAGTGAAGGACGTTTACATCTGTGCTCTGGAGAGATCGTAGGTAGTTGGTCTTGGAATATTCTGTCTCTGTAGCACATTGTACAATTTACATTTTAGTCATTTAGCAGACGCTCTTATCCAGAGCGACTTACAGTTAGTGAGTGCATACATAATTTATTTAATTTTTCATACTCCCCGTGAGAATCGAACCCACAACCCTGGCGTTGCAAACGCCATGCTCTACCAACTGAGCTACATCCCTGCCTGCCATTCCCTCCCCTACCCTGGACGACGCTGGGCCAATTGTGCACCGCCCCATGGGTCTCCCGGTCGCGGCCGGCTACGACAGAGCCTGGATTCGAACCAGGATCTCTAGTGGCACAGCTATCACTGCAATGCAGTGCCTTAGACCACTGCGCCACTCGGGACCACTGGGACCACATGTAGAGAGATGGATAGATGTACTGAATGCTCTTGAAAGAAAGAGAGCCAGAGAGTTAACATTTACATAGTTGATTATTGAGGAGGGCCTTCCAAACCAGACAAATGGATGCGTGAAAGACGCAGCAACTCAACGGTTTTCAATGGGAGGAGTGTGTTGTGTTGTGCTGTCCGTCAGAAAAGTTGCAATCCATCAACCAATTAAAAAACGTAAAACAGCGTTTTCACCCACCAAACAGCTGCGTTGGACATGCGTTTTAGTTTGAAGGCAGCCTTCCTCTGTGGTTCAAGGTGTATCTTCATGTCTGTGACTTTCGCTCTCACCCCTTTACCTCCCATTGGCCCAGGGCCTTCTGCAAAACTCTCCAATCACAGTATCTCTGACAGGGAGTTACTACAGGAGAAGACAGGGCTTCTCCACTCCTCATATGGGTAGAGTATTAGTTACAGTATACATATGAAAATAAATATGCATGACTTACTGACATGGAGTGCTCCATGTTCCTGTTGGTAGCAGGCCTCAACCTGGATGCAGGGAAATGTCCTGCCTTGGGAGTATTGTTGTATTCATCTCCACCAGGCGCCTTGAAATCATGACAAACCTGCATAGATTAAGAAAATAAAATGGTAACTGTATTATTTTCTAGAAACCTAGCTAAACTGCAGTGATGATGGTGGGAGTTAGCTAGCTAGCTAGCTATCCCCCCAGCAGTTTCAATTTAGAAAGCTATCTAGCTAGCTAATGGCATATATAAACTTTATCAAATCAGATGGTTAACTAGCAAATATATTCATTTTCCCCCTCGCATCTAAAGCTGCCTGATAAAGCTAGCCAGTTGATAGTAAAACTAGGATGAATCTCAGAGGCCAGCTAGCTAACGCAATAGCATCTGTCAATGCAATGGCTGGTCTGGAGTTTGTCTGAAACGTACCATTATATTTCACATGATAAGCAAACTACTGCCATGCCTTTTTTACCTACAAGTAGATTGTTCTGGTTTTCTTACCTCATCCTCTCTTGCTCATGTGGGTATCTACTTCCTGAGATTTGATTGATGGAACAATCCAGCCAATGGTTAGGCAGCTGTGGTTTTGGCAGAGGGAACGGATTGGTCAGGAGTAAAAGGTCCTGCCCCCAGAGCCGCTCAAATCGAATTTTTACTTGCGAATCTCTACAAATTTACAAAACTTTCTACAAGTTTACAAATCTCTTGGTAACATGACAACAGTGTACTTTTTTATTCACAGCAGAATATTCATACTCGTAAATTCTCAAAATAAATTATGCTTGCAAATCTTATTGAATGTATTCAAATGTCAAGTTACAAGTTTGCGACCTTTGTTAAATCTTTCACACATCATGATACAAACTTGCGAAATTAAATTACACATTTGCAAATCGTACTTGTAACCACAAATCTCAATGTGCGACCACAAAATTCAAACTCATCGTTTTGTCATCATTATAATCCCATAGTCAGATGGCAGTGTGACATCCGAAGCTTCAAGCGTCATCATCATGTGGTATTTAAGCAATAAGGCAGGAGGGGGGGTGTGGTATATGGCCAATATACCACGGCTAAGGGCTGTTCTTAACCACAATGCAACGCAGAGAGCCTGGATACAGCTCTTAGCCGTGGTATATTCCAAATCAAATCAAATCAAATTTTATTGGTCACATGCGCCGAATACAACAGGTGCAGACATTACAGTGAAATGCTTACTTACAGCCCTTAACCAACAGTGCATTTATTTTAAACAAAAAAAGTAAGAATAAAACAACAACAAAAAAAGTGTTGAGAAAAAAAGAGCAGAAGTAAAATAAAGTGACAGTAGGGAGGCTATATATACAGTAAAATAAAGTGACAGTAGGGAGGCTATATATACAGGGGGGTACCGTTGCAGAGTCAATGTGCGGGGGCACCGGCTAGTTGAGGTAGTTGAGGTAATATGTACATGTGGGTAGAGTTAAAGTGACTATGCATAAATACTTAACAGAGTAGCAGCAGCGTAAAAAGGATGGGGTGGGGGGGCAGTGCAAATAGTCCGGGTAGCCATATTGGCCATTTCCACAAACCCCCGAGGTGCCTTATTGTTATTATAAACTGATTACCAACGGAATTAGAACAGTAAAAATAAATGTTTTGTCATACCTGTGATATTTACATTTACATTTTTACATTTTAGTCATTTAGCAGACGCTCTTAACCAGAGCGACTTACAGGAGCAATTAGGGTTAAGTGCCTTGCTCAAGGGCACATTAACGTCATTTAGCAGACGCTCTTAGCCAGGCGGACTCACAAATTGGTGCGTTCACCCTAGAGCCAGTGGGATAACCACTTTACAATTTGGGGGGGGGGGGGGGGGGGGGTTAGAAGGAATACTTTACCTATCCCAGGGTATTCCTTAAAGAGGTGGGGTTTCAAATGTCTCCGGAAGGTGGTGAGTGACTCCTTCCGGTCTGATATACCACGGCTGTCAGCCAATCAGTATTCAGGACTCGAACCACCCAGTTTATAATGTTAGTTTGATACAAGCGTCGATACGTTGTGTGGAATCAGTAGTGTTTAAAAAAAACTGCATCAGAGCTCCCTTCTCAATCGTCCCATGACTACCTACAGTAGAGCAGAAAAATACTTTGGTCTGGGGACCCGGATGAACAATACTACTAGCTAGAACTACAGCTAACTAGTCTCGGCTCCCAAGCTTCGCCGACGTTGTTTTACGTGAAGGTAAAAGCCTGTGCCGTGGGGCAGAGGCTAGCTACTACTAGCTAATACAACTAGCTACTCGTTACCTCCTCCTCCGCCTCTGTTGGACTGTTGAGGGGGACGGCTGTTGTAATCTCCACCGCCGCCGCCGCCTTTTGGGTGCTCATTCCAACACTTGTCGCCATATCGACACCGGCCTTGCATCCAAAAGTTGCACACCGTCATAATGTGGCAGAATTTATAGTTTTCGGTGCGGTGAATTAAACGAAATCCTCTCGTTTCCCACTATACTTTTCAACACCACATTGTTTTCGTTCAGATTACGCCATTTTGAAAATGTCGCAGGGCTATGACGTCAGTTTTAATGCGGGTTTAATGCAACAGGGCGCCCATGTGTTTGGTTTTGGTACTGCAGCCAGGAAAGTAACTCAATCAACATAATCATCAGCCCCTGTAGAAAATAGTACAGCAAATAATTATTTACCGGCAATTAAATAATTATATTACCAAAGACAATACAATTTATAGTATTATTGTGTGTGTGTGTGAGTGTGTGTGTCTGTCTACGTGTGTGTCTCGTGTGTGTATGTGAGTGAGAGTCACATGGATGTGGGTGCTCAAATACTGTAAATATATAGCCTATGTATAGAGCATCAAAATTGTCGGCCTTGATAGTACAGTTGCTATGTAAACTATGTTATTTTGAATTTATTGTTGAAAGTATTGCAAGACAGAGAGACAGAGAGAAGGAGGCAGTGAAAGAGAGATAGGAGGAGGTGGAAGGGGAGTGAAAGAGAGAGGAGGAGGGAGGGACACAGAATGAGTATCCGTGGGATTCCTCTTTGCCAACTCCACATTTCAGAGCGTTTCACCTGTGGCAGAATCTTTAAGGGCTTTGCCATGACAACACACAACCTGTTGAGGTGCATTTCAGGTGAATTTTACCTGGAGGGCCAAGCAGTGTTCACACAGTGCTACAGTCACACTGACACACACACACTGTACAGTATCGCAAATCGCAGGTCACCAATCACATGCACCTGTACACACACACCACCAATACACTGAAACTGTAAGTCCCTTTCCCAATATTGTATAAGAGACACTCCACCCTAATATTCCTGAAAATAGTATTTGTTTTGATTATTGTTGACATCAAGCCCATGCTAATGTGATTCTGTCTGCCTGATTGTCTGACTGACTGCATGATTGTTTGACTGTCTACCTGTCTGTCTGTCTGTCTGTCTGCCTGTCTGTCTACCTGTCTGCCTGTCTGTCTACCTGTCTGTCTGTCTGTCTGTCTACCTGTCTGTCTGTCTGTCTGTCTGCGTCTGTCTGTCTACCTGTCTGCCTGTCTGTCTACCTGCTGTCTGTCTGTCTGTCTGCCTGTCTGTCTACCTGTCTGCCTGTCTGTCTACCCTGTCTGTCTGTCTGTCTGTCTACCTGTCTGTCTGGTCTGCCTGTCTGTCTACCTGTCTGCCTGTCTGTTCCTGTCTGTCTGGTCTGTCTGTCTACCTGTCTGTCTCTGTCTGCCTGTCTGTCTACCTGTCTGTCTGTCGTTGCTGTTGTCTGCTGTCTGTCTGTCTGTCTGTCTGTCTGCCTGTCTGTCTACCTGTCTGTCTGTCTGCCTGTCTGCTCTGTCTGTCCTGCTGTAGTACTGCTGTTGTACTTGAGCCGGGAACTGTCTGCCGATGACATAATACGTGGGCTGTCATTTGTTTTTGATCTAATGTTCCTAGATATGTCTAGCTGACTCTACTCTCCTTCCTCTCGTCTCTCTCTCGTCTCTCTCTCTCTTCTGGCTCTTCGTCTCTCTCTACTCACTCTCTCTATTCTCTCCTATCTCTAACTCTCTATCTCTCTTCTATCTATCGCATCTATCATACTCTCTCTCTCTATCTAGGGCTCTCTCTCTCTACTCTCCCTATCATCTCCTCTCTCTCTCTCTCTCTCTCTCTCTCTCTCTCATGTCCACTGAAAAAGGTCAGGCCTTGTCTGGAATAAAGTGGAGTGCTGTTAGTTGGATGGTCAGTCCTTATCTGGAATAACGTGGAGTACTGTTAGTTGGATGGTCAGTCCTTATCTGGAATACAGTGGAGTGCTGTTAGTTGGATGGTTATTCCTTGTCTGAAATTCAGTGGAGTGCTGTTAGTTAGATGGTTATTCCTTGTCTGAAATATGGTGGAGTGCTGTTAGTTGGATGGTCAGTCCTTATCTGGAATAAAGTGGAGTGCTGTTAGTTGGATGGTTATTCCTTGTCAGAAATACGGTGGAGTGCTGTTAGTTGGATGGTCTTGTCTGAAATATGGTGGAGTGCTGTTAGTTGGATGGTTATTCCTAGTCAGAAATACAGTGGAGTGCTGTTAGTTGGATGGTTATTCCTTGTCTGAAATACAGTCCTTGTCTGAGTGCTGTTCATTGGATATAACAAAAAGCAGCAGGCCCAACTGGACAAGGTGCAGAGGAGGGCCCTGAGGATAATCTCCAGAGGTGTAGCGGTCCATCCACAGCTGGCTGCAGTGCTCAACAAGGCTCCCAAGAAACAGTATCACTGCCCGTATGAGCACCACTCTGCCCTGCTGTCAGACTGTATCGTCCTGTATCACTGCCCGTATGAGCACCACTCTGCCGTGATGTCAGACTGTATCGTCCTGTATCACTGCCCGTATGAGCACCACTCTGCCCTGCTGTCAGACTGTATCTTCCTGTATCACTCCCCGTATGAGCACCACTCTGCCCTGCTGTCAGACTGTATCGTCCTGTATCACTGCCCGTATGAGCACCACTCTGCCCTGCTGTCAGACTGTATCGTCCTGTATCACTGCCCGTTGAGCCCACTCTGCATGCTGTCAGACTGTTCATCCTGTATCACGGCCGTAGGAGCACCCTCTGCCCTGCTGTCAGAACTGTTATCGTCCTGTATCACTGCCCGTATGAGCACCACTCTGCCCTGCTGTCAGACTGTATCATCCTGTATCACTGCCCAATATATCCTCCAACACCGGCTTCGAGGGCATTATCACCAACATATTCAAATAATGATTGACACATTTTTGTATTTTTATGAATTTATTCATACTATTTAATCCTCCCACGAGATATAGTCCCGACACGAATTAAGGGTTGCTACCCAAGCCGGCTGGTCGTTTGTTCTATCGGTTCGGTTGCCAGAGAAGCGACCCAGTCTTTTTGTTCTGTATCTATCATTCTGCCCATCCAATCAGAGATATCAATAACCTTATACTGAACCTATGAACTCTGCGTGCACCTAGTTATTCTTCCTACATTGCTTATTTAATAATAATAATATGTCATTTAGCAGACGCCTTAATCCAAAGCAATTTACAGTCATGCGTGCATACATTTTTTGTGTATGGGGTGGTCCCGGGGATCAAACCCACTACCTTGGCGTTACAAGCGCCGTGCTCTACCAGCTGAGCTACAGAGGACCAGCCTATTATGGTTTGGTACCCTGCACGAGTATAATCCATAGGCTAGCTGTTGTTATCCAACAGCTGTAGCAGTGTGTGTGTGTGTGTGTGTGTGTGTGTGTGTGTGTGTGTGTGTGTGTGTGTGTGTGTGTGTGTGTGTGTGTGTGTGTGTGTGTGTGCGTGTGGGAGACAGAGATTATAAAACTGTTAGAGAAACTTAATCTAGAAACACTAATGAATGTACAGTATGTGTCCATGCTAAAGCATCTGGAACCTATAGGACATCTACTTTGTGCATGACACAAGTAATTTTTCCAACAATTGTTTATAGACAAATTATTTCACTTATAATTGTAAACTGTAAGTCATCTCAGCAGCACCCAGAGTGATATATGTTATTTAGCAGACATTTTTATCCAAAGCGACTTATAGTCATGTGTGCATAATATATATATATATATATTTTTACATATGGGTGGTCCCGGGAATCAAACCCACTATCATCGCGTTGCAAGCACCATGCTTTACCAACTGGACCATTTTAATGTTAAGGCTATCATGAGAGACTACCTTTTAAAACAGAGGCCGGATTGTGTGTTTAGCTTACATTGTTCCAGGTGCATCGAGAGGAAAGTCATACGTATTGAGAGAAGAACCTCTGGCACACTGGCCTTCGTGTATGCCCCAAAATGTTAAGCTACCTTGAAATCGTATAACATGCTTGTATTCTACTCTACTCTTCTCAGCAGCAGCCCCCAAACTCCCAACTGACCAACAGCCACCAGCATCACAACAACCACCAGCATCACAATAGCCACCAGCATCACAACAGCCACCAGCATCACAACATCCACCAGCATCACAACAACCACCAGCCTCACAACAGCCACCAGCATCACAACAACCACCAGCGTCACAACAGCCACCAGCATCACAACAACCACCAGCATCACAACAGCCACCAGCATCACAACAACCACCAGCATCACAACAGCCACCAGCATCACAACAGCCACAGGCAGAGCAGTCACAGGCACCAGTCAGTACAGACACCAGTCTCTTCAGCGACGAGACCTTCAGTGACTCCCAGTTTGAGTCGGTCTTCAACGAACAGACGTGTCGTAGGAGCATCACAATAGCCACCAGCATCACAACAGCCACCAGCATCACAACAGCCACCAGCATCACAACAACCACCAGCATCACAACATCCACCAGCATCACAACAACCACCAGCCTCACAACGACCACCAGCATCACAACAGCCACCAGCATCACAACAGCCACCAGCATCACAACAGCCACCAGCATCACAACAACCACCAGCATCACAACATCCACCAGCATCACAGCAACCACCAGCCTCACAACAGCCACCAGCATCACAACGACCACCAGCATCACAACAGCCACCAGCATCACAACAACCACCAGCATCACAACAGCCACCAGCATCACAACAGCCACAGGCAGAGCAGTCACAGGCACCAGTCAGTACAGACACCAGTCTCTTCAGCGACGAGACCTTCAGTGACTCCCAGTTTGAGTCGGTCTTCAACGAACAGACGTGTCGTAGGAACCTGAGGGTGTCTCGGTCAGGCCGGTTTAAGGAGAGGAAGACGGTGCGCTCCAGTCTTCCTACTGACGACACCACAAGACAAGGACAAGGCTGGGTCGCCGGGGAAAGAGGACGTGTGATGATGAGGATGGTGATGGTGATGAAGATGGTGGCCAGACACTGCTCTTACTTCTCAACTTTATTTCAAGACAATCTAACATGGCCGTCCGTTCTGGGGAAAGAGGAAGGTTGATGAAGATGAGTTGAAAATGGTGATTTGAGACTTAGCTTTTGAACCCTTTTGTCAGTCTGTCTGTTCATCTGCTGCTTCTTTATCAATCAACATTGGATTCATTTGACTGAGTTTGCTTTATTGATCCCTTCTTGGAATTTGAACATGTTTCATATACTTTTTTAACCCTTGAAAAGGAAGAACCTAACCTGTGTTCCCAACACAAAGAACGGATCAGAAATGAAGTAATACTCTCCTCTGCGTCTTGTCTTGTTAGATTATAACGGACTGCTGATTTGCAGTAGTGACAATTTCTCAATGACAGTTAAGTTAAGACAGCACTTAACAGTCCTTCCTTGAGGAAATCACTTGTCTGACAAGGTTTGATTGATGAAAGCAATAGGAAGACAATCCCGTAAAGATCAGTGGTTAGGCTACTTCAAGGAAGGAAGGAAGGAAGGAAGGAAGGGGGGGGGGGAGGGAGGGAGGGAGGGAGGAGGGAGGAAGGAAGGAAGGAAGGAAGGAAGGAAGGAAGGAAGGAAGGAAGGAAGGAAGGAAGGAAGGAAGGAAGGAAGGAAGGAAGGAAGGAAGGAAGGAAGGAAGGAAGGAAGGAAGGAAGGTATTGTGATGACTGACTCACCAGTCATGAGCCTTTACTGTAAGAAGTACCACCTTTCAGTTTAACCGCTGTGCTTTAAAAACCATCCAGACTTTTCTAGACTTTTTGTATCAAAACAGTATACAGAAAATGAGACGCATACAGCTATGATATATTATTTATAAGATGTTTACATTATATGTGTACTATTTTGAATATGAAGGATATAATGTTTTTACCAATCAATACTTTTTTTTAAGCTATGATTACAGTTGGTTAGAAGGATACTTTTTTTAGTTTTTTTAAGTGGTGTAATTTCTTGAACGAATGAGCATTGGTGTTTGTGACGGACAGGTGAAAATATTAGATTATATCCACTAGCTGCTATTCAGTTACATACAGACAAATGTTCTAGAGGGAAAAATCACCATGTGGAGCAAATCCTGATCAAAGGTACTATTAGAAGCTAAACAGTAAGTTGTTTATGAAGTCTTACCAAGTTTGTCTATTCAGTAATACAGTGATTGACTTCATTGTGCTTCAAGTGGATCTGACACATAAATCATGGTCTCCTGCTATCTCTCTCAGAATGACCTTCTTGATCCAAACCAGTCAGGTTTCAAGACTGGTCATTCAACTGAGACTGCTCTTCTCTGTGTCACGGAGGCTCTCCGCACTGCTAAAGCTAACTCTCTCTCCTCTGCTCTCATCCTTCTAGACCGGTCTGCTGCCTTTGATACTGTGAACCATCAGATCCTCCTCTCCACCCTCTCCGAGTTGGGCATCTCCGGCGCTGCTCACTCATGGATTGCGTCCTATCTGACAGGTCGCTCCTACCAGGTGTCGTGGCGAGAATAAGTCTCCGCACCACGTGCTCTCACCACTGGTGTCCCCCAGGGCTCAGTTCTAGGCCCTCTCCTATTCTCTCTATACACCAAGTCACTTGGCTCTGTCATATCCTCACATGGCCTCTCCTATCATTGCTACGCAGACGACACACAATTCATTTTCTCCTTTCCCCCTTCTGATAACCAGGTGGCGAATCGCATCTCTGCATGTCTGGCAGACATATCAGTGTGGATGACGGATCACCACCTCAAGCTGAACCTCGGCAAGACGGAGATGCTCTTCCTCCCGGGGAAGGACTGCCCGCTCCATGATCTCGCCATCACGGTTGACAACTCCGTTGTGTCCTCCTCCCAGAGTGCGAAGAGCCTTGGCGTGACCCTGGACAACACCCTGTCGTTCTCTGCTAACATCAAGGCGGTGACCCGATCCTGTAGGTTCATGCTCTACAACATTCGCAGAGTATGACCCTACCTTACACAGGAAGCGGCACAGGTCCTAATCCAGGCACTTGTCATCTCCCGTATGGATTACTGCAACTCGCTGTTGGCTGGGCTCCCTGCCTGTGCCATTAAACCCCTACAACTCATCCAGAATGCCGCAGCCCGTCTGGTGTTCAACCTTCCCAAGTTCTCTCACGTCACCCCGCTCCTCCGCACACTCCACAGGCTTCCAGTTGAAGCTCGCATCTGCTTCAAGACCATGGTGCTTGCCTACGGAGCTGTGAGGGGAACGGCACCCCCCCCCCCCCCTAAAAAAAGGGTTGGTTGTCCCACTGGCTATCCTAAGTTGAATGCACCAATTTGTAAGTACTCTGAAAAAGAGCGTCAGCTAAATGACTAAAACGCTTGTTTCCAAAGTCGTCCTCGATGGTAAAAACAAAAACACACATAATGATTAAAAGGCCAGACAAAATGACAAACAACCATAAATAAATTCATTTATATCGACATCCTAAAAAGTGGCACTATTCACTGCACTTTCCCTTAACCTTAAAAATCAACCATATTGATTTCACATTAAAACAATCGATTCAATGCACAGCATTCAATAAATACCCCTGACCAGCAGTAGGGGGCGCAAGGGGGCAGTGGAGAGGTTTCTCTTACTTAGACAACCTTGATTCAGACTGTTGTGATTCACATGGTTCAACATCAGGTAGAGTCCCAAATGGCACCCTATTCCCTATATAGTGCACTACTTTTGACCAGGGCCCTATAGGTTATAGGGTGCCATTTGAGACAGAGCCAAAGTTCATACTACCTTCTTACAGAGCAGAGAGTTTCCTTCATGGTGAACTGGTTATTTATTATAGCTTATTCTTGTCATTTACACAACCTACCTGGTTTCATATCTTCTGTCTGTCAACCTACCTGGTTTCATATATTCTGTCTGTCAACCTACCTGGTTTCATATATTCTGTCTGTCAACCTACCTGGTTTCATATCTTCTGTCTGTCAACCTACCTGGTTTCATATCTTCTGTCTGTCAACCTACCTGGTTTCATATATTCTGTCTGTCAACCTACCTGGTTTCATATATTCTGTCTGTCAACCTACCTGGTTTAATATATTCTGTCTGTCAACCTACCTGGTTTCATATCTTCTGTCTGTCAACCTACCTGGTTTCACATCTTCTGTCTGTCAACCTACCTGGTTTCATATCGTCTGTCTGTCAACCTACCTGGTTTCATTTCTTCTGTCTGTCAACCTACCTGGTTTCATATCTTCTGTCTGTCAACCTACCTGGTTTCATATATTCTGTCTGTCAACCTACCTGGTTTCATATATTCTGTCTGTCAACCTACCTGGTTTCATATCTTCTGTCTGTCAACCTACCTGGTTTCATATCTTCTGTCTGTCAACCTACCTGGTTTCATATCTTCTGTCTGTCAACCTACCTGGTTTCATATATTCTGTCTGTCAACCTACCTGGTTTCATATATTCTGTCTGTCAACCTACCTGGTTTCATATCTTCTGTCTGTCAACCTACCTGGTTTCACATCTTCTGTCTGTCAACCTACCTGGTTTCATATCGTCTGTCTGTCAACCTAACTGGTTTCATTTCTTCTGTCTGTCAACCTACCTGGTTTCATATCTTCTGTCTGTCAACCTACCTGGTTTCACATCTTCTGCCTGTCAACCTACCTGGTTTCACATCTTCTGACTGTCAACCTACCTGGTTTCATATCTTCTGTCTGTCAACCTACCTGGTTTCATATCTTCTGTCTGTCAACCTACCTGGTTTCATATATTCTGTCTGTCAACCTACCTGGTTTCATATATTCTGTCTGTCAACCTACCTGGTTTCATATCTTCTGTCTGTCAACCTACCTGGTTTCATATCTTCTGTCTGTCAACCTACCTGGTTTCATATCGTCTGTCTGTCAACCTACCTGGTTTCATATCTTCTGTCTGTCAACCTACCTGGTTTCATATCTTCTGTCTGTCAACCTACCTGGTTTCATATCTTTCGTCTGTCAACCTACCTTGTTTCATATCTTCTGTCTGTCAACCTACCTGGTTTCACATCTTCTGTCTGTCAACCTACCTGGTTTCATATCTTCTGTCTGTCAACCTACCTGGTTTCATATCTTCTGTCTGTCAACCTACCTGGTTTCATATATTCTGTCTGTCAACCTACCTGGTTCACATATTCTGTCTGTCAACCTACCTGGTTTCATATATTATGTCTGTCAACCTACCTGGTTTCATATATTCTGTCTGTCAACCTACCTGGTTTCATATCTTCTGTCTGTCAACCTACCTGGTTTCATATATTCTGTCTGTCAACCTACCTGGTTTCATATATTCTGTCTGTCAACCTACCTGGTTTCATATCTTCTGTCTGTCAACCTACCTGGTTTCATGTCTTCTGTCTGTCAACCTACCTGGTTTCATATATTCTGTCTGTCAACCTACCTGGTTTCATATATTCTGTCTGTCAACCTACCTGGTTTCATGTCTTCTGTCTGTCAACCTACCTGGTTTCATATCTTCTGTCTGTCAACCTACCTGGTTTCATATCGTCTGTCTGTCAACCTACCTGGTTTCATATATTCTGTCTGTCAACCTACCTGGTTTCATATCTTCTGTCTGTCAACCTACCTGGTTTCATATCTTTCGTCTGTCAACCTACCTGGTTTCATATCTTCTGTCTGTCAACCTACCTGGTTTCACATCTTCTGTCTGTCAACCTACCTGGTTTCATATCGTCTGTCTGTCAACCTACCTGGTTTCATTTCTTCTGTCTGTCAACCTACCTGGTTTCATATCTTCTGTCTGTCAACCTACCTGGTTTCATATATTCTGTCTGTCAACCTACCTGGTTTCATATATTCTGTCTGTCAACCTACCTGGTTTCATATCTTCTGTCTGTCAACCTACCTGGTTTCATATCTTCTGTCTGTCAACCTACCTGGTTTCATATCTTCTGTCTGTCAACCTACCTGGTTTCATATATTCTGTCTGTCAACCTACCTGGTTTCATATATTCTGTCTGTCAACCTACCTGGTTTCATATCTTCTGTCTGTCAACCTACCTGGTTTCATATATTCTGTCTGTCAACCTACCTGGTTTCATATCGTCTGTCTGTCAACCTACCTGGTTTCATATCTTCTGTCTGTCAACCTACCTGGTTTCATATCTTCTGTCTGTCAACCTACCTGGTTTCATATATTTCGTCTGTCAACCTACCTTGTTTCATATCTTCTGTCTGTCAACCTACCTGGTTTCACATCTTCTGTCTGTCAACCTACCTGGTTTCATATCTTCTGTCTGTCCGTTGTGCCAGTAACCGAAAGGTCGCTGGTTCTAATCCCTGAGCCGACTAGGTGAAAAATCTGTCGATGTGCCCTTGAGCAAGGCACTTAACCCTAAATTGCTCCTGTAAGTCGCTCTGGATAAGAGCGTCTGCTAAATGACCAATTAATTAATTAATTAATTTAATTAAAAATTAATTAATTTAATTAAATTATGTCTGTCAACCTACCTGGTTTCATATATTCTGTCTGTCAACCTACCTGGTTTCATATCTTCTGTCTGTCAACCTACCTGGTTTCATATATTCTGTCTGTCAACCTACCTGGTTTCATATATTCTGTCTGTCAACCTACCTGGTTTCATATCTTCTGTCTGTCAACCTACCTGGTTTCATGTCTTCTGTCTGTCAACCTACCTGGTTTCATATCTTCTGTCTGTCAACCTACCTGGTTTCATATCGTCTGTCTGTCAACCTACCTGGTTTCATATATTCTGTCTGTCAACCTACCTGGTTTCATATCTTCTGTCTGTCAACCTACCTGGTTTCATATCTTCTGTATGTCAACCTACCTGGTTTCATATCGTCTGTCTGTCAACCTACCTGGTTTCATATATTCTGTCTGTCAACCTACCTGGTTTCATATCTTCTGTCTGTCAACCTACCTGGTTTCATATCTTCTGTCTGTCAACCTACCTGGTTTCATATATTTCGTCTGTCAACCTACCTGGTTTCATATCTTTCGTCTGTCAACCTACCTGGTTTCACATCTTCTGTCTGTCAACCTACCTGGTTTCACATCTTCTGTCTGTCAACCTACCTGGTTTCACATCTTCTGTCTGTCAACCTACCTGGTTTCACATATTTTGTCTGTCAACCTACCTGGTTTCACAAATTTTGTCTGTCAACCTACCTGGTTTCACATATTCTGTCTGTCAATCAAAGCCACATCCCTGTGCCACCACATTCCTCTGTCTCTGTCTCACTGATGGGCATGGAGGAGCCAGGGACTGTTCACTCTGTTACCATCTGGCAAGCGGTATCAGAGCATCGGGTCTCGGACCAACAGGCTGAGACAGCTTCTACCACCGGGCCATCAGACTGGTGAACAGCTAACCCTAGCTGTCTCCCTGCACAGACCTGCACCTTAGAGACTATTTGCACGGACTCTCCACATATACAAACTTTACACACAGCACACACATACATAACCGGCCCAGGCGGCATTCCTAGCCGTGTCCTCAGAGCATGTGCAGACCAGCTGGCTGGTGTGTTTATGGACATTTTGAATCTCTCCCTATCCCAATCTGCTGTCCCCACATGCTTCAAGATGGCCACCTTTGTTCCTGTACCCAAGAAAGCAAAGGTAACTGAACTAAATGACTATCGCCCCATAGCACTCACTCCTGTCATCATGAAGTGCTTTAAGAGACTAGTCAAGGATCATATCACCTCTACCTTACCTGTCACCCTAGACCCACTTCAATTTGCTTACCGCCCCAATAGATCCACAGATGATGCAATTGCCATCACACTGCACACTGCCCTATCCCATCTGGACAAGAGGAATACCTATGTAAGAATGCAGTTCATTGACAATAGCTCAGCGTTCAACACCATAGTACCCTCCAAGCTCACCATTAAGCTCGAGGCCCTGGGTCTGAACCCCTTCCTGTGCAACTGGGTCCTGGACTTCCTGACGGGCCACCTCCAGGTGGTGAAGGTAGGAAACAACATCTCCACTTCACTGATCGTCAACACTGGGGCCCCACAAGGGTGCATGCTCAGCCCCCTCCTGTACTCCCTGTTCACCCATGACTGTGTAGCCAAGAACGCCTCCAACTCAATCATCAAGTTTGCAGACAACACAACAGTAGTAGGCTTGATTACCAACAACGATGAGACAGCCTATAGGGAGGAGGTGAGGGCTCTCGGAGTGTGGTGTCAGGAAAATAACTTCTCACTCAACGTCAACAAAACAAAGGAGATGATCGTGGACTTCAGGAAACAGCAGAGGTAGCAGGCCCCTATCCACATCGACGGGACCGCAGTGGAGATGAGGAAAGTTTTAAGTTCCTCTGCGTACATATCACTGACAAACTGAAATGGTCCACCCACACAGGCAGTGTGGTGAAGAAGGCGCAACAGCGTCTCTTCATCCTCAGGAGGCTGAAGAAATTTTTCCAGATGCACAATTGAGAGCATCCTGTCGGGCTGTATCACCGCCTGGTACGGCAACTGCCCGCCCGCAACCGCAGGGCTCTCCAGAGGGTGGTGCAGTCTGCCGAACGCATTACCGGGGGCAAACTACCCGCCCTCCAAGACACATACAGCACCCGATGTCACAGGAAGGCCAAAAAGATCATCATGGACAACTACCACCCGAGCCACTGCCTGTTCACCCCGCTATCATCCAGAAGGCGAGGTCAGTACAGGTGCATCAAAGCTGGGACCGAGAGACTGAAAAACAGCTTCTATCTCAAGGCCATCAGACAGTTAAACAGCCATCACTAGCACAGAGAGGCTGCTGCCTACATACAGACTTGAAAATCACTGGCCACTTTAATAAATGGAACACCAGTCACTTTAATAATGTCACTTTAATAATGTTTACATATCTTGCATTACCCATCTCATATGTATATACTGTATTCTAAGGCAACTTTCACTAAGACACACCAGTCAATTCCAGATGTGTTGGTGCTTACCTGCCATGGAGCCGTTGGCATGACAGCAGTAGGGAGTGTCCCAAATGGCACCCTATTCCCTATATAGTGCACTACTTTAGACCAGAGAATGGCACCCTATTCCCTATATAGTGCACTACTTTAGACCAGAGAATGGCACCCTATTCCCTATATAGTGCACTACTTTAGACCAGAGAATGGCACCCTATTCCCTATATAGTGCACTACTTTAGACCAGAGAATGGCACCCTATTCCCTATATAGTGCACTACTTTAGACCAGAGAATTTACATTTACATTTACATTTTAGTCATTTAGCAGACGCTCTTATCCAGAGCGACTTACAGGAGCAATTTGAGTTAAGTGCCTTGCTCAAGGGCACATCGACAGATTTTTCACCTAGTCGGCTCGGGGATTAGAACCAGAGACCTTTCGGTTACTGGCACAACGCTCTTAACCACTAAGCTACCTGGCACCCTATTCCCTATATAGTGCACTACTTTAGACCAGAGAATGGCACCCTATTCCCTATATAGTGCACTACTTTAGACCAGAGAATGGCACCCTATTCCCCATTTAGTGCACTACTTTAGACCAGAGAATGGCACCCTATTCCCTATATAGTGCACTACTTTAGACCAGAGAATGGCACCCTATTCCCCATTTAGTGCACTACTTTAGACCAGAGAATGGCACCCTATTCCCCATTTAGTGCACTACTTTAGACCAGAGAATGGCACCCTATTCCCCATTTAGTGCACTACTTTAGACCAGAGAATGGCACCCTATTCCCCATTTAGTGCACTACTTTAGACCAGGACCCATAGGGCTCCCAGGGCTCTGGTAAAAAATATATATAGGGAACATTTAGGGAATAGTGAATATAGGGAATAGTGAATGTAGGGAATAGTGAATATAAGGAATAGTGAATATAGGGAATAGGGAATATAGGGAATAGGGAATAGTGCATATAGGAATACCTATGTATGGAATAGTGAATATATGGAATAGTGAATATAGGGAATAGTGAATATAGGGAATAGTGCATATAGGGAATAGTGAATATAGGGAATAGTGAATATAGGGAATAGTGAATATAGGGAATAGTGAATATAGGGAATAGGGTGCCATTTGGGACAAAACTATAGTCAGAGACAGTCATGTGATTGTCAAATGGGTTGGCTAAAAGCAAGCACACAGATCTGGGACCAGCCTGTGAAATGATAGCTTCTCTCTGATGTTAGTCCGACTGGGGTTTAACTGAACCGAGATCAAACGACATGTCTGTACTGCGTCATCTCTAGGCTCTATTCTGGGCAGGGGAACATTGGGAAAGCCCCATGGTCTGCGTGCTCCACTTCTCAGGGTTTGGTGTCATGTTCTCTCTCTCTCTCTCTCTACTGTACATCAGGATCCCTGCAAGTAGGTTTCCAATGGCTTCCACAGCCACAAAGTCAGAGTCCACAGCCACAAAGTCAGAGTCCACAGCCACAAAGTCAGAGTCCACAGCCACAAAGTCAGAGTCCACAGACACAAAGTCAGATTCCACAGCCACAAAGTCAGATTCCACAGCCACAAAGTCAGATTCCACAGCCACAAAGTCAGAGTCCACAGCCACAAAGTCAGATTCCACAGCCACAAAGTCAGAGTCCACAGCCACAAAGTCAGAGTCCACAGCCACAAAGTCAGAGTCCACAGCCACAAAGTCAGAGTCCACAGCCATAAAGTCAGAGTCCACAGCCACAAAGTCAGAGTCCACAGCCACAAAGTCAGAGTCCACAGCCATAAAGTCAGAGTCCACAGCCACAAAGTCAGAGTCCACAGCCACAAAGTCAGAGTCCACAGCCACAAAGTCAGAGTCCACAGCCACAAAGTTAAAATTGGCTACAAAAAATATAAAGTTAGGGATAGGCCAGGGGTTCCCAAACTTCTTTGGCCCGTGACCCCATTTTGATCAAAAAAATCAGACCCCAGAGAGTCAGGACAAGTGTCAAACATCCCATCCAATGGACAGCACCCTACACAGGGCAATGTCCCCAATCACTGCCATGGGGCAATGTCCCCAATCACTGCCCTGGGGCAATGTCCCCAATCACTGCCCTGGGGCAATGTCCCCAATCACTGCCCTGGGGCAATGTCCCCAATCACTGCCCTGGGGCAATGTCCCCAATCACTGCCCTGGGGCATTAAGGGGAAAGAGTGCCTCCTACTGGTCCTCCAACACCACTTCCAGCAGCATCTGGTCTCCCATCCAGGACCAACCCTGCTTAGCTTCAGAAGAAAGCCAGCAGCGGGATGCAGGGTGGTATGCTGCCAGTCATAATTTAAGTTATGACAGTCTATTACAAATCAGTCTTGACAGTACTTTTGACACTATTTCAATCTGAAGGAAGTATGGTTTGAAGTGACTGAAATGCAACAGCTAGCTAAAATCTAATCGGTTGACTTCTGATTGGTCAGAGGCTTGGGTTGTCGAGGCGAGGAGGTGTGGCCTTGGCATTCCAACCTCGACGTCAACACAGCGTGGTCGGAGATATTACGCGCAAACAACAGCAGGCTTGACAAGACGAGGAGTAATTTCACACAACTTCAGAACAAACGTTTTTTTTGTGTTCACTACTAGCCTACTTTTAATGAGACATTTGGCTGTGTGTCTCTGTCGCTACACTCACCATCACCAGTTGAAAGTTGGTGGAAAACTTCAGAGGAACCGTTTTTTTTTTTCTGGAATAGCCAACAACCAACGCCGGACTACAAACCGCTATCACGACATTGTTGCTGTGTCCGGATTGTGATCTCCGGCTGTATAGCGGACTATAGCGGTGCGCTCGTTGTAGGGCTTGAATCCGACGTCTGGAACTGTAGCCAGTGACTGTAGACTAGTCCATCTCCCCAATAATAGACTCTATCTGCCCGGTCAGTGGCCCCGCGCTATGCGGTCAGAGTGCTGACGGACCAAACGGAATCCTGCCCGTAATACATAGGCTTAGAGGTAAGTAGGCCTTTGATATAACGGAATGAAAAATGTTGATATTGAAAGAAAAACTTTTTGTCATAGCCCTATCTATTTCCCCCCCCCGCTGGGTATGCCATTTGTTGTCGGTTGCATAAAATGGGAAACATCAATGTATTATCCTCCTGCAAAATATGGTTGCTTGTTTACAGCAATAAACAAAATAGTTTGGGTATCTTGAGCAACGACCTTTGGCTATTAGGCTATATTTATGCTTACCGACGAGGTCTGTTGTTTTTCACAGCAACATGACACCTTGCCTTCCCAGTTGCGGGAAAGTTTCTCTGTACACGGGATATGAAATATTCACTTGATCTATGGTTAGGCAAATGTGTGTTCATATATATTTTTACCTCTCTTGATACTGGAGTATAAGCAAAAAGCTTTAATCAAAACACATTTGTGAATGGAGGTCGAAACGCAAGCCAAATACGGGCTAATTAGGGATAATAAGGCAATTATGCAGTGTTGCAATACGCATGGTGTGGTTTCGCTCTCCAATTGGGATATTTGGGATTACCCGTTTCAATTCCTGTTTGGGTTGGAGATGTTTTACATGCCACACACGACAGAAGTGGGGGTGGCTGGTTGAGTTGGGCAGCAGTTGCTTGTGTCAGCTGCTCAGAATAGATCAGTACCCAATATCCACAAAACGTCTGAGTAAATCAAATTAAATCAAATCAAATGTTATTTGCCAAATGCGAATACAACAGGTGTAGACATTACCGTGAAATGCTTACTTACAGCCCTTAACCAACAATGCATTATTTTTTTTATAAAAAAGTAAAATAAAACAACAACAACAACAAAAAAGTGTTGAGAAAAAAAGAGCAGAAGTAAAATAAAATAACAGTAGGGAGGCTATATATACAGGGGGGTACTGGTGCAGAGTCAAGCAGGGGCACCGGCTAGTTGAGGTAGTTGAGGTAATATGTACATGTGGGTAGAGTTAAAGTGACTATGCATAAATAATTAACAGAGTAGCAGCAGCGTAAAAGAGGGGGATGGGGTGGGGTGGGGGGCAGTGCAAATAGTCCGGGTAGCCATGATTAGCTGTTCAGGAGTCTTATGGCTTGGGGGTAGAAGCTGTTGAGAAGCCTTTTGGACCTAGACTTGGCGCTCCGGTACCACTTGCCGTGCGGTAGCAGAGAGAACAGTCTATGACAAGGGTGGCTGGAGTCTTTGACAATTTTGAGGGCCTTCCTCTGACACCGCCTGGTATAGAGGTCCTGGATGGCAGGAAGCTTGGCCCCAGTGATGTACTGGGCCGTACGCACTCTGTAGTGCCTTGCGGTCGGAGGCCGAGCAGTTGCCATACCAGGCGGTGATGCAACCAGTCAGGATGCTCTCGATGGTGCAGCTGTAGATGTGGTGTACTCCTCAATGCTATCTGAAGAATCCCGGAACATATTCCAGTCTGTGCTAGCAAAACAGTCCTTGAGCAAGGCACTTAACCCTAATTGCTCATGTAAGTCGCTCTGGATAAGAGCGTCTGCTAAATGACTAAAATGTAAATGTAATGTAAATGGTAGAAATTAGGTAGAACGGATTTAAGTTTCCCTGCATTAAAGTCCCCGGCCACTAGGAGCGCTGCCTCTGGATGAGCGTTTTCCTGTTTAGTTATGGCCTTATACAGCTCATTGAGTGCAATCTTAATGCCAGCATTGGTTTGTGGTGGTAAATAGCAGGTCCCCACCTGTCCATATTATATCATATTCATTACTATGTAAAATGCGAAACTGATCCTAGATCATCACTCCTAGCTCTGAGACACTTTGTGAATGGGTCCAGTGCTGTAACTCAGCCTGCTTGTGGAAGGAACAGGGGCTGCATTACCTAAAGGCAGTACAGACAGATCACTGTGTCTGGTAGGAGTGTTGGTCATTACCTAAAGGCAGTACAGACAGATCACTGTGTCTGGTAGGAGTGTTGGTCATTATCTAAAGACAGTACAGACAGATCACTGTGTCTGGTAGGAGTGTTGGTCATTATCTAAAGACAGTACAGACAGATCACTGTGTCTGGTAGGAGTGTTGGTCATTACCTAAAGACAGTACAGACAGATCACTGTGTCTGGTAGGAGTGTTGGTCATTACCTAAAGACAGTACAGACAGATCACTGTGTCTGGTAGGAGTGTTGGTCATTACCTAAAGGCAGTACAGACAGATCACTGTGTCTGGTAGGAGTGTTGGTCATTATCTAAAGACAGTACAGACAGATCACTGTGTCTGGTAGGAGTGTTGGTCATTATCTAAAGACAGTACAGACCACTGTGTCTCACACCCGTTGTGAAAATGCTCAGCCGACTGTTGCCTTATTTCCCTCCTTCTGGGGATACCGATTGTGTCCCAAATGACACCTTTTCCCATTCTAGTATATAGTCTATAT